CTTCTATCAGACCTCTCGATCGACGGATTTGAATTCTGCCATCAGATTAAGAAGTATACCCCGTGTCAGGCGACGATATGTGTGCCTTTGTTCCAGAACCCGGTGCAGTGTGAATATCTGGTCGATACACTTATGGCTAGGTCTAAAGCTTACCTGATATTCTTGCGTTTGCTGTTCCCGAGCTCCACTCAGACGTCTGATGACTACAGAACCTATGATCTTAGGCACTATGTTCGTCAGGTTGATTTCTCTGCGGTTATCACTAGAGAACTCGCTTTTCTTGAAAATTGGAAGAAAGAGTGATTGAGACCAGTCAAAGATCGTATCTGAATCCCATACATATATTAAAGGGACACCTATGGGATCGCTGATATCAGGATTGATTACTGAAGCAATGATGCAGCGGCTAGAATCAACAACCATCTCTCTAATCGAACCAAAAATCTGGATTCGGTACGTTAACGACAAGTTTGTAATTCTCAAGAAGGATTAAGTAGAAAAATACGTTCAAGCTAATAAACTAAACATTTGAAGGAGTTCACGTCACAAAGAAGGAGAAAGCCACTAGAAAATTCCCTTCCTAGATGTTTACATCGGGAGAAGGCACGACAAGACGTTGCAGGCTCGGGTTTACAGGAAGAACACACGGCAAATTTTAAACTACAACAGTAATCATCCTTTGGTCCATGAGAAATGGTGTGTGCAAACACTTCTAAAAAGCCAAAACAAATTGCAGCACTGAACCACTACGAAAAGCGGAAGAAAAATACTTGTGTTCAAAGCCAGATTGAATCTGCAGTCTACTTAGGGAAAATCTTTCCATCAATCAAGGGCAAATTGACCAAACAAATCAATAATGAAACACAGTGTGACAGTAACAAATAGCGCAATATCTAACAAAGATTCCCTACCAGCGCGATCGGGTAAAGTTTAAGGTCAAAGAAGTCAATGTTTGACAAAAATTCCTTCCTCAACTTATAGTTGGACCAGACTAAAGGTTAAGAAAAACTTTACCTGGACATTCGAATATGCTTCACTTCTTTATGAAGCTAGTACTGAGGATGTCACTAAGCCTAGTGATGAAACGTTCATGGAAAACTCCAAAGCTCATCAAACACCGAACCACTATCAAGCTTGGGGTCTGACGTTACCATCTACTGCACAGCCCACTTCATTGGTCCAAGCTTTCCTACTACGGGTGGCTTGGAAATGGTAGAACTGCTTCCGACTGTTGCCAGATGCAGGAGTTGTTCTCACCCTGCTAGCGCACCACCACCAGGCCTTGCAATCTTGACACTAATGCTAGTCGACCTCCTTGCCTTTCAAAATAGACCAACGATCATGCAGAATTCTCCTGGAGCCTAAAATATTCAGTATTCAGTACTGGAATGTTGTTCAGTGTTTCAGGCAGAGCGTTGTTTGCCGTTTTCATGTCGTTTTGTTAGTCCAGCCAGTGCTCATTTATACCTTTCGGAGATTCGACAACTAGTATTGATTCCAACTCTATTTGGTATTTAGATATGATACTAGGTACAACCAACTTACGTCGACCAGTTTCAAATGACAGTTTTAATAACTACGGGAACCCAAGATGAGGTTAGCAAATATTACAGCGTGATGAGTTTAAACAGTGCATCAAAAGTAATTGCATTCTTGAACACACTCACTAATTGCAATATGATCTATTTGAGTTCAGGTTTGAGTGACAAAGGGAGGAAACCAGATAGCATAACGGCAATGGCTTTTCTGAAAGTTGGCGTCTATTAGAAACAGACTGTGATCGATACAAAGTTGCAGAAGGGGTTCCTCATTACCTAACCTTCAACCCGATAATCTTCACTAACTACCTGAACGACCCTTCCGTGTGCCTAGACGTCTAACTTGCGCATTCAAGTCCCTAGCCAGCAGTCCAATGTCTATCGACCGCAACCGGTAGAGGTCACTCAGTTTGTGATCGTACTCATCCTTAACTGCATCTGGACTGCAGTCAGTCGGGACATATGCAGAAACGGCTAAGTGACATCATTCCTCTTTTCAGTTACTTTTCACTCCAATTGAACCTTCTACCCTAGCGGCACATAAAGGACTACCGATAAGAAACCAGTCGAATAGGTCCGCTTCATTTCTGACGCTTAGTGCGACATCAACATCAGCAAGGTCGACTGCTGATGCTACAGAGTCCCTGGATAAGTGCACTGTGACTACACTTTTGGAGCTGGGAGATGGGGAAGCTATTTGAAGCACTTGTATGCAGGTGTGGAGCTGTGGCTCAGTGGTTTAGGGAAATGACATCAACCAGTGGGTCACGGGTTCGAATCCCACCCCACATATAGAGGTTTGGCAGCCAGGTAGCATCACTAGCCCTCACACAATAGGTGCGACTCATTGTCTACTGCACCAATGTGCACAAGGTTTCTCGGTCCGTTTTGTTCGTTCGTTGTTTGCTGATTTCCGAAATAGAGCACGCATCGAGAGCAAGGCTTCTCAGAATTCTAGCCAAACCTGTCTGTTATCCGGTCTGTATCAGTGTCTGGACGTTAAACGTGACAGGTTTAAGCGCTGCAAGTGGTTTCAAAATAGCACTGGGTATCGTCCTGAAGGTCAGCTTTGTGAAATCAACTATTTAGCAAGTCAACTCATGAACATACCAGAATTTTAGCTAGCAACAAGTAGCTGAATGAAACAAAATACCCATAAGGATAAATTGGAAAAAGTTGACGAAAAGATAGCATATCTAAGGTGTAAAAATAACGGTGATAAGTTGTATGACTGAGTAGAAAGCTGATTACACAATGAATGTTGTTTCTTGAGTGAAAATGCGGTGAACACTTGGTAGTAGTCTTTATTAATTTTGATTCATAGATTTTATCTAGTCTGTAATACTGCGCAGATGTCCCGACGAAGGTAGGTGATTTTCTTAAAGGACCATTCCTCGAGCCTTTGACTTGAAGTCTGATCCATAAGGCAGCGGAGCGGAGTGCTGCATTCCCATGGTTGCTGGTGACCTCGATACGTTCATATGCTATTCCTCCGTTCTTGATGGTGGAGCCCATGTGACCACTGTTTTGGAATCAATGTTTTCCAGCTTCCGTATACATCGATCCAGTAAGCTTCCACTTCTTCAACTTTCGGAAGCCTCGTGAAGTCAGCGAGTACAACTTTCCTGATAGAGTCTATAAATACTAGGAGAGGGCTTATAAATATCAAGCACTTTTAGTTTGTTATTTTGACGAAGCAATAAGAAGACATAGTTTATCTAAAGATGCGTTGTATAGCCCAATACATTTCGAAGGATCTAATCACACAATTGTTACGGATAATTAAATGAAATATAACAAAAGGTAAGTTATTGATTACCCTAGTCGTTAATAAATCTCTTGATTCTTGCTGTCTTATTTAGCAAACGTGATATCTGGGGCAGGCAACCGTTTAGTGTTATTTGGTCATCGCATCTTAATATTATATTATCTCCAGTTCACAATTTCTCTTCTATCTGGACAAGTCATTAAACCTGGATAGTTTGACTATTTATGTTATGTATAATGTACTACCATTCTCTGCTCCATGATCTACTACTTAGAAAAGCCGGCTGGCTACATGACGTGTTATGGATTTTGGATATACAAGTTTATGAGTCTATCATCAGGCTGTTAAATCACTAGAAGCAAGTTTCTTGGTCCCGTTGCCAGTACGCTAGAAAGCTGGGCTGGAAATAAGCACGTGATTTATTGTTGGAGGGGGTGGGAGCCAGAAAAGAAGGACCTACATGATAACTTTTGTAAGCAGGTTTATTCATGAGGAATTTTGAGAAACAACTATCGGTTATAAATTACGACTTTCAGTCGTTTTTGTTACTGATTGAAGGAATGGTTTTCTATAATTTCCTGTAGCAGTCGCGAAATACTTATGGAGATACAGAAATTCATGGAGATAAATCCCGTTGGTCTCATTTCTGTCGCGTCTCACGGTCATATCAATCGCAGAGTAAAATATAGTAAACTGCTGTGCATTACAGTCACCCTTTGATAGGTAATCATGTGTCTCATCGGCGCAATAGATAATGCGATTCGGCAAATCTCAAAGTGGACATTTTTGGCAATACCATTTCGTCAGTAAATAAATCATCACACCTGATGCGACTTATGGAATAAGTAGGCAATGCATTTAACCATGTTACTCTCTATTCTCATACTCTCAGTTTGTATGAACCGACTCTACAGCCTTGTCTTACATTTGACAAGCTAGAAACACACCGAACGTACTCAGAATTTTGCTTAATACGTCCGGAAGACGCTGTTTTTTGTCAACTTTTTGGTCCAATAGGATGATTAGGTGTTCTTCAATGAGCAAATCAACCCCTAAGATCATGAATCTTCATCGATTTAGGGGGTTGCCACATGTGTTGCGCATGCCAACTCACCTTCTGCGTCGTCATGCAATGTTGACTGAAGTAGGTGAGGGATGGAAAAAGTCTTTGAGAGGACAAACTAAAACGTGGTATCACTGCGTAAATTCTTTGCCTGTTGGTTTGAGCCATATAGGAAGATGCAGACTAACCGATTGGGGTCCACGTGACAACGGAGACCATTGGTTGGAGACTCTACGTGATATGGTTCAGAATCGATTTCAGTGGCGCAGCTGTATTCACGCTTTATCTTAATCGCTATACCGGATTCAGCATTTCCCCATTCCTCCTTCCTCTCTTTCACTGCATTCTACTGCTTTCGACCATTTTTCTTCTACTTTTTCATCTTCTTTGTTACTTAGTGTGCTGATATGAAACATGACAACCTGAACCTCTACGGCGCTACTGCCTGGTTCTATGTTGATATTGATTGATTGAAGGTAAATAGAGTTACTTCCATTACCGACTGTATTATACTGTTAAAGTGGTTAGGTGATTTAAATCGATCCAGTTTATTTTCACTATATTTTGATTGATTACTTTTCGACTATATTTTCTAGAGTTATACTAAATATAACGTTTTCATCCCATACAGTTCTTGACAACTGGACATGGCGAATTATCAAACGTGTTTTGGATTCCATACCTGATGAATTACTTGTTGAAAGTGATCAGAAAACCCAACAATCATCCCAAACTATAAATCGGTAGTTCTTTTATTTTCATCTGAGGATCGGATAAGTTTTATGAGAAAGCCTCAAATGCATTCCTGTTGCATTATGTTCATAAAATTTCTGAATGTCATCTCTATATAGGTATTCGCAGGGGTATGGCTCACTGGTTTAGGGAGTTGACTTTCAACTAGTAGTGGGTCGCAGGTTCAAGCACCGCTCCACCTATCGGGATTCGGGCATCCAGATAGTATCATTAGCCCTCATGCAATAGGTATGACTCATTGCCTACTACACGAAGTTGCACAAAGTTGCTGAGTGGATTTTGATTTTTTTTTTCAATATAGGTATCAGGTTCAAAGAATGCTTGAATCGATTTAAATGAAAACAGTTTTCAAATTCTATCATATTGCAATTGACTGGAGTTTATGCACGTATTTGAAAAGTGAAAAAACTGAACGTAACTAGACTGTGTCATATCACTGTAGATGAAGAATTCTAAGAAGTTTAGGCTCAAAGGAAACCTCACCAGATAATTTAAAAGCGGTAATAAAATTTTAAATCCTTTACATAGATAGGAAAAACAATCAGATTTACTAATTTCATGGAGGAGAATGGCGTACTTAATCCTCTTTTTTCCTTTCTTTAAATTGACAAGCACTAAAACAGTATTTAAAGGAAAATATGTGTCATACATTGAAGGCCTATATTAAGGGGAAAAGGACTTTCAGTTGTGTCAAAGAGGAAGGAAGAGAAACGTTTACCCTTATGAATTAGTTGCTTTCTTTTAGCACAAAAGCTGAACAAAAGGAGTATTCATCGAGTTGAATTTGTGTCGTTTTTTTACAGAGACATCAGTCTTATTTGCTTGTTGATAAAATTGGTTAGCATGCTTTCCATTCTGATATAGTTCCTTGAAGTGTTACAGGATGTTCTCGGTTGCTTCTGAAGATGACAAACGGTTAACATTTTAATAATCCTTACTGTTTAACCCTTAAATTTCTACCGAACATTTTACTCATTACGAGTTATTCATTGCTTTTGTTTATTGCTTAGACGTATAGCACACAGTTATCATGCCATGTGAGGCTGTAGCTCATTGTTCTATGCAGTTAACTTTCAACCAGTGAGTCACAAGTTCAACACCACTTCATCTACTGAGTTTTGGCCACCCAGAGAGTATCATCAGTCCTCATACATTAGATATTACTCACTGCTTGCTGTACGAATGTGCAGGTTGATAAGACCACGTCCATACGATGTCATACAAAGTTCATCATCCAACCACTGCCAGCAAGCACTGCATGCTATTTTTTTTATTGAGGCTTCAGCTCTATTGATTTGTCAAAACTATCACTAATTAACTGAGATTTTTAGTACAACAAGATTATATTGTTCATGTAATGATTCAATTCTTTATCTAGGGATTCCTTCCTATCCTTGGTAAACAAAGGTGACTCTTCACAACTGCTGAAGACTGAAAATTCATCACTAGAACGCACAACGATGTTACGACCAGTTTTCTCACGTCTTCAAGTTCCATCTTTAATTCCTGGTAGAGTTTCTGTTAAATTAACAGTGCCTGTTAAGGTGCCAATCGAACCCTCCCAGACGAATGAAAATAAAAGAGCCATTATTGAGACCAAAACCCGTTTACATTTATCAAATGTTGCGCTGGTTGGATTGCGTCGAGTTGAAAGATCGGGGTCTGAAACAGATGCTGTACATTTGGATTTAGGATTTTCAAAGGATCTGTCTTGCTATTCTGTTTATTCGGGTCAACCACTTTTGATACGCGGTGTCAATCCTACTGGTCAATCTTTAGGCGCAATGGAGATATTCCAGGTTTGTCGCGTTAACTAAACTTGTACTTGACCAAATTGTTTACAACAGTCAAAGTGAAATGTTATGTTTTCTACTATCATTTTGCCACTTAACTAATTTCATTGTACAGGACTGAAAACAAATCTCACTTTTGAACTGTTATGTAGTGTTTTCGTTATGCATCTGCATATTTCACGATATGTTCCTTTTACCGTCGACTGGCGTAGTTCGTTAACTTTTACGCGAATTCCACCCAGACTTGGTTAGATTTCGTTTCGGTGGATTCCTAACCGAGAAGTAAAACAAATGATGGTAATAGTTGTTCGTTCATGTTACTTAGTTTGTCATCATTTCATTTGTTGATAAAAGTGTATAATTTCGAACAAGGTGACATCAACTGGCCCAAACAATCGTAATAACATGGTGTTTGTAGTGTACTTATCATGCAAACACATTCTGGTCCTATCGAACGGAGTGCTCTTTTCTTTAGGTTATATCATAACTGAATATTGACTCGATGACAGGTCGACAAAATAAGGGACATAGTTTACTATTACTTTTCAAATTATTGATGATTTATAAGAAAGCTTTTAAAGGTTATTGCATAATTAGTTGATAAAACAACTAAGTGAACTATTTTTTAGGATAAATGCAGTTACTGGTTGAAACATACTTGATCGCATCTTATATCTGCCTCAAGCCTGCATATTATGATAGCTTGTTGTCCCTACTCACTCTCGAGTTCACATGATCCCACAGGTCTCTTCAAATTACTGCGTTATGCTATGTTGTGTTAGCCACGAAACTTCATTGAAAAATGCCTATCCCGTTCATCACCTACCGCAAAATCATCGGCGGAAACCAACAAATAATCAACGGTACATGAAAATTACTGAGACCACTTGGAATTGACGTGGCTCAAAACCAATAAATTCCCTTCAAACCATATTGCGCAAACCAAAGGACGCAACGACCGAAGAAGACACATCAAATATCATCTACAAAATCAACTGCAATAGCTATGATCAACACGACATTAGACAAAGTAGTCGACCTCTTCGCCTTTGTTTACATGAATACCAGTTGGCTACCAAACATCACGACATTTCATCGCTCGTCTTAATGCATATGGATAAGTATGGATATGAATTCAATCTTAACAACGTAGAAATCTTGGAGAGAGAAATTATAAAGATTATCACAAAATTCCTAGAAGCTTGCCATTCATGTTAGACAACAGTCAGTAGATGTGTAGATATGGACTCGATCTATCAAACAATAAGAAAAATGATAAACAACTGCAAGTTCAGAGGTCAGTCAGAGGAAGAGCTAACAAAAAAATCCATGCAGTCAGTGACACAGCAAGCAGAGAACAGAACTAATCATAAGCCACTTTGTCAGGGCAAGCTACTGAGTCACTCACGTGGAAATACTGACAGCTCAAATCGTATTAAAATTACTGCTGATGATGTTATCTAGAAACTGAAAGCTTCATGATGAGACCATCTGGTTCAGACGACGCAACACAACCAAGAATTTATCACGTTTTGCGTAGCTGTATCAACATATTGAAACTGAAGCGTATAAGCCCTTAAATTTATTATCTTCAACTTCAGTTTATAACTCACACTTAGTAAATAAACCATAATCTACTGAAAGGTACAATCTTAGCGCAAGTTGATTTAGAAGTGAACCGAAAGAGTCCAAGAGGAAATGTGAACTCTTTCCTCGAATCCTCTGACAGTTGGTCAAAACTGTGTTAGGTTCTCAAGATTTCATGTATCAGTTATTCATACTCTTGGTGACGTGGTTTAAAATTGACCTCAGCGTGTAAAAATTCCGAACAAGCTTATTAGTTTTCATTATATATAGTTTGTATTTGTGTAAGTCACAGCGTGTTTGAAATGTTCCAACGTTTCGCACGGAATTGTTTCATTTCAAACACGCCCAGTGTTTGCCTTACTATTCGGTCAAATCTTGATCCTAGTTCTCTCTCTGTTCCTCTTTCATATATATATATATATATATATATATATATATATATATATATATATATATATATAATTCTCTTTGTATACCTTGTTATCTTTCTACTTTTCTTGATTTCTTATTTCTTTGCTGTTGTGATTTGTGACGTCTTAAACAGAGATGCTTTCTGTGTGATATACTGTGTTTTATTTTTGTTTTCCTTCTGTACACGAAGTACATTTTATTCAAGTTGGTAGTTCTCACCACAGAATGTCAACGTAATTTTGGGAACCATTAAAACTACGAGCCAACGAATTCAGGTGTTGAAAGAAGTACCCACCAATGACATCGGATAATTGTCTTGCCTATTTGTACTGTGAATCAATAACTTTGAAAAACATAAACTATTGGGTTCCAAACTTGTGACTGAATGCTAACTAGCTTGTTGTGAGAACTAATGACCCTGAATTTGATTTCGTACGGACTTGTTCATGTACATATAAAAAAAACACAAACTGAAAGAAGGCAACTCTGCAGTGATCCATGATCTTGAATTTATCTCAAAAAGTGATGTCAGTTCATGATTAAAATTATTCCCGGTGGGAACAACATCACTCACTGGGAGGCAGGTACATCCAGGCGACAAGTCCCAAATCGGTCAAAATGCGCATCATGGATTCCACTGCTAGCCACTACCCATCATTACTATATTCCCAAATAGTCTATTCCTCCACTCCCCATAAAGCCTCTATTGGAATGCATTTGTCATTCCAGGTTGTATTCCATTCTTGGTAATCGTGGGGAATCTAAGCTTGATGATGGAGGGTTTTTCTTCTGACTTTTTAAACTCTAAGATAATGTGCTCATCGCAGTTACCTGTTTTTCTTTTTCATGGGTAATCCTGACCTGTTTTTTTGAAAAGGCTGTTTTGAGTGTCTCGGATACAGAAGGTCGGTTTTGCATTCGCCAACTTTCGTCACCCATGGCACTGGCGAGACACCCGCCTATTTGTCATAGGACGAGTATACCACTCTATATTCCGTTCTGTCTTGGTGTACGCGTGTGAGAAATAACCATTAGCGGTAAAATGCACGAAGCGGTTACAGATTTGGCGGGATCACCGTGTGAGCAATGTTGAGGTCAGGTGAAGGGTACTAGGCAAGGATGGCAAGTCAACTGATGAGGTTGTAGACCTTATTTGACTGAGGTGACTAGCACACAGGCTGCACGTGCCGAGTCACCACCTACCTCGACATGCCGTGCTAGGAGAATTTAGATCAGGTTGAAAGACTGTTCAGGTTGGTCAGACCAAGACGTGACATCAGTCGGTGAAGTCTCTTCATGTTGGTGTGAGGCGTGTAAGGAGATGTGGACTGCCTGTCTGGAGTTCCTGAGACGATAAGAATCAGTGGTTTGAGAAATGCTGCCTACATGGCTGTAAATTGGTCATAATGATGTAGATGTAGTCACTGTTCAACGTCTTTTAAATCTTACATATTTGTACTAACCTTCATCTTCAGATTGTATATTCTCTCATACAATGTTATCTACTTTGATATCAGTCTTTTTCTATCCACTTTTATGGTTTGTATACTACTGTGAAGTGTGGCAATTTGGAGTGATGGACTTGTGTGTGAGTTTCAACGTTGATTTCGTCTGTTTGTATTGAGTAGTGACTTTTATAGTTTTAGTGGACTACTATCTGTAAGCGTAAGAAAAAAGCACAACAGATCATAGTGGCATATTAGATTTAACAGTGAGTTACTAGCTAATCTAAAATAGGAATTGTGGCAAATCGTTTTAGCTAAAAGTGTGGATGTTCAAAGTGAGTTCTTCTCTGACCTAGTGTTTTATTTGTCAAACTTTTCAATGTCATGCTAGGCATCGCTATTGGTGCATTAAAGCTTCATAAGGAAGTGAAGTAATTGACTTTGGGTGGATAATTATGACATGGTCTTGATCATACAAAACTAACCACTTCACTTTCTTGTGACACTGATGACGATGTCTGGCAAGACATTAAAATGTTTGATCCAAAATAAGAAAACTTCAAACCAGAAAAAAATTGAAGGGGATCATGGTGACTTGATAAGACGTTACTAACAGACTTCCCCTTTTTACTATCATTTTGAGCTGTTTGTATTGTAGACGACAGGTCAACAAAAAGAAAGCAATAACGGATTTGAAATAATAAATCGCACAACCACTAATCGTTTCTAGTGGTAGAAAATACCTAACCGTGTGAGCGACTTCAGTTTACCCCTAAATTCATCCGAATTGATGTATCTTGTCTAATCCTCAGTGGCCAGTTGAGGAAACTGACTGTAATTTGCATAAATAATAAGCCATGTATTCAGATAAGGTAATTCAATTGCCCCGTTACTCTATATACCTAGTTGTACTACTTTTAATGCAAAGTAGTTTTCTAATGGATGTCAAATTCTTCAGTATTCTATGGTTTAGTTGCACGTTTTTATCACTGTAAAAGTTAAAGGTTCCATAGAAAGTGATAGAAGCTTTCTGAATGATACCAGAAAGAGAAGAACTGAACAACAATGTTAAATTTCCTCCAGAAGGACACACCCATAAGTCCTGACCAGCGAAATAGCATTAAAAAAGGACTTAAAAGCACATGAGGACAAACAGTAAGACCATAACCGTACAAAATAACACATTATTCAGGGTTTCGTGAAATATATGCATGTGATGTATGTAAAGCCACTGTATACAATTTTAAGGTTTACAGCCTTAAGCTACCAACTTTTGATTGCAACCGTTACGTGGACTGTATCTATAATACCTACAGTTTTCTTTGTATCTCGGCCATCAAGTATGTGTAGTCCCTGCATTACCTGTCTTCTGAAACTATAACTCTTGATCATGTTAAATATCACAGCGCATTAATACACCAAGTGTTGTTTTCTTTCTTGTTTGTACCAGGTACAGTGCAAGTGTCAATTGTCCATTGTTGTGTATCCATGCGGAGATTTTGTTGACAACGTCTTGTTCTATTTAACTTTTTTCCCTTTCTCTATGATATCACTCATATTGTGTGAAACATATTCACTAGGATTATTTTTGATTTTTAGATACCTATCTCGAAGCCTCCTGAAATTAATCCGAACAACTGCAGTGAGTTGAGTTCTTATTTGTTAAGTGCTTTTGCGGTTAGACTTACCCTCAGTTAGTCCAGTTTCTATGATCCTTCAACCAAAAAATATCCAAAAAAAAATACTGGAATGATTTTCTGTAGGCCCAAAGGCTTTTGTAAGCAGAAGTCAAACAGTCATTAGAATTAAACATCCTACATATTCTACTGCTAAACACAACCTTTTTCTACAACATTGGGAAACTTGTTCTAGTGGTAACAGTTGAACAGAAAACCTGAGGTTTTCTTTATCCATTCTAATGCAACAGCACTAACTAGTTGTTGAAGTCAGAGTACTGCTAAATTATTGGAGAGACGAACTTCAATAGGATCGAAAATATGTGAACTAATTACACCACTGACTGCAAATTCCTAAAAGTTGTGTTATCCTTCCAGTGTTCAAACTGACCTTATTTGTCGTTATCATTTCAATCGAAGGATTGGACAGTAATCACAAGTTTATTAACAGCTTCTTTGATGACATCAAGTTCATAATAGAAGGGAAGTTAAATTGATCAGCTGAATGTTACAAGGATCTTAGGAAACAAGGTCAGCATATATCGGTTCTGAGCTGTGGCTTACTGCCTACAGCAGGAATGCGCACAAGGTCGCTGAGTGGATTTCGATTTGCAATATACCAGTTTGAACCTTTTAAAGCTACAAACTTCCCTTTAACCTCTATGAACGCTATGATATAATCAAGTTTGTCAACTAAGATTATCACAGAGAGGCGTTGGTTTGAATCTTGCTTCAACTGAGGTTTACGTTTCTCCTTCAGTTATCACCTCGTATCAATCTACCAAGTCACAACTGACCAATAAGTAACGAAATCTTCAAATAAAGAAACCACAATCCAACTATTCACAGTGTTACTTTTGTACGGAATCTTTTAGGAAAATCAAAGGTCTAACACTAAAATATCGTTCAGAAAAGTTGAAGTTATCTTACAGCTCTGTTCTAAAAGAACATCTTCGTTGAAAATGTCATAAAAATCATTTGTCAAATTCATCAACACCTACAAAGTCACACTTGAAAGCCAACAAACGATACTATAATCTTTCATGATTCACTCTCTCAACACTGAAAAACTCTAATGTTAGCAGATTCGTCACTGTGTTTCGGTAAATCTTCAGCCTTCACCGTACTCTAATATTTGGAAATGGTTACTGAACGGGAGTTAAAATCAGTGACCGACATTGTGTAAACGTCAGTTAAAATAGGTGAGGGTATTTTACTGAGCTTATCTAGTTCACAGTTGACCGAGATAGGAGATGATATCTGAAATCTGGCGTAGGATATCTTATGGTGGTCTGCTTGAATAATCAATAGATCTTAGTTTTGATTATGTAAGTTCCCTGGCCTTTGTGATGATATCAGTAATTCGATTTTCGCATGAATTTGTATTCATTTTATCTTGATTACCTTCTTTTTCTATTTTTCAGTGGAAAGCCTGCATATTATGATAGCTTGTGGCCCCTATACACTTTCCACTTCACATGATCCTACAGGTCTCTTCAATTTATTACGTTCTGTGAAGCAGTCAAAACCTCATATTCTCATTCTGCTTGGACCGTTTGTTGATTCAGAGCATCCTAGTATTGAGGTATTTACTGAATTCTGCAGAAATGTTTTATCTCCTTTGTTTCTCCTAATAAGTGTTGATGTTTCAGTACTGAATGCAATGAAGATGTCTACATAAATTTATTTAGTAATATTAGCATTTCTCGTGATATATGTTTAGTTATTTGTATTCAAATGACTATACAAGCATGTTTAGGTTTATCTTATTTATCATCACGTCTTAATCTTTATTATCGTTATCCAGTAGACTTGCATTTTTAACTGAATATTTCCTGAAAGCTTAGAAAGAGAAATTGGCCATTAGGTTACTTAATTTCAAGTTAGCTTTTTATTGGATGACATTTTTGGACACAACTCCAGTCCATTATTTTATCGCATCAGAAGTGACTTTCATTTGATTATCGATGATAAAAAATTGTGTCAAAAACTTCATCCAATAAACAATAATATATTTCTCTTTGCTATTTTAAATCAATAAACTGGTATTTCCTGAACGATTCACACTGACTGTGTTTACATAAGTGAATGAATAGGAAGGGCGCATGTCTGTTTTACTGATTAAACACGAACGGAAAAAAAAGAAACAACACTTAGGACTGGATAACATGGAGTTGGTTACCCTTCAGTCATCAGTTAGTGTACCTAGTCCAGTCCTACACGTAGGGGTCAATTGCGACCCGAATCGCTCAGTGGTAACGTCTTTAACTGCAGCACTGGGTGATGCTGATCCGAATCTCAGGTGGGACATCACTTCCCTCGGAGTTGCGAACAAGCCCTGCTGACGAGTGCCAACAAGCATGAAACCTATGTCAAGTGGGGCCTCCTGCCAATTGTCTCCACTCAACTAACATCTATCACGTATCATCGCGATGACTAGTGTCCTAGCTTCATGGCGACATTGCTAAATGATCGATAGAATTCTGTCAGCACATAGGACTAGAGAACGTGAAGTTGGTTGCCCTTCAGTGACCTACCAATGTACAAAAGAAACGAACTCAGCAAGCTTGTGCAAGTTTATGCAGTAGGCAATGAGTCACACCTATTGCGTGAGGGTTAATAATATTACCTGCCTGCTCAAACTTTGGTAGGCGGAGTAGTGTTGGAACTCATGTGTAACCTATCAATTGAAAGTCAACTACGTAAACCAATGAGCCATAGATCAAATAATACAGGATTATTTCAGAAACTGACTGAAATTCGCTCCATTAACCGACGCAATAAATCTCATGAAGTATCCATTAGAATACTTCTGAAGCATAAACTGTAAATACACTTTTAATGAAACTGAAATGAATACTAAACTTAATCCTCTTAGATTCTCTTTTCTTACATGGATATGCAATATGACCTAGATTTCATGAAAAAGAACCAACTAGCTCTGCATTGAAGAGGATTACCAGCTTGAAATATTCATGAGCAAAACTACTGGTTTAGTATTTGATGAATATGTGGTTTAACTGTTCATTTTAGTAGGACTCGGGAATAATATAAGCCTCCTTAAGTTTTTTACTTCTTACTTGGATTCAAAGTAACTGGAAACCGCCTCTTGTAAAATCGAAACCAGTCAAAATTTGTTGCTTATCTCCGGTTGGATATTACTCTGCGATAAATTCTGAATCAATTAAGTGTAACTTTGTTATTATAATATGTTCATCTGATTTCATACTTTTCTTTAGTCTTATTCCGAAACAACTTACGAAGAATTGTTTCAATCACGGGTGAACAGTATTAGTGAATGGTGTAGTCATTTGTCAATCAAATTGGTAATAGTCTCTTCCTGGAGAGAATTACATCATGACCCAGTGTATCCAACTCCGGCAATCGATAAGTCATGGACAGAAAAGACACCTGACCTGGTAGGTCCTAAATTTCAATATTGTTGATACAGAATGTATTATATCAGTTTTTTGCAATGCAGATATCTAGTTCTTAGTAAGAACCTGATAGAAATGAAATAGAACTTGTTGATATAGTCTGACGGTTCAAATTTTTCCCCTTTCTATAAAAATGAGAAGTAATAACCAGACATTCGTTTATTAAGACAAGTAAACCAGCAAAGTTAAAGTTGAATCTTCTGTACTATTAATTCGTTATACTGTTTTAGGTCTCTTATTATTAATTTTCGTGTGGTGCAGTTACACGGGAAAAAAATTGCCTGCCGACTGGGAGTCCAACATATTTGTTGTGAGACTGAAACGATGAACAAACAGATTAAACAGCATATAAATGGTATGTTTTTTCGAATTGTCACACTTCTCTAATGCATGTAGGACAGGCATCAACAGGGCAGGGGAAAACTCAGAATTATGTTAGAGGGAGAAAATAAATGGACAGTAAATTGATATCTGTGGGGTTAAGCGTATTTCCACTACTCTCCCGGGTTCCTAGTTGTATCGCAAAAGGTTGCTATTATCTCGAGGGCTTCCAGATACTGCTCATATCTGCAAGTAATCACAGTTATGTCCGTACGCAAAAAGAATAAGGGCAATAACCAGCTAATCACGATTATCCTTTTGTTCTCATTGGTTGACATCTTGACTAGGTTTAGTACACTTCTCATATATTTTGCTAAATACAATATTATTGTCCATTTTATGCTCCCTAGCTGCCTGCTTTTGTCTTCTCTCTAAGCCAGCTATTATGAATTTATTTGTGGTAGAACTACCTCGCTCCTAGCAACTTGACGCGACGATAATAGATAAAACCAACATTTGGCTAGTTACTTCAAAGGCCACTCCAACAACTACTTAGATAACCAATTAGAGGTCTGTATTTTGTGACTTTTCTATCTAAAATGAAGGAACTTATTTGGTTATTTCGGTCGTTTCTAGGGATCATTTAAAGCCGCTGCTTTCGTAATTTCTCTCAATCCGTTACTCGTAGGACCAAATGGGAAACCTAAACGGACTTCATATCGAAACAACAGCCATACCATCGTTATATACTTTCTGTCTTATGCTGCCTTTTTTTACTTACCGAGGAAATAAGTTACCATCAAGGGGAGATTTTGAAGGTTAGTATCCAAGTATTGGCATGCGTGTATCAGGTTATATCAGAAACTTATGCAATTAGTCACTAGGATTAGTTCACTTTAAGATGAGCATAATTTTAGTATACGTTGCCTGGTTTACTTGTACCCCAGCTGTTACAACAGATTCACTGTTGCGTAACAAACGAAATCTGTTTATTGTAAACCGTTACTGAAATTCGATAGTCACATACGTTAGACACTTTTACCAGTGTTATGAAAAAATGGTTTATGTTGCTTCAATTGAAATTCGCCTTGACCGTTTCATTTTTTTTCTCCATTCAATGGAATTGCATTTTCCAGCTCTCGTCATACGAAAAAGTTCAGTTTGCACCTGATCCTTGTCTTATTCAGATTGGGGATTATATTTTCGGTGTGACATCTGTGGATGTGCTCAAGGATCTTAGCTGTGAAGAAATCAGTGCTGGGTAATGTTTTTGTAAAATTATCCCTTGATACGAACATCCTTTTCCTGTTACTAATGTTATTCATCCATGAAACATTATGGTGTATTAGACAATAGTTTTATTTATCCTGAACGCTTTCTGCAAGACTTGAACCTTCTTTGTTTAGATGTCTTTACTTAGACACAGTTAATCGTCTGATACCATTTTCAAAAGGCGTACATAATAAGTTGTTTAAATGCTGTTCACTTTAACTGTGTTTAGGTACCGTGTCTATCCACACGTTTAACTACATGCATATTCCCACTTCATGTTATTCATAATTCATATTACTAACTAGTTACAAGTTCCCACTTCTGACTTTCGGTCGGTAAAAGCAAGACGAAGTTTCCTGGTTCTATATTTTATGGAAAGAATGTACTTTTCTAGTCAAATTGAAGAAATTCAGTTATTTCAGTCGTTGCTCGGATGATCCTTAAAGTCAATCCATTCTTTGATTTGTTACTTGAAAGCAATCAATTTCATGTTGTTTAGTCATGAGTGGTGATCAAATTCTATCTATCATTTTGTAAGCTAGAAGGCTGATCATCGCATTGGACTTTGGTGAATGTTAGTTGGTTGAAGGCAATCAGCAGGAAGCCCTGTTTGACGTAGGTTTCCTTCTTGTTGGCACTCGTCGGCAGAGTGTACCTGCAATATCATAGGAATTTATATCCCCTTTGAGATTCGAGGCCGTATCACCCACTGTTGTAGTCAGCGACGTTATCACTGAGTTATTCGTGCTGCGACTGACTTCCTGTAGAACTGGATTAGGTACATTGATTGGTCATTGGAGAGAAACTAATTTCACATTACAAAATGATCGGTAGGATTCAGTCGGCACTCAGGACTAGCTAGCATAGTCGCCTTCCATTGACTAGGCAATGTATCTAATCCATTCTCACAAGATATCCGTCGTAGACTAAATACCTCACTGGTAACGCCTCTGACTGCAGCGCTGAGTGACGCGGGTGTGGATGTCTGGAATACCGGTCTCCTTGAGGCTGCAGACATGCCTATGCCGACGAATACCAAACAACACGAAACTTAGGTCAAGCAGGACTTCCTGCCGATTGCCTCGCACCAACCTACATCATTTCACTCTTCTTTTAGATCCGTTAGCAACAGTGGCTCATGCTATGCGTTCGTATGAACTTCGTACCCACAATATTAAATAATTATTCACTCTTAAATAAAGTCATTTCGACCAGTGAGGACTGTATGACGATTATTCCTGAATAGTGAGTTGCGCAAAAGTGGAATTGCAAGCATGCCTATATATATATATATATATATATATATATATATATATATATATATATATATATAGTTGTTCCGCTGCATGTGGGTATTCATTCACTGAATATGTAGTCTTGCGGGTGTATTTTGACATGGTAGTTGAGTGGTCAAATCTAATTTCGATAGTCTGGTTTTCGACATTTCTTTAATATGAGGAACACAAATTGAATCAAGATTTCCCAGTTCTTTCCTCATCTTTCCTTTAAATTGATGTTGAAGTATTAGCAAAACATCGTAGGTTATCAGTCTAGTGTTTTGTTATGAGTTAGTTAAGAAGAATTATTTGACAGCATTCAGAGAATGGTAGTCTGTCAATTAGATGGTGACAGTGTGGCTCATTTTTTGGTGCCCATTTTTCACCGAGTTTGTTTAAATAAATTATCGAGTATTACCTCACTCAAAGAGCACGACTTTCATGCAAACATGGTTGAAATCTAAGCACATCATTTTTGAATAGTAAGAATAACTATGGTTAGCAAGAGAATTATTTTGGTCATTTTCGAAAAAGAATTGTGTAAAAAAAAGTGTAACAAAAAAACATGAATTTAAATTTGTAGCGATGTTTTTTTTAAACCATAACATGCACACATTGTTTGTACTGTAGCATAAGTTTCTAGGCAATGTGCGGATGACTGCGGTGGAGAAATACGTTGCACATACCAATTTTCAGTACATTCCGCTTGTTCATATGAATTTTGATGGGTATTACTACACTTGAAGTATAGTTTCTTAGTGTATAAGTTTGATTGGTTATTATATTGGTAGGTGCAGAGCAGAATTTATATTTTGTTGGCTTAATTACTCAACTTTCAAGTAATGGGTTCTGGATTCGATTCCCATTCACCCTACTTTGACTTTCATACAATAAGTGTGACTCATAGCCTAGGATATCAAGGTGTATCGGATTACTAATTCACATATTAGTGAATAACTTTGGAAACTTTGCTTATATCAGTTTGATCTGCCTCATCTATCAAAAAAGATACGTGGACATTGTCTTTATTCAATTGTTCACTAATTTGCTCATATGTCACCGTCAGTTTGAACTGTATTACTCATTCATGTCAAAAACTTTTAAATAAATATGAAGAGCACTTTGGGTGAATAAGATTCTTCTGCCATCATTTTCTACTTTTCAGTTGTTCTGGCAGTGACAGAATCACCCGTTTATGCCGGCATATTCTTGCCTCTGGTTCGTTTTATCCGGTACATCCTCCGGATGATGATCTCCCACTTGATTATCCTTTATGGGATAAATATGCTCAGTTTTCTGTTACACCTCACTGTTTGATTCTACCATCAAAGTTGCGTCAATTTGCAAAGGTATATTCTTGTTTAACTATGATGTTGATAATAGCTGTTATTGTTTCAATGCTTTTAAATAATATTCTGTAGTGTATGTGTATCGCTGATTTATAAGGAAATCTAATGAGAAGCAATCTAAGAGTTTTAGCTTGGCACCCATGTACATATCTGAGTATTTGAGTATGATGTACACATGTATTGTTACGGTTTTTTTTGCTTGTCCAAACTTCAATAAGTGAAGCACAATTCGGCTTTATAAAACAGTAGTTGAAAGTTTATTGGCTTAGTTATTAATATTTGATTGATTCCAGACGATACATGAATACTTTGAGCTGAAATAATATCTGTTATGATTTTTATACAATGCTAATTGATTAAATGTAGCATTATTTTTAAGAAGACTGTTATAAAGTCGCTAGCTAACATTGTTAAACTGTGTAGCAAAATCAATGTTCCATGATTGTGGGAATCTTCAAGACCTTAAAAAACACAGTTATATTTGCATCGTGGTAAAAGCGATCACAGTAGTGTGCATCCTTCCACTATATCTGTCTAAGCGTCAACACGTATATTGATACCTTTTGCATGCCCTCAGGTCAATCTTCTAATTCATCATAATTTTGCTCTCCTTTTTCTTCATACCTTTTGTGTTATCCGTACTTATGGTGAATTAAAAGGATATACTTTTTTAGGTTTCTGGTTTCCATATGTCTATCTGAATTTCGATATTTAAGATCATGTTGACAATTTGTATTTAAAATTGCATCGTCTGCAGTCCGTTGTATTCTGTTATGTGGCTGTGACACATGGTCGTTAAAAATAGACGACATGAAGGGGTTACAGGTTTTTAATCACAGCTGTCCTTCGTAGCATTGCGTGTGCGCGATGGGATCACCGTGTGAGCAATGTTGAGGTCAGGTGAAGGGTACTAGGCAAGGATGGCAAGTCAACTGATGAGGTTGTAGACCTTATTCGACTGAGGTGACTAGCACACAGGCTGCACGTGCCGAGTCACCACCTACCTCGACATGCCGTGCTAGGAGAATTTAGATCAGGTTGGAAGACTGTTCAGGTTGGTCAGACCAAGACGTGACATCAGTCGGTGAAGTCTCTTCATGTTGGTGTGAGGCGTGTAAGGAGATGTGGACTGCCTGTCTGGAGTTCCTGAGACGATAAGAATCAGTGGTTTGAGAAATGCTGCCTACATGGCTGTAAATTGGTCATAATGATGTAGATGTAGTCACTGTTCAACGTCTTTTAAATCTTACATATTTGTACTAGCCGTCATTTACAGATTGTGTACTTTGATATCAGTCTTCTTCAATCCACTTGTTGTTTGTATACTACTGTGAAGTGTGGCAACTTGGAGTGATGGAGTTGTATGCGAGGTTCTGCGTCGATTTTGTCTGTCTGTCTGATACCGCATCACCGGTAAACTTCAGCTTATTTCACAGCTGCTATCATAATGTGGATAGGTGAATTACTAAACTGACTGGCACTGACTCTATAGATGCCGTTAAACTGTTGCTCACTAAGAAACTTCAGCTCACTATGTCATTTTGCAATCTTTTACTTGCTATGTAGATTAGTAAAGGCGGTTCTTGTTCTATTGAGTAGCCTTGGTAAAGTTCTGAGACTCTGTCAGTAGTACTGTCACATGCAAATTAGAATCGGTTGCTGACGTCATTCAAATCCTTATGGTTGTTTTATACGCCTTACTAATCCAGTATTATTTCGTACGATTAATATTATTTACTGACTACTGTTTTACTGTGATAAATACTAAATAAGAACGATAGTGAAATTATACTTCTACCCTAATGCCTGAATTCTACTCTTATATTCATCAACTCCTGCTGCTAGTTTGTTCTCCTCTTATTATGAGTATACGTAAATGGCAAAGAAATGATTGAATTCACTGTCTATGCAACCGTACCTATCTGCTCTCAACAGAGATTACAGCAATAACTTTATTCTTCTGCTGCTTTGCAAAAGTTTGATTGTTGGTCTGTAAAATGTTTGATGAAGAATTTTCCATTTTCTGTTCCCTACAGTTATGGTCAACCAACTGTGCCACGATTTCTCCATCACCCAAATTGAAATCGGTGCCACTTAAGTATTTCGCATACTTTTTCAGTCAGTCCTCTATTGACGTGAAGTATTTAGGGTATTCAGTACCGGTTGTCATTACTAAATCTAAAAGCAACAACTTTGATATAGTGTCAAATCGCATTGTATTTCTTTGTTACATTTAATTCCGCGTGACCTCATCACTGCCGAAAGAGATCAGAAGGCATGGTCGGTTCAGTTTTACCAATGACTGTCGGGAAAATTACCATCTATATTAAATTACTTGGATATCAGTATTTCCCCACAACCATCTAATTTATCTCTGCGAATTCAAGAGTTGTAGTGAACTGATTTCTAATTGTAGCTTTTCTATTTTGTCCTGTGCTTTAGGATCAATATTGATAGGTATAGTGTTATTGTACAAGAAGTGGCTATCGTGGCTCGGTGGTGTAGTGGAGAGCGCTCTCGAGTTTGAAGCGATCGCTTGCGAGTTCGAGTCCCGGTGGTAACAACATCACTCACTGGGAGGCAGGTACATCCAGCTGACGAGTCTCAAATAGGGCAAAATACGCATCCTGGATTCCACTGCTAGCCACTGCCCATCATTGTTAATAAGTAAGTTTCCGTATAATATCAGCAAACGAAGTATTCATCAATCCATCAATATCAACGTAGCAGTAGGTATTACTGTGTAACGGTTTAAGTTGTCACACTTCATGTCACCACATCAAGTTATAAAATAGTAAGAGGAAAGATGAAAAAAGAAAAGAAAATCGGTCAAAAGCAGTAAAAGGGAAGAATGAAGAAATGCTGAATTCAATATAGTGGTCAAGATGAAAATGAAGTGTCGATACATCTGCACCACTGACATTGGTTCTGAGCCATATCATCTAAAATCTCCAACCAGTGGACCCTAAACGGCTAGTCTGCATATCCCAAGATGGCTTAAACCAACAGTCAGAAACTTCTTATGGTAATGCCATGTTTTAGTCTGTCCACCCCGTGCCTTTTTTCATCCTTCACCTACTTTAGCTAACATTGCGTGACAAGGCAGATGGTGAGTCGGCATGCACAACATATGTCGCAGCCCCCCGAATCGATGAGGGTTCCCGACTTCATCAACTTATTTTTCTCTCCCCCTAAAACTCTACACATGACTTCTGCGTTACCGACTTGGTGACACTATGACATTCGGCCTACGAAGCCAACTGTGGTCAAACACCAGATGCCTTCTCATGTCCTCTACCCTTAATGACCAAATTTGACAGCCTTACAGTTGTTTCCTTCTTTTTAGTAAAACGCTGAGAGTTTAACATACTTTTTGGACATTGTTACTTATTTACTGTCCTATTGCGATCCATTGACTTTTTTTTCAAGAATGTAGAAGGAGTGCTGTGTGTCAATCCTGGATATGTGTCTCGAGGAGAAACTTTTGGAAGTTATGCTGAAATAGTTGTCAACATGAATGCGCTTACAAATACCAATGGAAGTAGTACCGATGCTGACTTGCCTATGGCTAATGAATCATCATCGCAATCTTCTAGCCCCAGTATTTGTGATCGTACATCTGTCCTTATTAAACGAATGTAATTCACCTCAATTTTTTAGAAGAGAAATATATTTTTACCTACTGAACTTCTCTCTGTTTAGCTTTTTATTGCCGTGTATCTTTAGTGTGAAAGATTGTTTTTTAGAAACAAGTCACATTCCAAGTCAAGGGTGATCATTCTTATCTGCCGTTTTGGCTACCAAAGTGATTCGAGTTATTAGCGTGTTGAATAATCTGTTAACTTCATGATTGAGAATAGTTTTGCCCACGGAAATTGTGTAGCAATAACTTTTCTACTATTTGTAGAAAGTAATAACTCTTCAATTGATCGAATGTTTAATATCAGCGGATTTCCATCACAACATGCACACACTTTCCATACCACATTTTTTAATGGAATCCACATCGAATAAGATGGATTTTAGTCGTGTTTTCAAAAATAAAATCGTGTAGTCAATTAATATATGGGGTGAACAGTTGTAAACACCATTTTACATTACTTCTGAGTGGGAAAAGTCTGTTTCGAGTTCTGAGATTAAAGTTTATCCGCTTTCCTTAATATCTTTAAACTTGTTGTGTAACCTCTTTTTTTTTTTTTAGCTACTTACTGTACACCTGATGTGAGGAAATAGTGTATGGATTCTTAAGACCGTGGCCTTTTACATTCCATTTTCTTGAAAACAAACCTATCGAACTTCCCGATTTGATCATGTTCTCTACATACTGTTACATACCACATCATAAAATTGTACTCACGGAAGCCCTGTATCAGGCATCGCTGGCTCTCAAGACTTTAGTAGTCTTAATTTATACGGCGAACAATTCGAATGGATCCCACTTAAAAGTTGCTCTGGTGTTATTGAATTTAATGATGTGGGTGTATTCAGGAAAGCAATCCTTTCTGGTGCACCTGTTCACACTCATCACACCTAAGTGTGGTAAGTTCATTATGCAATTCAGTTTCTATCAGAATCCTCGTGAGCAGACATATAGAAGAAATTGGTTGTACCTAGTATTTCAAGTAAATACCGAACTAGGCTAGCTGTTGAACTTTCAGAAAGTATGGATGAAGATTGACTGCACTAACATGCCGACATGGAAATAGCGAGTAAAGCTGCTTGTGGTGTAGAGAACATCCTGCCAATAGACACTGAGTTTCAAACTTCTAGTAACTTTTTGATGCTTATTGGCCTATTCCGATAATCAAAGAGATCAAATTGCACTTGCGTAAGGACCACGACCCTTGGTGGTCAGAACGCGCGAGTAAGATGAGAGCAGCAGCTAAACCCAAAAATCGCGGAAGCTGTTCTAGCGTATCTGAACCACCTGTAGCAAGAAGCTTGGTATCAATGAAGTGGACTGTGATGTAGGTGGTAATGCAAATCACCAACCTCCATTAACACCTGAACTCTTGATGGTGCACTTCGAAATGCCGTCCAGCTCCAGTAATATCGACTTCAGTGTCTTGTGGTTCATGCTTAATTAACATCAACCCACATAACGGAGCAGGGGACTGTAAGGAGCTCTAACCACTAGAGCGCCAAAAGACTCCCAGACCTACCCTTGCCGTTTACAAGAATGTAGGTCAAACTGTAGTCAGACTACTGACTACATTTTTGTGAAGATGTGGCAGACTGGGAATGTCTCATCACTCTGAAATAATGCCATTGTTGTACTCCTTTTCAAAAATATCTACCGAATGTATGATAATCATCGGGCCATCTGTCCGGTACCGGGTGGCGTTTGAAGTACTGACTGCTATTATACTTTGCAGGCTGTACAAAACACGTGAGGAACAAGGAGGGTTTCGTTTAGGTCTTGTATACGCTACTCACGTGTTCACCTTCCGCCGAATACTCGAACACTGTCACACGTGTTGTACGTGAGCGATCGTTTTTTTCCATACTAGAACAACCTTTGATTTGTTGGACAATTTTGTATTCTAGAATTGTCTGCTAGAAGGGAGGAGCGTTCTTGAGAAATTTCCTAATATTTTGGAAACCCTATTCGTCAACATTTCAGTTAAAGTGAATGCTAACAACTGCATATTCCTACTGTTCGAAACTAATAGTGAGCTTACGCAAGGTTACTGGATTCTGCCATTCCTCTTCAACTTTGCCACCAAGTGTATCCTAGACACAATGCTGAAGTAGGTGCATTGTGGTGATGTAGACCTGTTACTACCAAGTGGAAGACGTTTCGACATCGAGTATGCAGACGACATCGCTCTACTGTGCGACTCAATCAGTGTTACTGCAATATATTCTTCCCACTGTAGAAGTTTAAAGTGCTTCTACAAGATTAGCAGGAGTCTGTGCTTTCATCTAATCCTTGGTGGTGAATCTCCAGGAACTGAAAAGGTTTGTGTACCTGGCTAGTTATGTGAGCGTTGGTGGGGCTATGACTAATGGGATTTCCAACTTCATGCCAAAAACAGAGTGGCATATGCTAATTTGGGTCATCTTTAACAATGTCATGATGTCAACCTTCATATGAAAGACGGGGTATACAACGCACCAGTTTGAGTAGTTTTACTCTGTACCTATGAACTAAGGCCTATCCGAACTCAGAATGTTCGATGACTGCGTATTTGATCACTGTTGTCTGTAGACGATTACTTGCATTCAGCGGGCATCTGGTACGGATTTTGTCTCATTAACTGCCGTGTCGCTCACTTCGCTTTCTCTAGGACTAGTTGAAAGAAGCAGAGGGGTGCCCAGTGTTTGATGTGGCGCAATGTGATGAAGGGTATCTGTGTTGTGTTATCACCCGTAGGTGCCTCATGACTCGCTGGTTTGAGTCATGCAATCTAGTGGCTTGAGGTAATAGTAGACATGGCTCTGAATCGAAAGCAGTGGTGATCTCGTGTTTTTCGTATGTCTTCTGTTTGTGGAAACTAATACATGCAATGAAAGCTACATTTCAACGAATCCCACTCAACTTACTGTATTCACCACTCATTTCCTACCTCTTATCATTCTGAGTATCATAATGTTATATTCCTCTGTTCGGCATGTTGTACCAAGTTTGTACTTGAGTTGTAGTAATCGTAACGCGAGGAAAATCAAGCGTCCGACATCTAGTTGTTGTATCGTTGTGGTCGTTAATATATAGAGCAGAGAATTGATTTCGTTGTGTTTTCAGAAAATCAACGTGACCAACTGATATTTTTTGTAGCGTTCTGACAATATTCTGACACTCGAATTTCTATAGGTACTCGTGAATTTTATCGCCTAGGAATTAACATACTTCACATTTTTCCCTAATGGACTAGGAGTGTAAAATTTATCTTAGAGACCCTGATGCATAACTGTTGGTCATGAAATCTTCCTATATCGTCGAAGAATATACTATTAGCTCTCAGTATGCGAGTATATAGAGAATCACTACACCAACTTTCATTTATATTGGTGTGATATACAAAAAACTTCAGTTGCAGAAGCGCCTATAAAGACTGCATTCAAGTACTCCGGAGCCGCAGACTATATGTTTACGATCTGTTCTACTACATGATTATTACTGTTGCGACAATCCTGCTTTACTTATAAACCCTTTAGAGTGAGCAGGCTTAGTGTCATCAGTTTGAACAATCAACATCATATTTACCTTCTGGTCATTATCTCATGTCATCAAAAATACTGTAAATATTTGAGGCTATTAGAATTGTCACACAGCGAAACAGCATTATTTACTGAGTCACTTTTCGGGCATTATTTAAGGTCCATTTTCATATCAGGTAACTCCACAACTTTGAGACTTGGTTTGTGTATTTCGAATTCTCTTTACTCTGTTACGAGAGTAGAAGAATTTCCCATACATCCGAGACAGGTGCAACATCATTTCTATCGCATGTATTTGGCGTTGACTCTATGAATAAAGAATCCGTTATCAATCTCTCAAAGCAACTAAGTTGGCTTTTAATACTGTCGCTCTGTCCCACCAAACAATGTGAATCTGTACATTTCTGTGCATAGGTATGGCCAACCTCTTCTCTAAATCCCATATCTTATTCGATAGTATCTACTAATCTTGATTTGGGTAGCTTTTATGCTGCCATTGTAACTGACGCTAGTGAACTAATTTGGTAAGAAATGATAATCAACAAACGGTAGCGAAAAGATGGAACAGTCTAGAAATCGAAACCAGACAATGGATAAGTGTGGTTTCAAATGTGTTACATAATTATTGAATTTAGGTTTTTTTATTTTAGGGTCTTGTTTTATTTTCATTTCTGCATACATTGAACATCGCTACTTTAACGAATACAATTATTTTAATTTCTGCTCACTTTCTATTTTGTGCAAGTGTATACTTTGCATGATGTCACTGATAATCGTACACAAAGAATCACTTAAGTGTCACTTGACGATTGCTAGGAAACCTAATGCGTCCTTCAACTATTTACTACAATATGTAATCTGTTAGGCGTGAAAAGTATCTTGAGAAATAATTCAGTTTTAATATTGTTTCCAGTTTGTCTATGACTATTAGCTTGGCTTACCGCTAGTGTAGTAATCTTAGGGAAGCAAATAATTCTTTTTAATTCCTTCCTCACTTGTCCTTGTCTATCCTGTTCATCCCTTTTTATACCTTCAGTTTTTCCATATGAGATTTGTTTATTTGATTTATAACACACGGTGATACAGTATTATTTACTTGGTGACGTTTCAAGCACTCATAACCCGATTAATATAATCACACTACTTTCGACATCTAACTTTTATAGTCCTGTCACCTCGTATTATTTGTTTTTCTTGGTAGGGAGATTTCCCATATCTCTGGTATAAGTGTTGCGTTAGTCCTGTTACATGTGTTGGGTGTTGATTCGATGAACAAAGATTCAGTAGTCAGTCTTTTTCCACTTAACTATATTGGACTTGAGTATAGTGGTTTTATCCCACCCAGCCTATTGTGTGGTCGTGTGTTACTATGCATGCATTGCAATAGCCAAGTTTTTTTCTAGATTATTGGTCTTATTGGGGTCTGTCGTTCTGTATTTACCTAAATTCCTATGTTCCGATAATCTGACTAACCGCGACCGGCTAGTTTGACGTGTGTACTTGACCTCACAATCATTACATGGAATTTTATGGATTAGATTATTTTGCTTAATTGATTCTATTGGATCATTAAGCCGACAAAGCTTATCTTTGAGTGAGCACGTATGTTTAAATGTCACCCTAGTTCCAGCTTTGTTGAGAATCCTTCATAAAGTTTCTGATCCTCCTTCCTTATGGGGTAATACAATGGAGGCTGTGAACTCCTTTTTACTTGTATTGTCGTTATTATTCGTACTCGTGTCAATATTATTATTTCGTTTCTTATTTGTTCGTACAAATTTCTGAATAAACCGCAGAGCGCTTCTTTTATATGCTTCGTTTCCTTGTTCAGGTCCTTGCACTGACTAGTCATTTAAATATTTGACTAAACCTGCTTTAACTGGCATTGGATGACTTGACTTCAAGTCTAGATACCTGTTGGAATGTGTCGGTTTCCTGTTGACGGTAGTGACCAAACCACCATCTCTTTTCATTCCTTTCATCCTGCAATCCAACATAGGTAGTTCTCCTTGTTCATTTTCTACCTCGTAAGTGAATCGGACTGCGCCTACTACTGGGTTTATATGTGTAAAGAAATTGTTGATATGTGCGTATTTCAACACGGCAAATGTATCATTCACATATCGCCACCATATTTTTGGTGCAGGATTAAACGTTTGTTTTCCCAACTTCCCATGAATATATATCTGCTACGATTGCGGATATTGGCGATCCCATTGCTACTCTTTGTGTTTATCTATATATTTTGTCCCGTAACTTGAAGATTGTGGATGTCACGCCCAACTGTACACCTAATATGATCTCATCAACCGATGTGTTAGTTCTGTGAGTAATTTCTGAGTCAATATTAAGTTGATTTCTGACTGCCTATAGAGCCATATTGATTAGTATTTTGGTACAAAGACTTTTTACATCGAAACTAACCACTTTTTTATTTTCTTCTAAATGTAGGTCATTAAGCCTCAGTTTTAACCCAGTAAGAATTTACTAGTCTGGAATCTGAACGGTCCCTATTAGGATACAGTATCGATGCTAAGTACTTTAACAGTTCATGTGTCGGGTATTTCTGAAGTCAACTATGAGTCTAATGGGATAACCTGGTTTATGAACCTTAATAGTGCCTTAAATTCTGCTAGAATTGTTAGTTTTTTCCATCAAATTAAGTCATTTGTACTTAGAGATCGCTTTAGTCGACGTATGAGATCGGCTGTAGGTGTTCTTAATTTCATGACCGTGTCTAAAGGTTTCTTGATCTATTCAAACGGTCCTATTCAGATATGTTCGTCAAATTTGTCGGATATTGTCTTACAAGTGCTTCATCTAATTATGTTGTTCTCTAGTTTGTCTTTGTGAAACTTGCAGTTGTAAATTTGGTTGGTATGCTGAGTTCTGCAATCTCAAGATAGAGTTGAGAAGAAACACTATGGAATATTTTATGCTAACATCCTATGCTAAACATATTGTATAGAATTTCTGAAAATAACTGCCTCGATAATGGCCATATCGGTTTTGTAAGCTTTCCCCGGTTTCCTAGGTCGACCAAACGTCGTTGGACATGAGAACGGCTTCTAATCAGGAGTGTATGTATAAAAGCGGTGTACACAGCAGGTCATGCACTCCCACCAGTGGATAAAGCCCTGAGTATCTACTCTCACCTGTTTAGCAAGGATGGCAGCGAGTACCCTGCCTGGATTATCTAACACTGATCACTCTGCCACTTAGTATCAACCCTCCTCCTACCAAGGTTAGACGGCGGTACCCAGAAATTTCAACCCTCATTGCTCGTGTGACCGGCAGACAGTTGATCAGGTTCAGGAGTCAATCAATGAATGCTTCCGAAGACCCCATTCTCCACCCAAAAGGGATGATGCATGCTTCATCACTATAAGTGTCCGACAGCTGCTGCTGGTACACTTAAGAATTCCTGAATAAACATGTCAACATTATGGCTACAATAAGCACATAACATTTTCTCCCAAAGTTTGATTTTCATCCCTTCTTACTCGCATCATTTTTGTTGAAATGTCAGCCTTCAAGAAAGCGACTGAAGGCTAAATAGAGGTGAGATATATGTGCATATATGAAGTCCAGAAAACATACTACTGGTTCACTTTCACATTCAACATCATAATAAACGTTTTTGGATAATTATAAGTTCATATTATAAAGCTACAGCAGAATAAAGCGGTTGTTTATCAGATGTAGAGTTTCTGTTTTCTCTCGTTTGATTAATTTCATTCAGACTTACAGTATTATCGTACACATTGTTAACATTGGTTTTATACATATTTCCTAAATTCTTTTGTATCCCTCAGAACACCATGTTGTGTGGTTGCCTCATTGACTGTCGCATTGTCAAATGTTGAATTACTTTCTGAAATATCCGATGGTAATTGTTCCACAACTGGAGCAGGAAATGAAAAAACACTGATGACTTTTCTATATGATGATGATCCCGTTGTTTCTGGTTTAGGAGTTATAAATTTAAATTCCGACTTTGGTCTGATGTTATCGTTGTTGTCGTCATCGTCATAGTAAGTGTTGATGGTGAATGTTTCAGGTCAACATTATGACTCTGTTTACTCCATCATAGTCTGAAGCCACTTGATCCCTGTACGAGTTTTTTAATTCATCAGCCTTTTTTATCTCTTGTGTTGTACAACTATTCATCATTGTTGTAGCACTATGCCATATTGATGCTGCATTATGTATTGAAGCGCACACTGTAGCTTGATCTTCACGATTAGTGTTATTTATTTGGTCATTGTAGTTTAGTTCTGTTAAACAGGTTACTTCATCTTTTTCATCATTCTTCCTTTCAGATTCTGTTAGCAACAGTAACTCTGAAGGATTATCAATATTTTCTTCTTGAATACTCATTCTATCTTTCATCATCTTCTTGGTCTTTTTCCGTTTATTGCTTTTATTACCCACACTCTGTTCAACCCCTTTTAGATTACTCATATTATTAGTGGAAGTTAAATTATTATTATTAGTAGTAGTAGTATCCAAAAACCATTCATACGGTAGTAAATTTGATTGTGTATTGTTGGTTAAACGTTCATTGGTTATTTTTCGCCATATTGATGATGATAATGATGTTGACTGTCGATATTTATGCTTACGTTCAGCGTTTTACAATCCCTCATTGTACAGATAATAAATGGGATTAATACAATGGCGAATCCAGTTGTGAATGCGACTAGAGTTACAATTACTGCATGTAGCATATCATATTGTTCATTTGAATCTTCAGATGGATTAACTTCCTGATAGGACTTATATTTATCGCCTAAAACTATAGGAAGCGAAAGAGTTAATCAAATCAAATTGGTTTATAACAATTATGAGGGTATACTTTAATACGATATTAGCGTGAGTTCAGAAAATCAGAACAAGACATTTCTCAACGTTTCACTGTGTAAACGATAACTTCTTCAGCAGAATATTCGGATTTTTGATGAACATCAAAATATGCAGTCAAATAGTACATCAAATATTCAGTCTATGCATAGGTCACTCGTTAGGTGATTTGTTGTACAGACTGAGTAATTATTATTCATATCCCATAAAATTCATTAATAAATACATTGGACCTAAAAACAAGAAACTAAATGATTCAACCGTACCGCAAAAGAAATTGTTCATGATGCTACCATTCAACGGCGATGAATTTAGTTCAAAAAATAATCATCGACTTAATGCACACTAACCTATCTAGCTCTGTAATAAACAGTTGTTTATGACACGAATAACATGATCAGATAAACGTATTCACACAATTGAGACCTTCTTATGTTGTTTCCAATATATCTATTTATTTACCTTTACTTGCAGTAGTATGTATATCGAAAAAAATTGAGAGGCTCCTTACTAAAAGAATCTCTGAACATGTAGCGAAAAGTCTGTCAGTGAAAAGTGTACATTGTTCTTTCGATTTTAAAATCCAACTGCAATTCATTCCCTTTTCAATAATGAATTTTATTGACTCTACCTGACTGTTTATATGTGAGTGGATTCCTTCGACATCCTTATTTATTATAACTAGAGTATAATCAACATATATATACCAAATTTCAATCCATTTGTACGGCTTTAGAGCGTTGCTTTCCGAAAATCCATAAACGTATCCGCTGTTATTTGTCGGTCTTATTGCATCACCGTGTTGGTGTGATCACTGGCAGTAATTTTGCTAGAAATACTACCAAAATAAAAACTTATCATTGTGTGTAAACTTTTCATTAAAAATTTACTTATATTACATTAGTCCACTACATAACGCACAAAATTTTCATGTCGCTCTCTGTTAACTACTTTCGTGTAACTGCAGAAAGTATATTCAAATTCTTTTGTCATATGATATTTAGATGTTTTTAAGTCTTAAGCAGCTGACGAGAAACCAGTAAAATAAGACGGTACCATGTTATTCTATTCGAATCTTTCTTCTTTCTCCATTCAATTTCATGAAGGGGAATATATGTATGATCGTAAAAACGCTAACCAGTTCAAATACTCTAATGGTATCATATCTAGAAAAGTCGAAGTGAATAAAATAATCCAGTTAGGCATAAAAGTAGATGAAGCGTGACTGTTCATAAACAAAGAAATCAGAAATTACCTTTTTGTGGAGCAATCGACTGTCTCGTGTCACAACGTTCAAATTGAATCCATTCACAGTTTTCGCAGCTTTTTCTCCTAATTCTCATTCGTATAGAATACGATAAATGTTCTACTGTTATGCATTCTGACCAAACAGCCCACTCCGAGGAAGACATCGGAACTATTGAAGAATAAAATATTGCAAAGCTGGGTTTTAATCCCGATAAAGCCATGAGCAGACATAAATTTTGTGAACCGTGTAATGTATTTTCACAACACATTTCGAATATTCTTACCACACACACGTACTTGTAATAGGTATTTGTATGAAAGTTTATTAAGAGATAGCGGGTGAGAATATGAAAGGCAATCCAGTAGGAAGGCTAAATTAAACGCTCGAATAACAAAGGAAATAAAGGGAGCGAATATAAGTGTACATTGAACTTCGTTTCAGAAGTGAAGCTGCCAAGAGAAGTTTAATGTGATAATAAATTGTTTTTAAACACACAGAGGTAGCTTAAACTCCCTGGTAGCTAAAACCTGAACAACTTTACAGATCCGTCCCTAACACGTTTTGTAAATAGCTTTAAAGGAAATAAAAACATCAATTCTATGGCTTGTTTCACCGATATGTTTCGCAATCGAAGAAATTGGACATCTGCTATCAACGTTTATAGGTTTAAATGATTCGATTTGATTCTGAAACCACTCTGGAATATCCTTCGAGGCCGTTACTTGCATTGATCTACGAGTTTTCCCTATGTATGTGTCACCATACATACATTTCAGCTGGTAGGTACGAAGGGATATGACATTTGCATTCACATTCTGTAAGCGATTTCGATCTTATTTTTTAACCTTTTTGGGGACTTTATTATAATCTAAGTGAAAAACTGGGCACTGTGGTAGAATGTAGTTCCATATTAGATTGTTTATTTGATATAAAGCGCACAGTGATACAGTATTATTTAATTGATTACGTTTCGAGCATAATCAATTAAATAATACTGTATCACTGTGCGCTTTATATCAAATAAACAAATCTAATATGGAACTTTATTATAATCTCTTTAAGCAAATGGACTCAAGACTTTCAAGCTATTTAATAGACATTTTAATACTCAGACATTTAATTTGCATTCAAAAACTATCACTTTGTAACATACACCAAAAAGATATCCACTGAATCACGATAACTACTCTTTGTGTGACGGCTATAGCATGGATTTCTTTATCTTATAACTTGTAAGTCTTCCTCGTTCACTGGACCGAATTGATCGGCCACTATTGCCATACGGGCTCCTTTGTTGGTGCGTTTGAAGCGTTTACTTCTGGCTTCTAGTCTTAGTGGGAACAAGATCACTCACTTCGAGGAAGGTGCTTCCAGCTGAGGAGTCCGAAATAGGATGGACGAAATGTGAGTCCTGGCTTCTAAAAGTCACCTTAGTAGTAACGCAGGAAAGCGTTGATATCCTAACTTAGCCCAAACGGCATTGTTTCTTTGAAAAGTAATGATATTCAATTAGATATTTCATTTAATTCGTGTTTGGACGAAGCAAGAAGGACAAAAGTTGGAGGGTAAAATTATATTTTATCTCACGAATCCTCTTCAGCTGCTAACAGTCTGAAGCACATTGGTTATCGGAATGTAAGATATTTCAAAAGTAGGAAATCAGTAGTCTTAAGTTTTACAACAAAATCACCGACAATTAATGTAACATGTAAGGGGATTAATTATACAGAAGGTAAGAAATGTAAGAAAGAGGAAACAATAATAAATAAATATGTGACTGAAATGAAAGGGAAACAAGATCAAATGATATTCGCCAAGGGAATGAGAGACTAACCACATTCTCCTTCTATATACAAAGGACAGGTCGAAAGCGTTTTACTGCAGTCGCTTGCGTTAGATGCAGTGATCCAAATCTATGGGTTTATTATCTTAAAAGCACCCGAGTTCCCCACCTGATGTTCTGTATCTATGCGGTGTCTGGTAACTGCATTGGCTTGAAATTTACTTCCTTTCAAGCACAGGTTCTTGTAGATATGCTCACCAAACGGAATGGATGCCCTCTTCTCACAATGTACTTGCTACCGCAAGTGCATATGCATTCATAAATACAGTTGGACGTGACATCAGCAAGGTAATTATCCAATTTTGACTGGTTTGGCGAGTATATGGTGTTTTATACTGATGCAAGTCTAGCTGCAGGAAAGATCTATCTCAGTGACCCTTAGATTCTTGCGTCCATTCACTTAAATGCTGAATCTTGCGTGAATTTTTTAAGTTTTAAAATATCTTATATCCTAATAGTCGTTACACTTTTAGACTGTATGCAATTGAAGCGCAGTCATGAAATAAAATGATACCACTTTATTCTACAAATTCCGTCTTTGTTGTTTCATCCAAATTTATCGAGGGATCTAGATGCATGTTTTTTGTCTGATAACGTCGGCTGCATGTTGACAATAAAACATGTAGAAGAACTCATGAATACAGTGAATATATTCGCTGCAGTGACTTCTGCAGCCACCCCATTATATTTTAATTTCGTTTATCATTTGAGCATTATCTCGTATGATCCATTAACCTGCGTCTGATATCTTCATGCAATTAAATAATAATAATAACAAGCAGCGGGTTTCATGGCTCCGTTGGTAGAGAACCGAGCTAGTAACTTGGAGGCTTGTGGTTCAAATCCTATCGCCATTCAGATTTTCATCTTATCTTCAATCGTCAACCAGTAGCAACTCAAGTCTGACTAACCATGATTACCTCAGAAAGTCACTGAGGCAATGGAATAATAGCATAATCACATTAATGTTTCATCATGCAAACTACTTTTAATCTGCACCTGTCAGTTTCAAAGACAGATACTTCTAAAAGTATGAGATTGTGGTGCGCATAATGAGCTCAAATTACTACACTTTCGCAATGTAATGGTTTCTCATGTTTACTGTAACCAGCTTTTCTGAAATTTTGTACACAAATGGTGAAATTTACTCATTGCAATCTTGCCAACGTCATCCTGTTATGAGATTTCACGTAGTATTGTTGTGTTTTGGTTCACATAATACTATATACTGAAGCCAATAGATTTAGTTAAGTGCTTTACACTTCTGCTCTGATTTGTACTCCAAATTAATATCAAAAGCCTAAACGTAGTTGGTCACCCTGAATTTGTCAAGTACATAACAAAATCATTTTTCACTAAGCTATCTAAAAGCACGTAATAAACCTGTCATCAATAAAGCTGCAATATTATAGTGTGTCGAGGCTATACTGTTTGAAAAGGCTTAGAATGGAATTCTGAATATAATGATAGAATCATGTAAATAAGGCTACTTCACTTATGGGGATTTCCAACTGCATGAAACTAACCGAAATAGGTGCTATAAATTAGTCGTCTCAAAATATGTGTTTTAAGGCACTGACTGATGACTGCTTACTTAAAGTGGAGGCTAGACTTGCATATAATCGGCAACCTGCTTAAACAGTGGGCTGTCTAAAAGTTTCAACCTAATATATTTTTTCAAATTCTTCCCTTTCAATTTGTTTTAATCTTTTAAATATGGCTTTTAAACGAGTCATGTACTCTTTCAGACTTTTAAAATGGTTTCAAACTGCCCTTTTAATGCGAACATCAAAAAAAAGAAAAAAAACTGTACACCGGTAAGAGATTCGCTTATAAATGCACAGAAATGCAGTACATTAGTATTCCGTAGATGACTACGGAAATTTAATAACCCTCAAACATCCACCTCACCGAAGCTAAAAGCAGAAGAGATTTCCTTGTCCACTGCAGAAGCAAACTGAACAACTCAAACCAAGCCCTAAGAACTAGACGCTAGAGATCAAAAACTATCAGTTTTCTACGCTCGCTCTACCAATATTGGATACTGGATATTGAGATTGCATATTTTGGTAATGGTTGAATAAACCACCATTACCAAACCCCCCCCCTCTATTTTCTATTCATTTTCCAGTCCATACCAGATGCTAATGTAATTCTGGGTGCTTATTTCACATTGTAGTTTTCATTACTGTTATTAATAACATTGTTCAAATGCAATGACTATTTCTCTTGAAGATACTTTATAGGGAATGAATTTGATGAACTATTATATGCTAAGAATTCCATACTGTATCACACGTGTTGCTTGGAATAAAGCAATTGTAATTATAACTATTATAGTTATAATTAGATCCATTATTATTGTATCACAATGACCCGTAGAGCTGCACTGGTGGAACACGTATTCCTTCTGGGTCTTACCATACCAGAATGGTTAGTTGGACAGTGGTAAGACAAAAAGCAGTTACCGTTATAGTGTAAGTTTCTACGTTATAATGAGTTCTGAGAGTGAGTTCGTTCTGGTGGCTGGAGGGAGTTGACAAGAGTAAATTTTTTCATGCAGATGACCATCAATGCTATGCTGACGATACATTCCATATGGAAAGGTAGCCAGGGGTTAGGAAAGGTAGGCCCTGAAAATACCACAATCCCCTTACCATATTGTTTACTGATGCCAACGGCATAGGTTTAAAGATGAATTCGGAAAAGCAAACTAAAATCTCAAACTTCCAAAAACACAGTGTGTAAGCAGCCTCGAGCAGATGTTCCTTGGACTCTACAGACATGCACCATTAATAAGGACGCAATTTTTTCCCCAAAAACTCAGGAAAGAAATAACCTTCCACCCTATGCGTAGTCAATTTCTTGCAAGTTCTACCGGTGGTCAACTTCCTTCAGGGTATCATCAACTTTCAATATTTTTGCTTTTCTTCACATCCCCAGGTATGGAAGCTGAGGCCGTTACATAGCTACGCCATATCCTATGTTGATATTGTCTGCCTATCTATCTTTTCGCTGCATGTTGGCCTTAGAAACTTTGAAAACTCCCTAAATATTATCCTCCTTAAAGAAATATTGACTTCCCAGTAGGCAGCTAACCCAAAGAGAAAGAATATTACTCTTGAAGAGATATAGTTAAACAAAAAAGAAAATGTCTATCACTTACGGGGTTCCTTTGTATCAGTCGACTCTGTTTCAACAGATCTCTTTTTAATACGGATTTCATCTAGTCGTTTCTGCAAACATTTGGTCTCATTTATTTGTACCTCACATGGCATTGTTTGAACACTATTTTCAAATCCACCATAACACATACTTGTATTATGTAGTTGAGATGTTTCAACAACAGGTGAACTCAATGAATAAATGCATTTTCTATAACGGCGTTGTGTCCCTCTTGGTTGAGAACATTCTTCGGGTTGTGAACACTTGCTCCATTCTGACCAACAGCTCCAGTAACCTATTTGAAATTTTATTGGAAGAAAATATTTTAAAATATATCTACAACAGGTGTTATAGATGGACTTACATGACCTTTGTACATCAATTTTATGCCCCATTTCAATAATTCATTTAGCTGTTGAAGAGCTTAGACGTTTTTTTCCAGCACAAGTCGGACCAGGCCACTCTATTTTTTACTAAAACCACTTTGGAATATGTTCTTTGGTCCCCTATTTTCAATGACTGACGAGTCCTCACTATGTATGTATGTGTAATGACATGTCGTAAGATAACTACATGCTAGTTAAGCGTCTAACCGTTCAAACTAATCGCTGAACATTGATAAAAGTTTGTCAATTAGCAAACAAGGCAAGCGGAACTCCACTTCATTGTATCTTTTACAAGTGGTACATAGTGAAACAGTATTATTCACTTGATTACCTTTCGAACATAATTTAACGTCCATTTTCATATCAGGTAACTCACAACTTTGAAATATTTTATATATTTCAAGAAACTTGACGTCACAAAAACATGTGCTATACTGAATAAACTCAAAGCCCAAACCAGCAAGATGTTAAGATTTATGAAAGATAAATTAAAGACTTTAGTTTTCTCTACCTCCAAAAAGCTGTAACCGTAGCAGATTTTATGGGCTACCGAAAATACACAAGGGAGATATCCCATTCTGACCGGTTGTCGACTTCACCAACTCAACAACGTACAAATTGGTAAACTACTTAGGCCAAACCTCAAATGCGGAGTATAGATTTCCTATGAATTTAGGAACAGAACCATGGCAATCTATATTGATGAAGATCAAATAATGGTAAGTCTTGATGTCTGTTCTTTATTTACTAGTATTCCTATTAAAGATGCATTATACATTATAAACAATGTTCTTGTATCACATAATAACCCAGATATTCATTGTCCTTCAAATTCAAGCGAGATTATAAATTCTTTAGAATTACGTTTAAGATCAATACTTTTTAGGTTTAGAGGAGATTAATACAGACAAAGAGAGGGCATTGCTATGGGATCTCCGATATCCTTGATAGTTATCAATTCATTCATTTATTCACTAGGAAATATGCAGTTATGAAATACTCTAATACTCCTGAAATATGGTTGAGATACATGACTGATACGTTTGCTATTTTTAAGCGCAACAACCTAGAGGAACTTTTCAGACATATCAACACCGTGTCGAAAAATATCATGTTCTCCAAGAGATTAAATCCGATGCCAACCAATTGGGTTCCTGGACTGCATAGCGGAAAGACAGCAGAACAACAACAAAATGAAGATAAATATATTCGGAAAGCCAACACATTCGAATAGATATCTGGATTATTATTCCGCATATACCATAACCACTAAAATGACGGTTGCTATGATTCTCAGCAACGGGGCTGATTCTTTGATGACAGTAGAAGAAGACAAAAATAGGGAGTTAAAGTTGATTCGATCTACTTCTAAAGCAAATAACTATCCTAATAGATTTGTTATAGGAATCTTGAAAAATGAAGCGAAGAACAGTCCAAAATAGATTAACACAGTGCTGATTCCATACCGCAACGAAACTTTGGAAGAAATCAGAAGAATTGTCAACAAACATGAGAAAAAGGTTAATTTCCATGCAACAGATTATCTAGGTCCTGCATAGACTCCAGTCAAAAACATAATACTGATAGAAAATCAACCGGATTGTGTCTGCGAAATAAGCTGCTTAGGTTGTGATGCATTATATGTAGGGAAAGCATCCAGGCAGATGAATGTGAGGGTCAAGGGACATAGACAATGTGTGGAACAAATTCCAAGATCTCAGCAGATGTTCAGAAAATTGAGAATAGATCACTGATAGCACTACATTCTATAGCAGCTAGACACTAGGTTGATTTCGATGGAACAAAGGTTCTATAAAAAGGTTTTGTATCATATGAGCAAAGATTAACTGCCGAAGCCCTACATCTATGGGCTGATCCCAGTGGCTTAAAGAGACAAGCAATGCATCTGGATGTACCGTGTCAAATAATGCATAATAAATCGACGTAAGAAAAGTCAAACAAGCATTAGCAGTAACGTTCCACTTTATTCTGTTCCGATTTGCACCAATGCAGTAGTAAAACTTGGGCATTGTGGTGGAATATAATTACATTTTAGTCTGTTTATAAGTAATGTCACACAGTGAAATAGCATTATTTAATAGATAACTTTTCAGACATAATTTACTTTCCATATTCATTCGTGATATGAATTCAACGAAGAAAGAGGAAAGAAAAAACATAGAAGTATTCATCATCGACCGATATCACTTGGGGAACCATTGGAAATCTGGGAGCACTGGACAGCTGTTTCGTCCTAGCAATTGACTCCTCAGCAGTATGCACACACGACTCGGCTAGGGATCGAACGCACGACCTTCAGGTTTCACGGCAAGCGCGTTAACCACTCAGCCACTGGGTCGGTTTTCTAGTGGTTCACAATTTCCAACTTCTGTCAATTCACGACATAGCGTTACTATCTTTCGAGGTCTTCATTTAGCATCCACTTTTCTTCCGAATGGTTTAGCGTAGTACAGCATATCGTGAAACAGTATTCTTTACTACTTCTAAATTGAAAATCGCCATTCTTCTCAAAAATATATTACTGTATAGTACTCATTAGTGACTTGCTTCCAGATGGGTATGACGAAGCTCTAGTGAGAAGTCGTGACCCGTGGGGTCAACAAGTCGTAATTGAAGCGGATGCTAACTGAAGGTCTTGGATGATAGTCGCGCTACGTCGTGAATTGACAGAAGTTGGAAATTGTAAACCACTAGAAAACCTACCTTGTGGCTGAATGGTTAACACGTTTGTCGTGAAACCTGAAGGTCGTGATTCCGATCCCTACCCTCGTCGTATGTGCGTACTGCTGAGGAGTCCATCGCTAGGACGAAACAGCTGTCCAGTGCTCCCAGGTTTTTAATGGTGCCCCACCTGATGTCAGTTCATGCTGAATACTACTTCTTAATTAAAAGTCCCCATTCATCTCAAAAACGCTTGGTCTTATCAACATCAGTTTGTTCTGCTTTCTACATATAGAGATAAAGTGACATATTCTGTGCCACATACTTACGACAAGTACATATTCTTCATGTATAGACAATTATGACATATATCAGCTCTTTTATTTTGTAAACACCGATTTCAGAAACTTACACACACAGGCTTACATTCATGCATCGTATATATATATATATATATATATATATATATATATATATATATATATATATATATATATATATATATATATATATATATATATATATGACCGTACGGTCCCCTAGCAACCTGACTGGCCAATTCAAGGTCCTTTGGTAGTCACTCAAGAAAGACAGGGCCCAATAACTATCAAAATACTATCAGAGCGTCGAGTAAGAGTGCATTACTGATCACCAAAATATATACGGTAACTGTTGAAGTGTTTAACAGCCTCCAACTTTTTTTTATAAACTTAATGACCTATTCTTCCAGCTTTTTACATTAACTGGTTTTTAGGTTGGGCGCAGTGTGAAGTTTTCAGTCTGCATATGGAACTAGATGACATAAAACTGTGACAGAATTTATTCAGGCTTCCTGATTGTTGTCTTCGACAGTCTAACACAATACAAAAAGGCATCAGAGTAGAGTATTACTTAAACTAGTGGCCAAATTGTAAATTTGATCGATACAATTTGACCAATAATTCAGATATAGGATGCTTCATCATTGTATGATGGGATATAAGATATGAAATGCTTTTTAGTTGACTACATTTAAGTGTTTCACACAACTTTACTAATTCTTATAAGGGTATTTCGTGAGTAACAAGCATTCCAACGACCAGCTTAGTGAGAACAATCACAATATGTCTGAATAATGGTTTTTGTAGGCTACTTACTAGATAATAATTATCATTTAAATTAACATGAAATACTGTACATAAGATGAAAATAGGATCAATTTTCTCTTCGTGATAGTCTAATAAGGATATCTTTGTTTGGTGTTCAAACACTTATAGGGGGAATAGTGTCTTCCAAATATTATTTTCCTCAGACAACTTAAAAATATTTAAAGTTTAGTTATGGTACTAGACCCAATTAGAAACCATTCAAAACCTGGACTCACTAGTTCTTATGACCCAAAGGACAAATTACATGACATATTAGTAGATAACATCGAAAATGTGAGTAGTTTTGATATAACTAATCTTTAATTGCGTATACCAGTCAACATCACTCTGGAGGCAATTAGAAGTGGGATAAATTTTGACAATAAAATTGTTCATCGAACTAAGGTCCCAGTCGAGGAAATCATGCTAAGAGTATGGTTATGCCTGAAGTCTACAGCTTTAAGTTTCGAAACAAAATATATAAACGAATTGAAGGGGTTGCCATGAGATCACTAATATACCGCATCTTTGCAGACCTGATTGTGAATAGTTTGGGATTGATAGCCCTTCAAACATTTAGTCCGACTCCAAAGAAATGGTTCCGATATGTAGATGACAGGTTTATGGTACTGCAATCGGACCATACTGATAAGTTCTCAACAAATATAAATTTAGTAGTGAATGTAATCCAAATTATCTATGACTTTGAAAGTTAAGACGAGCTAGTAATGTTGGATTACAGATTAAAAGAGAGCAAGATGGATGTTTGGAGACTGTCGTCTATAGGACGCCTTCCCATTTGAATCGCTACTCAGACTTCAAATCTGCTTACCCTGTCTCAGTACAAGGTGGCTTGGTTAAATGTCTAAGGATAGAAAAACTGAGACGTGAAATTATACACATTCAGAATGCCTTATGTCTTAATAATTACCCACCTAAACTTATCAATAAATTAATAAGCAGTCGTTAGAAAAATTTGAGAAGTAGCAGTAGTAACACAGGCGTTAATAATCGTTAATTTCTTCCAAAGAAATTTGAAACAAAAGCAATTCTTCAGCAATAAACCAAAAACTGGAGTTACGCGTAAAGTTCAAAACACGGTTCCTTATGAATAAACGATAGTCGACAATAAACTGAAACTTCAGATCAGAGGGTATCTATGAATTTATCTCTATAAAAGCACCTCACATAGAGTGCGTCAAGAGTAGGACAGCTAGGCTGTGCCCAAGGCAAACCAAAATTAGAATATGAAGGACTTGTGTTTCTACGATGAAATAAAACGTAAGATAAACAAATGTCCAAGGTAACAGAACATCGGGGACCAACGGAAGACATCCTAAGGCTAACACGACCGGGAAAGGAATAATATCTAGAGATGTTGACTGATGAAGAAGATATGATTGAACAGAAGAACTAACAGTCAAGTCAAGCAGTATAAAACTATGGATATAAAATCAATATAACATGGGATAAACTAGAAAAAGGTAGGAAAGGAATTACCAATAATAATTCTACTGATAATGAGTGTAGTGTTAGTAATGATAGCGACAAGATGGAGCCAGAATTCAAAGTCTCCATGTATTACCATGCAAAGAAGCCACCTCTAAAGCGTTATGAAGACTTCTCAGTAAGGCTGAGATTAGCGTGACATTCAGGCCCACAAACGCACTTAAAAACAAACTAGTAAGTCAAAAAATCCTATTGATCCGATCAGGCGAATTAATTTGGTTTGTCAAATTCCTTCCAATGATTGCGGGGTTAAATACGTAGATCAAAGAAGTCGACCAGGTTCAATTAACATAGCATAGCACAAACATTAACTAATTCAAGGTGGTAGATTCGAGTAAGATAAGCAATCTAAGAAAAAGCTCAGCCACAGCTAGGCATACAGTTGCAAAGAATCACACAAGAGACGGAAAAAGTGACAATATTAAAAACTAACTCAGTTGGGTGGACAGAGAGACTGATAACCGAATCTTTGTTTATTGCATCAACACAAAATACATACAACAGAAATTATTCTATACCCGTCCCATATATAAGGGAAATTCCACTATCCATATCATAAAGAAGGAGAGAGAATTTGAAGTGTATCCGAAGGGTCATCCAGCCAGTATACTTTTTCACTGTGTGACACATCTAATAAACAAACCAAAATGAAGATGGAATTACATTTTACCGCAACGTTCAAGTTTTACTCCTATGGTAAAGTTCTCACTACCAGAACAAACGAGGTGATGTAATCCAAATTTTTCACAGTTAACAACTGCCCTTGAGTATTTTCTGATTCGCTATAGCTACTCCTGCTCAATAAGAAGATTTGCGAGGAATCTGCTGATTTCAAATCAGTTTTGATCATAAATTGGCACTTTCAAGATAACTATCAAATACCCTGAGGAGCTGAACAGCAGTTCCATTCCAGTTTTTAACTGCTCACTAGTTCAAACTCATGACTCTAAAGAAACGGTGTACAGGACCATTAGGTTTCGCGAAGAGTGCAATAGTAAAGGTTAGAAATCAGTGCCGCATATCTTTCAACTTTTATCAGTTGAAAGTATAGCGATAAAGGAGATATACGCCAAAAAGTAGCCAATTTGTTTTTGATTCATGCCAAAACTTTGCATGAGAATGTAAGTATGACTAACACCAAACAAATCTTATAGTTCTTTGGTCAATGACAGAAAATATTGGCTTTTTTGTGTTAAGAAACTTCTATCAAACATTTTTACTAGCAACAGTAAAACGAATATTTGATTTCGAGATTTCACGTCCACTAATCTCTTGACAGTAAGGTTACAGTGACTGTTACAGAAATGTGTTGCTCGACATTTATCGAAATGTGAAAAAAATAAATTTTTGTCCAATGGGTCTGTCATAATGTGGGATAAAGTTGTCCAGATTCGAATAAGAAGTCTAAACTTCCTGAAACTCTTCACAACTAATCATAATAATTCGAGGTTTTGAGAAATTGCAAGTTAAACAAAGTGTAAGTATCATATTGGTTGGAAAGGTGAAAATCACTTGAATATGACACTCTAGTAAGACCCAAAAATGGTCCAGGTCACTGTACATATACATATATATATATATATATATATATATATATATATATATATATATATATATATATATATATATTAAAACAAGGATACATCAGGATCACTGGCTAAGAAAATCTCTATACACTAAGTTTTCATACCCTTTTTAGTGAAGACCTTTTATAAGGAACAAAGCCCTTGAAAAAATACTTTCCTCTGAGTAATTTACCTGTACATGAATGAAAGTTACACAATTCATCTTGTGTTTCATATTCATTTTGAGTTAATTTCGCCGACGAAATTAACTTGTTGGATGAAATAGTATTATCCCCCATACCGTGTAAAGATGGCCTAATTCTTTTACGATATCTACGACCACCGCCACATGGTTGCGAGCATTCACTCCATGATGACCATTCTTTATTAATGCTTTCTGGCCAGACTAGTTGATTTTGTTCATGGTAATCAAAGACTTGTCTATAAATCGATTCATTGTGTATTTTGAGGCAAGAAAAACCAAAAGAAATCAGTTTTAGCTTGCTAAAAACTGTAAATTTTAAAGAAAATTCAAGGATATATCATAATAAACAGAACGAAGTGGACAAATTATATTAAAATGTTGGAAGAGATTTGAAATATTTTATCTCATAAACTTCTCATTGTGAATTGTAGTTTACTTGCTAGTTAGTAGTGTAATCTAAGGCAGCGTTTCAATCTACTTGACTGGATGAGTCTTCACCCCAGCTATTGGTGGTTTTCCCACTGAGACTCGGATATAGTACTAATAGCTTCAAGTTCCAGGGTGTTGTCCCCTAGGCCACTTAGGCAGGAAATCCATTCCTTGTGCAATGGGTATCAGTGTTTACTTATAGAGGCATCTACATGAGAGCCCATTTGCAAACACCGGTCAATCAGTTCGATCGAGTATAGCAAAGGGGAAATTACAAGTGTGATTAAATACCTATCACTTAGTTTAGTTTAGAAGTATACAGAGTTAGAGTATGCGAAGATCTTGCTTCCTGTATCTAATAATCTGAGACACTTTATCATATCAGAAATAGACTTGATTCGACAAGCAGACAGGCTGAAACACGAATTACAAATTCCTTTCAACAAAAGAACACAGTTGCTTATTTTCGTTAATCTAAGAGTTTTTAAAGGTGTGTACCCTTGATTTCATATGAGATCAAATTCTTGTAGTGCACATGATACAGGAAGAGATTATCACTGGTTTCCTTTATATTTAGTGTTCCTGTGTGCATACAATTTCATAACTATGCCTACTGTCTGAATGTCAAGTTGCATTAAATTTCTAGATTTTCTCTGATGGTCAAGTAATACGCTTTAGTAGCGTTAGTGTTACCCTTACTCACTAACTGGTCACTAGATAGCAAGTAGTTTCTTCTTGTCTAATCCTGAGTAGCTACCAAATTCCACCGGTCGTTTCGCAATGTGGCCACCAAGGTAGAAGTTTACCATCCCGTTTCACTTTGATAGTCATTAGTCGGTTGGAAGCAGTCGGAAGAAGCCCTAATTGACCCAGTTCTCATGTACGTTGGCACCCATCAGCAAGACGTACCTGCGACTTCGAGCAAAGTTATATCCTCTCTGAGATTTGAACCTGCGTCACCCATTATTTTAGTCACCAACTGTCCTAGGGGTTACGATCAATCTCCTTATGAAATCGATATTCTAAGTTGTCAACAAATTCAGTCAAATTCTAGCAACACCGATTAAACTAACTTTTACAGTATTTTTGGGTAGACACGCGAAGACTCTCCAATTTTTAACTGGACTCTGGAACGCAGGAACGAGAAAACTAATAACTACATATAAAATAATGAATAATCAATTTCAAGAAGAAAGGGAAATTCAAGATTTATCTTAAAAGTATGTTGAATATAGAATAATAATAGTAATATAAGGGTTAATTGGTTTGAGATAACAGAAGCTGTTAGAAGACTTTTATCTGTTTTTTCTGCAATATCTTATAAACCCTGAGTAGGAAGATTGAATTTGAAGACATGTCTGGTCATCAACATCTATGTTTGAAGTACTATCTCACTCCACTGCACTCCTAATCTAATCAGAATGACATTTCGTAGTAGGTGATGACGTAAAATATGTAACTTAGTTACACATTTCGTTCGAGTCCGCAACTTTATCGTATTACACTTGACTCAGACTTTGATCCTTGCTGATGTCTTCATTTCAGCACAAATGACATTTTCTTCCAATCAATAAGTGTTCGACCAAATTAAACATTTGAGTGTCATGTAACCCCAACCCTTACACCGTGAACTATTAAGCGATATGATACTGAGCAGTATAACAAGTCACCAACAGCCTCTGAAATATCAAACAGACTCTATGGGTGAGATTTTTTAAGTGTCAGTTAAGTATCTACTGTTTCAATAAGTGGAAAGTGGTGAAGTAACTAAGCAGATAAGTAGGACTATGGACACTTTCAACTAACTGGTTTGTTACAGAATGCTAAATTTCATACATGTATATTTTCCGTCTTTAATGCAGTTTAATCCGAGATTTATTTCATCCACTTACTCGAAAGTGTTCAGAGGATCTTTGAGGAGATGAATTCCCAATAAGTGGTGAATGGAAAAATATACACCTAAATGAATTTTGATTAAAGCTAGCTGAAGAACTACACATTCTGAACATACCTGCTTACAAATCTTGGTAAGCTGTCATACTCCTATACTGGTCAAGTTGACACCTGATCTAGGACCTCATTTGGTGGACATTTCGTTTTCATACGAGGTGTCGTTATCAATGCACCAAAGCTTCAAAGGGAAACAATGCAACTGACTGCTGAGGGGTGTTCGCAACGTGTTATTTTGCCTTAGTTCAACTTGATTGGTTGTTAATGAAGTGTGTAGACGTTTGTTACACCTGATTAATTATGTGCTTACCTCTATTTCCAGTTAATCACATTTAGCACAAGCAAACATCAGACGACCAATAAGGCTGCACTAGGGTGAAGTTGCACGTTATAAATATCCACACCTAGTCAACTACACCACTTCCCTGTGAACTTTGATAGAGTGATGAAGACATTTAGTATAATATTGAAATGTTTGTCAAACAAAACACAAGCTAACAGGTCAACTTAGTCCCTGCATACACACTCTGGAGTAGAAACCTTCTCGGTCGTTACAAGTGATACAGTTTGGAACTGGTAGAAAAATTAACAGGACTTTTGAAATCAAGTTGCGATGTTAAGCAGTATAGCTGACACAAAGTCTCAACACACCTGTCGTCCAAAAAGTCATTTGAAGGGAAAGTGTAGTGGATGCGCTGTGAACCTCAGCTGGCATTATTCTCTGGAATATTTTATCTTCAGATGTGTACTAGACAACTAGACAATAAAGAACTAACGATTAATGCTGTTGCTTAGTTTAACTTCTCTGTGGTCAGTAAAAGGGGTTTTCTTCTTGCCTTCTAAATTGGGTTGATATTTTAATTCCATTCAGTTGAAGTACACATCAAGTAACTTCTGCGCTAAAAATGTCCTGAAAGTAATATCTGAGCATAATGTTCAGAGTGATTGCGGTTTGATGTCATGATATATAGGTCCATGTTGAATGAATGTCAAACAAATAAATAGCTGAAGATGATTAAAATCAGCTGGTTTCCATAATTTTATAACTATAAATGGTGATTATGATTCGTTCTTATTTGTGAAAGGGTAGAAATTCCAGAATCAATGTAAAGTTTGAGTCCTTCTGGATTCCTTGAAAGCAGATGACTTGGCTTTATTTGATGCTTCAACTAGAAGTTCATGGACTCTTTGGTTACGATCTTCATCAGTCTACATGTAGGTTGTCAGTTGTGGATACCAGTTAATTTCTTGATAATCTTGGGGAGTTATTCTCTCAGACGTCGTTTGCTGACTTGTTCTATTATCCTTTTCATTCTGTCTCTTGGAATCGGAGTTCGTAGACGAAGATATTTAGGAACAATTCAGTTTTTTGTGCATCGAATGTTAAAAATACGATGGTTTGTGTATCGTGCTTCAGTCTGTGAAAGTCGTCTGAGTTTATTGACTTAACGGATTTAATGTTCAGTGAAAATGACATTCAGTAAGCGCTAAGTGCCTACTTATCTATATCAAGGGAGAAACTACTGTCCAAGGAATCGCAATAGTTGCTTATATCAAGTCAGAATGTTCAGAAAAGTTGGATAAAATATCTTTCAATTCTTATTCATTTGAATTTCTCAAGTGAAAATGTCATAAAACTAACCAAGACCTTCACAGGTAACTGCATAATTATTTCTGTCGACTTTACAAATGCGTGTTTGAATATCGGTTTTTGTTTGAAGGCTGTCGACCTTTGGTAATTTGGCTGAGCATTCTACACGATATCTTCTTTGCACAGATTCTTTACCAACATTTTCATCTGTTATATACCATTCACTCCATGGAGATGTGGTTTTTGTAACTGAAAAAAGAAAAAAGAAATAACTGTTACATTTTCCAATAAGACAGCAAAGGTCTTCACTAGAAGCTGTAAATCCTTGAAACCTCTAACAACCAGTCGTGTTGAGCCAAAGTTTCGGGAAAAAGCATGCAAACCAATGTGTAATTTCTAGGTTGGTTGAAGCAGGGAAAATTAATAGGATATACTACTCTAATAAAGTTTAGAAAAGGTCAATGTCATTGAATGCATATACATATATATGTTATATCTGGACGAATCTCAGCGTGTTTGAAATGAGAGGTCCCAACGTTTTGAACAGAAGTCTGTGCGAAACTTTCATTCACTGACTTGCCCTAATGAAATGATTTTCTCTACCCCACAGGAAGAGAACTAACCTACGGGAAAATCTAACAAATAACAAACCACTTCTTCAGGTTAATCTACTGAATCACTCACGGAGAAATCCTGATAGCTCACTTCATATTGAAGTTACTGCTGATGATACTGTCTAGAAGGATAATGAAAGCTTCAAGATAAGACCTTTTAGCTCAGAGAACGCAACACAACCAAGACATGTACAACGTCGTATCCTGCCCTTTCGATAAATTTCACTACCTCTTTCTGAAACAGACATACTATATATATATATATATATATATATATATATATATATATATATATATATATATATATAATACCTCCAAGGTAGGGAGAACCACTTCATGAGGCCAAGTTAGTGAATCAACGTTTTGCACCGACTCCCGTTCGAAACGTTGGAATTTTGTGAATTTTGTTGTTCTAAGAGTTACTAAGTGGTCTATTACGAAGACTGTGATAAATAGTTGCATCTGGATATTTAGATATTTCTCCAAGACTGTGTTTTCATGAGAATAACCTTCCACAGTCATCTTCAAATCATTATTGGTGGTTCCTTTGAAATCCCACCTCAAGAGTTCCAACTAGTGTAGTGGTTTTTTCAAACAACCCAACTGCTCCCTAAATAATAAAGAAGGGTTGAACAAGAAGAGTACTTTCATGCAAGTGGAAAGCTTCAGATGCAACTGTTTGGAAAATACAGGTTTGAAATTCACAGGGCTGAACACAGTCTTTTGTTTTGCTACCATTCAAAAACAAAGGTGAGTTAGGCAAACGAGATGCAGAAAGAAAGAAGCTTATGGAACAGGTGAGTTAAAATCTTCTCAAAGCAGTCTACAACCCACATCATTTAATTATTGCGTAAAACAAGTAACAGGCATGTAAAATCGTATTCGGATCTCTATGATATAATAATGACAGGAACCATTCTTTTTGAAGATCGGTTTATTCAGAAGCTTGTTAACACTGTGAAGTTATCATTCAAATAATTTGAATTCTAATATGAAATAGCCATTACACCAAAGGTGTAAATATAACAGAGTGTGGAACAGATATAGCGAACATTACTTACCTGAACACGAATGTGTATTGCATTCTCTGGCTTCGAAAGCTTTACCGATACATAGGATTTTATCGGTATACATCGACTGATCTGTCGACAGCATTTTCATGTGATCCAATGTGAATTTTTCAAAGTTTTCATTTCTCAAATCATTTTCATGCTTGCAAAGGCGTCTACGAAACTGTCTGCCACCGTTACATGATAGTGTACATTCAGACCACGCTGACCAAGCAGTCCATTCGAATGTTGGCAGTGGGTCAGCTTCTCAGTTTAAAAGACAAAGATTTCAGAACCATTGAAAGATTGGAAAATAAAAAAGACGTTATAAGAATAAATTAGACTGAGATTCCAACATGGAATACCGTCGAGTGATGCAAAAGATGTTGTTTTTATCTCTTGAAAACACCAAGTCCTGAATCGTCGTCATCTGCAACAATATTTCCTTAGTACACATTTTTCAACATTCACTGGTCACTGAAGAGCAAGTAATCTCATTTTTTAGTTCTCAGTGCTGACCGAATTTTATTAATTACTTTCGACATGTGGTTACCTTGCAACCAGACTCACTGTCGCGATGCACTTTAATTGATAATAGTTAGTTGCAGTTAATCGACAGGAAGCCCTGCTTGAACTAGTTTTCGTGCTTTCTGGTACTCTCCAACATGGTGTATCTGCAACCATAAGGGAACTGCTATCCCCTCAGGAATTTGAACCCATGTTACCGAGTGCTACAGACAATGATGCTACCACTGAGCTATTTGGTTGGCTACTGACTTCTCGCAGGACACGAATCGATATATTAGGGATTCGCCTATGGGGAGTAAATAATTTGATGATGTTCAGTCCTAAGTGTTGCAGATGCACCTGGCTGACGAGTACCAACAAGCACAAAACTTAGATCAAACTGGTTTTTCTACGAACCATCTGAGTTACATTTTCTTTATACAGTCATTACCATGAGCATAACGAAATATAAAATATTTCCTGGTATAACATTGATTTTTATTTGAATAAAAGCAAAATTTTACTTGAAAATATGACAGTCTTTATCATGTCAGTCAAAATAATAAACAACTGTAGGCTCACTACTGTACATGTCTCCGATCTGGCGGCCTGCTTGAACTCTGGGCTACCGTTTTCTACCACCGAGTATATTGCATCAAATTTCTTATTTCTATATTATTTTAATCGTTTAATTATGTCAACCAATCGTATTGTATATTCTCGCGCGTTTTTAAAATCATTACAACCTATCGCTTCGCAAGTCGATAGGAAATCTAAGAAGAAGCACCACGGTGGATGGCAACGAGCTCTGAAGCGTATGACCATAGATCAAATGACTATTCCGGAAATACCTAGCACAAACTGCAGGTCGTTGCCGAATAAAGTTGATTACCTTCAGTCACTCTTGTCCACAGTTGTTTATCGAAACACGGGTTTAATAATGCTGCAGGAAACATGGCTTCATAATCTGTATGATGATCACTTAGTCTGCTTAGATGGTTTCAAATTATTTCGACAAGATCGAAGCTTTTCGAAGAAGAAATGTGGTGGTGGTGTAGCAACATTTATTAGTACTAACTGGTCCTCTCCAACTATGTATGCTTCTGCTTCTCTAACGAAAAAATTGAGTGCATTACCATCAAATGTCGTCCCAAACATTTGAGCAAATACAAATACATATATATCACAAACATGTATGTCACACCTGACTGCAGTTTCTCAGATTTGTCAACTTTTGCTGATAAATTCACTGAATTTGCTGCTCTGGTTCTGGGAAACTCCTTGTCTATTGTCTGTGGTGATTTTAACTCATGTGACTACAGTTTTCTATTATCATTGGGTCATAAAAATATGGTTAACTTTTCCACTCGTCTTGACAACACTCTAGACTGCATTTACAAATGAACCTGGCATATATGAAGCCCGTAAACGGGCTCCACTGCTAAATTCCGACCACTGTATCGTTCGTGTTTTGCCTAAAGTGTACGGAAAATTATACAAGAAAGCTTTTGCATACCTTTCAAGGAAAGTTCAATACAGATGCTATTCACAAGAAAATATATTACGTTTGAGAAGCATGCTTATAGAAACGGACTGGGATATATTTGCTGATGAAGTTTTAGACAACACTATTACCAATATCACAAGCTATCTCAGATTCTGTCTCGATATCTGCTGCCCTACTGAAACAATTTACATGAGATTTGACAGACTTTCCTCTCCTCATCTCAAGAGGCTTCGGAGAGAAAAGGAAAGGTTGTATAAGGCGAGAGATCACCCTGGCGTTAAAAGGCTTAACTGCCTAATTAAGTCTGAAATACAACGTCTGAATACTATATACAACAGAAGTTCTTATCGTGTAAGAACTCTTCCAATATATGGAAATTATTTAAAGAGCTTACTGGTAAAAAACAGATGACAAAACAAACTCGTTCGGATGTCTGTGCGTTAAACAAGTCATTTATACGTCGGCAAGCTAATTTCACCTTTCTTATGTGCAAAATCAAGTGGATAGCTGCTTTCCAGGTTTCAATACAAATGATGTATTTAAATGTCTAAAGTCTTTGAATCCCTCCAAAGCTTAGGTCCTGATGGTGTTTCTAGTATCATATTTAGAAAATGTGCAGATATTTTGTGTCATCCACTTACAGATATCTTCAATGTATCGTTCTCTAAAAACACAATACCCACTGCTTGGAAGCAGATAAAAATTGTACCTGTGCCTAAGCCATCTTCTGGATCAGATGTTACTTTTCGACCCATCGCTATAACTTCCCCTTTTCTGAAGACAATGGAGAAATTACTTCTCCTTGTGATTGAGCCTTCATTGATGGCCTTCAGAGATCCAAAACAGTTTGCTTACAAACACCGGAGGAGTACTTTAGATGCAGCCACTGTCTTGCATCATAAATTGTTTCTAGTCTCGACAAAGGTGTTATGTCCGTTGTGCCTTTTTGGATTACTCATCAGCCTTTGACTCTGTTCCTAGACCACTTTTGTTAAATAAGCTTGCCATAGCTCACACTGATCCATGGGTTACAAAATGGCTGCATTCTTATTTTTCTGAAAGGAAACAGTACACTATTCATAAAGGGATGCGCCCCACTTCATTGCTTACTGAAGCTGGTGTGCCTCAAGGTGCTGTACTTTCTCCTTTTCTGTTTTCCTTTTTTTGCACGATTTGCCTTATTCTGTTGAAACTAATTTTATCAAGTATGCTGACGACCTGACGATTTCTATTCCAGTAAACTCTTCTTTGGATTGCTCGAAATTAAATGAATTCTTGTCTGAAGTTGGCAAATGGTCTCAAACTAAACCTCTCTAAATGTCAGACCGTTAATTTTAGCCTCAGGCGTAAACAAGACTTATGTGAGCTGCTTAAATCTCATGACGCCTGCTGCATCAATGGTATTTCTGCAGAAAGTAAATCGAGTGTGAACTATCTTGGGTTGGGTTTTACTTCTGACCTTTGTTGGTCGTCCCATATTTTATTGACTTGAAAAAAATCTTTCGTTTAACTTATTACATAAAGAAATTGAGGCTTTCTGGTATAACTCAACTGCTTCTTTTACAATTTATTAATTCCTGCATTTTACCTATTCTTCTATATTGTTCTCCATTAATCTTTCCTGGTCTTCTTAAAAAGGACTATGTTATGTTGCGTAGGGCTTTGAAGACCGTCAGCAGGGTGAGTGGTGTGCTTCTGGCTCAACTGTAGTTGATATATATATATTCCTGCAAGCTACTAGCTACAGAAATTTTAACTGACAGTGAGCATCCACTTCATTTACAGCTCTCTCCATGTATCTCCTCAGGGAGGACAAGGAGAAACTACATAAGACTGTATGCTCGTACAGCTAAGTATAAGAATTCGACTGTACCTTACTTTGCACGCATATTTTGTGAGGAAAAAAGTGTTAGAACAGAAATCACACATCAACTTTGTAACAGTTAAAAATCTCATTTCAATAATTCAACTTACAATGCAAAATTTTCTCGTTTTTAAAATTCTTTACATTACTTAAATTTTTATAATAAAACAATTCGAAAGGCTGAAAAGGAGTATGTATATACTTATATTTTGTTGTTATTGCAATATATATTACGCTGAGAATTCCAAATTGTACCACAAATTGTTTGGAATAAAGTGAATTATTATTATTATTAAAATGTAACTCATCAGATTGTAGCTATTTGAATGGCTTTTTAGAATGACTAAACTTCCTTTTTGAAGTATTATAAGTGAATTTTTAGTAAAGAATGAAAAAAAAATTGTAAACTTTTATTAAAAATTTACTTATGGTTCTTTAATCCATTCCACTATGCACACTTTTCGTCCATATATTTTTTGAAGATCAATAAATATGTTACTGGCCAATATTCAGTAGTCAGCAACTAAACGTGAAATGTTTTGTAAGAGCCTCTGTGAAAGACTGGAAACCAGAGACTCATTGATATGGTGTTACATATACACTGGCAAATCTTCTTATCCTTAAGCATAAAATCTAACTATTCATTCTCCTAATCTAACTGTATCTTCTCACTGTCTAGGTTGCTAAAGTATGATTCGGTTTATAGAGGCAGTAGATTTTAAAAGCGGTAGCTTTGGCACCCTTGTCAGTACTCATGATTTCATCCACATAATTTATTGATTAATCTACAAAATATTTTCCATCTCAACAACAGAAATAAGTAAACTTAAGTCTAAATGTTAGTCTTCTACCAGATATATCATTCAAGTTAAGGACATCTCAACAAGAAGTTACACTATAGTGATAATTGTTGTCTAACCAGAATGTTCACGAAGAACAATTATAACTTGTACAAGACAGTACACTGCGTCAACTTCTTGAGGGCTCCTGTCCAAAATGGATTTCACCACGAACTTCGGACAGAATATAGTTGAATTTCTCACTTCAAATTTAATGGTACTAAGAAGCTTGTCAAAGCAGCTATACTGCCTCCGTTAGTGTGGTGGTATTTTTATCAACTGATTGATGTTTTTAGAGTAAAATCAGAAATTTAACATCAATCTCTGAGTCAGTGGAGAGTGAATTTATGGCTCTACCTAACATCTATTGCCTTATCTAATAAGAGTTCTGCATTTTATGAAAAAAACTACTTTTGCTTTCAAAACAGAGAAGACTAATTGGCCATTGGAGCCATTGTTAAGTTGACTTTTCAGACCACTCGCCATTGGATAAGAAGACATTAAATTTGAGGCGATTTTTTAAATCAAACACCGAAATGAGCCCAAAATTTTGTTTTAATTCAAGAAATTAGCAAAACAGTTACCATCTCACTGCCAGAATGTTAACCTTAGAGACGATAAACATCAAGAAACGTTTACTGAATCATAGGATTACTAGTTAATGAAAGGGCAAACTTTGGTAAATTGAAGAACTCTGTTTACAATTGTTCTTTTATAAAATGAATATTTCAGTAATTTGCCTTTTCAGAACATCTAGAAGTTTAACTAGGGAATCGTGGTCTCTAATTGATTGTAGTGTCCTTATCTCGAGCGGATTACTTTACTAATCGCCATTTGAATGTTTGATTCTCATCGGTGACTTTTATGCTTATATGAATAATAGTCAGAAAGTGGAAAAATTATTACATGAAGAGCGTCTCAAGGACATGTAAGATGATACCATTTTATAGAAAGACGGAATGAAAAACTTCAATGTGAAGATTATTTTTATGATGGTAGCGAGATTGAAAAGTTATTCAACAAGCAAAATAGAGTAAAAACAAGGAATATTTTTTCCAATAAATTCTCATCAGGTTCTACAACTATAAAATGCCACTGCACCACTTAAGATCAAGTCAGTTTAGTGGCGAATACATTTTCAAAATGGAATGAGAGTTAGAGACTGGAAGGAAATAATTTTTCCTTTTTTAAATTTGTTAATATTAAGATGACATATATACACAAGTGAGGAACATAATAGTAAAAGAAAATGACAACAAACAAAGAAGATTAGAATAATCCTTAATTCACAGATGGTCAGCGGAGGAGTAACACCTGAGCATGTTCCTTCTGAATGTAAGGTTCATGTAAGGTTCACTCTGAATGTTAAAGCTACGCTGAGATCACTTTGGCCAGTTGCAAGAGATAATGTTTTTGGAACATGACAAATGATAGTAAAAGTTATATTTGCATCCATGTAGTATCTTGTGTTTACTACATGTGATAAGATAAAAAAATTTTATTGCTTTAACCTTCAAATGTGATAAGAAAACTCACTCCAATGTTTCTTAAGTCCAGTTTTAGGATACAAAACAGCTTATTATATGTGTAGATTTCAATATAATCCTAGCGTGTTTAGAAAATCAAAACAAGATTTTTCTGACCGTGACAGCTATGACCTGGATGTTCATCATACAAAACACTCCGGTTGTAAACTGAAAGCTATAGGCAGTTAAACAATAACGTGGTGATAAGTACCTACAACCATCAAAATATATAGAAGTTTATTTGCATGAACAAAGAATATACTTTTCAATAACTTCTTCTCCAGGTCCTACAGTTGTACTTCATTGAAGTGGCAACATGTGATTTTACTAATTATATAATTGCAGTTGTTTAATCCTGATTACCACCGCATCTGCATTTTGAAGGATTCGGAGCCCAGAGCCTTTTGGCAAGAAAAAGTAGGTGTTGCCGCTACAAATACCTTGTCCCGTACTGGATTTCACCCTACCCCATGTAACCTAATTTTCAACTTCCACATTATAGATATCGTTTCATCCCTATAATGTAAAATAAGTTTATCACATTCCCTAACTCGAGTAACTTTTTACTAAACTATTATTCCTCAAATAGTCGGCCTTTGTTAACTGCATTCTACTTAGATGCACGCCCTCCTATGGTTTTCATCGAACTATCTTTGTTTATCTGAGCACATTACACTAAATTTTATTATTATTATTATTATACCAGGAGTTTTTAAAGAAACGAATTAAATTGTATCATAACTGCCTACCTGAACACATGTGAATTTCATTGGTACAAAGCTCAGTCTCTTTATCTGGTCCTACACATTCATGACCTTCTCCAACTGGCATTGGATTGGAACACCAACGATATCGTGTACGCGTCGGTGTTACATTGGTTTCATGATGTTGAGAATAGCAAACAGGTTCACATCCAGACCATGCAGACCATTCAGTCCAGCCACCATCATAAGAACAGCTGGCAATCTGCACTGATGATCCATTCAAGCATGCATTATCATCGAATTTTGAGGAAAACGGTGAATTGCATGTTCGGAAACGACATTTACATCCAGTTGGTTTGATTTGATTGTTTGAATTTTGTATGGGAAACTTTTCGACAGGATATTTTTCCAAAGACTGTTCACAATCACTCCATGCACTCCAACACTCCATTCACTAACGATCTTAAAATCTGAGCTTACTTCACTTTGCTCACAAACATCCGAGTCGAATGTGATGATATTAGAGTCTATTCTGTCGTTATTGTTTATATCTTCACATTTCTGTACTGCATCATTCCATCCACAGAATGGATCTCTTAAAAGTCTGCATGCCATTCGTTCATGACCAAATCGTGAGCATCTTGCTATGGGTAAACGCAAAACCCGATCTTCCATCGCTACTAAAAGATATGAGTCTGTAGATGTCTAAAGAATTGGAAAGTCACAAAAAACAGCATAAATTAAGTAAGAAGTTACACAGACATTCTTTTTTGCACGTGATTCGATAGACGACATTAACTTAGATCTACCACTGTTATCCTTTAGGCTTATAAGTACTTCAAGTGGTTTATAGAACGTATCGTTGTTAACTTAACGGTAGGTAGAGTTTTGTCTGTGAGCCACCAATATTACCAACACTTCGTGTTCTATAGACTTCAGGATCAAAATTTGATCGGATAGAGTTGAACAAGTTGAGCATTCGGTAAACGAGTTGTAAATAAAATATATTTGCAAAATCCTAGTGAGGTAGAAAAACAAGATTCTGACGTTACGCAAGTTCATGGAAGTCGTTTCTTCAGAGAAGAAAACCTGTACAACTTATCACATGTTTAAATAACAAGTGGATACAAGTCGAATCACACTCTTCACGCATGACAATTATATGAGAATAATTGTCATCGTTATCAGTTATTAGTCCTCAAGTCCAAGGTGAAGATGAGAATGTGAATCAGTGTGATGGTATGAGAAAAATACCATGGATGTGATGAATCATTCAGTTTAGTTGTGTGTATGTACTTTAGTTATGGCTAGTGTATGAAGCGTGTTATTTCGGATATACTATCCAACTTGGATAGTTGGATAGTTACGCCTTCCTCTCTATTGAGTGCATTCACCTTCAACATACTATGAAATACCTTCAACTATCTGTCCTTCCTAGTAGTGTGAAAATCCTTTCGAATAATTTTAATATTTCCATTATCAAATTTGTGAGTATGGTAGATGGCATCAACAGTGATTACTGATTTGACTTGTAAGTTCTCCAGTTCTACAAGATTATTTAGAGGTGAGTTTGTGTAGCTTGAATATACTTTATCACAAATGAGGATGTGGAGGGATGATTCCTCAATATAATAAACATCACAGTTGGCAGAGCCTAGTCTGTGACACAATGTGTGTGTGGCGGTAAGAGGAATTCTATCTTCCACGTGAACTAAATTATTTCTGAGCGTGTTGGTTGTCTTGTAGATAGCTTTAATTTGGTGTTTTCTTAAAAAGCATTTACGAATACAGACAAGAGGTTCGTTGAGTCACTTTACGTATGACAAGATTGATGACTTATACCCGTTTCCAAAAGTTTAGTGATTTTACAGATCATCGAGAAACCTGTGGCAAATTCATATCTCTGAAACAAAACTGTTGAGATCACTTCCACTCTAGAGACAGAAGGCTTCAAATTACACTTACCCTACCTACACATGAAAATATGTTTACTTGATGGCGCGCAGTGACGTTATTGATTAATTCAAATCTTCCCGATCTCGAAATAATATCACGCTATTAGGGTTGTATCTTCGTCTTCGGTTACCATAAAAATGGCTACTTAATTGTATGGTATCCGTGAGCAAAACGAGTGATAGCAACAACCAGATAATCACCTGTCCCTATAGTGTTTCTCTTTGAATCTCATCTGTTGTCACCCTGATCAAGCCACCTACGCTTTTCATGCCTTTTAATTTCCCATACATTGCTTTAGTTGTAAGATAATTATCCATTGTGTGGGCTAACGGTTCGCCTTTTTCTTCTCTTTGTGTCAGCTAGTGGGAAGTTAGGGCTAGTTGGAGCAAATCAGCACAATAATAGCACAAAAGACCAACTTTCGGCGTCTCCCTCAATCCTATAGTCATAGGTCCTAACAGAAAAACTGCAACGAGGTTAACACCAGTAACGAGGATCATGCCATCAAAGCAGGATCCACAGAAATGTATGAAGCATAAACTTCCTGCCTTTCGTAAAAAATCTAATCCACGATGCTTTTACTGAACTGATGAGGGTAGTAGCACAGTATTTTAACTTACTCAGTAGACAAACAGTCGGACGACATCGTCCTGCTCTCTAATAGCCAAAATCTAATAATATGCGAGGATTATGCTTTTCTTCGATTAACAATCGAGTTCAAAATTATACTCTGCATCTAATTTGAGGTACTATGACTTAAGCTGCATTTTAATTAACCAGTAAATTCGTATTGAAATTCTAGTATAACTAGTTCACTGTATGCAAAACAACATGTATCATGAATACCAGAGGTAGGTCAAAATCCTCAGCTTTCCACCGTTCCACTTAAAATCCATTTCTTGTATACATGGATCTATAGGACATCATTCAAAAATTCTTACATTCAGTTCTACTTGTAAGTAGTTAAAAGTAGCATACGAAATCTGGTTAAGTGGGAGTACTACTTTTTGATTAACTTACTTAAATGGGAAGCAATTTACTTTAATTTTGTATATATTACTTTTGAATGTAAAGTTGTTCTGTTAATAAAGATGTTCCTATAAATTGTGGCAAATATTTATAGCTCACTGTGTGGATGTTCAAAGTGAGTTGTACTCTGAGGTAGTTCATCATAGCTTCACAAGAAAGTACTGATGATGACATCTGGCATGATATCACAACGTTTGTCAACTGAAACCCTAAGTCATTGAATAATTCCCCTAGAACGAAGATGTTTGTCCTCTGAATCATACTGATTGCACTAATTCACTGTTAGTATAGTTTTATTGTTCCTGAGCATAGCTGAATAGTTAGTTTTGAAATTTATAGCTTGAATGATGAGATCCTTAACAGTATTTTGAAGTTTCTTACCCAAACTTTTTAATTAAACAGCCACTGACATAAGTTGCTGGCTAAAATGTTTTCCAGATGCTTTTGGGATTTGGTGCATATTAAAGTGCACAGTAATGATATCGGTAAAGAGAATTCATACAAATAGTTATGTTTGTTTCATACAATTCTTTCACTTCAAGCACTTTAATAAGGTTTAAACAGCGGTTTGACAGAGCACCATGAGTTCAACATATTTAATTACCTTTCTTTCGAAGTACCCTGGATTCATAAACACAGAAGTAATCTAGGTGCTTTGGTGGTAACTGAGACGAAAACAGACCTTGAACAATAAGGACATTAGAGGAAATGATACAGCACCGACGAAAGTAATTACTTATTAAAAATGAAGTTGATCTTTGTTCATGTAGTTAATTTGTTATGATGTTGAGTTCGAAAAACAGAAAAGTGGGTTGAAATAGTTTTTCTGAGAGTATGTTCTTAGTTGTTTACGTGAATACAGGGTGAATTTCAAAGGGGGTTAAGGTCAAATCAGTTCGATTCAGGTGATTATATTGCCATGATGAAATAGTTGATTGCGTAAATGGTAGTAGAAAAAAAATGGATGAAAAAGCAAAACTAAAAGTACCTGTGACTGAAAACAAAACAGAAATTAGTGGCTTTCATAGAATTTGAACGTTATCAACAGTTTGTTTTTGAATGAACAATTTAGGATTGATTTTTCCTACAAAGTTAACCCCTACCGCTCTACGTAAAACTAATTGGTATAAAAGGGCTTCCTATTGCAAACTAAGGTCAGACAAAGAATCACTGAGAATCTGAGATCATCAAACACCTATTTCTTCTTAGTTTGGGACTCTTCAACAATGGGTATCTTCGATATCTGATACGGTCGAACTCAGAACTTTCAGTTGTCATACTGAGTATGCCAGTGAATCAGAACCAATTACTTACGTTTCTCACTTCTGTTACAACCGTTTCGTTTGTTTATTATCTTATATGAACTCCGAAGTCTTGTTCTTTATCCATCAGATATCTAGAAAAGTAAATTATTAAACTATCTGATCCTTTATTGCACAACTCACTTGGGTTATATGTACAGAATTTGGTTACAGCATAACATCTATCTTCCCAGTGCACACTCTCTGATGTACACAAGGGAAATGAAAGATATTGTTTTGTGTGACTTACATAGGATGGATACCTGTCGGTTTTCGATTACGTTAAATACTGTGTTTTGCAAAATGAAAATCAAATTGGCTGAAGTCAGCATGACATTCAAAATAGTTTACATCTTTCTGTTCTTGGAGAAATAAAGAGTATATTTATCTCCACCGTCTCTTTAGACATTAATACCTTGTGTGATTGAATCTGGTTTTTGTTAAACAGTTAGACATTTAGATGCATTCAGTAAAAAGTCCAAACCTCATTTACGAACTTACGCCAGCCAACATGAAGTATCTCCAGTATCAAGAAAACAGTGTGCATCTAAACCCGCGATATTTGGTGGTAACACCTATGACTATAGTGAATCCCTCAGGCATCACCACTTCCGGTGAGTGCGAAAACATATGACGTACATGTGAAGGGCCTCGAGTAGATAATGGAATACACCATATTTGTGTATAACAATAAGTTTTAAAAGTTATGCTTATGACAAGGTGGTATAAAATTGTCTACTGTGTAATGACCGAGCTATAAACTTACATTTTATTTAAAATACCACATGTCAAAGGAATTGATAATAGGGCTATTATTATTTTTACCTTTTGAACAAGCTCCATTTGAACCGTCTTAGTTATTGGTTCTGTTGAATACCTTGGAACTAAGTATATCAGTTCCACAAGGCAAACCTGAAATTCCTTGACATGCCACTTATACAACATCCCTTTAGTGTTTGTCACGAAAATGACCATATTCATATCGCTTCTCAGGGTTCCTGGTGTTTTGCTCACCGCAATTTGTGTATAGCTAAAACAGGTAGAGTTGGATAAATAAATTGTAGCCGAGACAACAAGCACAGTGTTGAATAGGATTTGAGTACAATAGTTATAATAGTACACTCGACAATGGAGTCACATACCTGTGTTCAAACTCAGAAAGTATAGACATGAAAACAATATAATACACAAGTGTGACATCATCTGAAGTTCTTTACACAGATGTCTAAAGTATACTAAGAGTAGAAATATTTGCAGAGCTGTATTTGATTTATCCGTTGATTCTATTCTCTACAACTTTCAGTTGCTTGCCCTTTAATAATTTTATATCCATGCTAATATTAAGACGGTATCAAGAAGGCTTAAAAGAGTAGATTCAGCTCATGTCAATCAATCAAACATAAAACTGTATAGGTTTTCAAGAAGAGCTCTGAATATTTCACTGTGATTTTGATGGTGTTGATTTTTCTTAGCTGGATGGCTTAATAGTAGAGCTTTTATTGTCACTGCAGACATGAATGTCAGCACAAACTTCAAAAAGAGACAAGCTATTAGATTTTCTCTACAAGTGGCTCAGTAGTCTGGCTGTCCTGCCGAAGTGGACTTTGACATTCCTGTTGTTTCCTCTGCTTCCTGTTGGTGGTATCAATATGTCTATTGGTTGCTAACTGACCTGAGTGTCACACTTCTAAAGATAATCTGGCAACCTTTGCATCCCCTCAATCTAGGATGTTCAAAATGTCTGCCAGAATAAGGTGTTTGCCTTCGAGTTTAATCGTAAAGGTTCATTTATTCAGTATAATATGCAATTCAAAAATACAGCGAAAGCGTGTTGATACACCAAACACAATAGTCAGACAGTTAATTCTTAAACTGTGTTGCATTAGACACTAACAACGACATGAATTATTTTACCATTGACTCCCTTCTCAGAAAGAGAAACTAACCTATAGAAGTGAAGTAGTCGTGAGGTATTTCTAAGGACGATAGTAAAAATATGAAATTGAAATTAATGATCTACTGTGAACGTCTATCAATAAGCATTCATATGTTAACGGACAGAAATATCAGAAATGTTTATTCAAACTCACATTTCACCTTGTTGTACTAGAATTGGTCTGTCGTACCGTGGTCTTACAGTTTTGAACATAAGATGGTAATCGGTTTTTGAAAATGAATTCGATGTATACTTTTCACACTACAAAATGGTATAGAAACATCATTCGATATTAGAACAAAGATTTCAGTCAAGTAGTGGTGCATGCCTAACAATAAAGTGGTTTGTTCAATGATTTCCAAGCCAGATCTAGCTGAAGATGACATAAGTGTGAAAAATTGAACCAAAATAAAAGGTCGTTAGATGTAGAGTTCCACATTAATATCATGCCACTGGGGTTCAAGCTCATTTGCAAACTTTACCAGTAATTCTGTCGTAAAAGGAGACCACAAAGTTGTATTTTTAGACAAATTCAAGTCAACTTCTGAATACCAGCGGTAATTTTCTTCAGATCAAAGCAGTCTACCTAATAGTACGCAGGGTCTGACAAACATATTTCTGAAACATTAAGTCCCTTTGATAAATTTGCATAATTTGTTAAGAAGAGAGAGGGTTCCCAGATGACCTCCGTCTTCTTATTACATTATGCAAACATGATTCCATCTGTTTCTCTCTATCCTGATTGTATGTTTTAAAGTACAAGTTGTAGTGTGAGTAGAATTTTACCAATATCTGCATCCTTATGACGTAATGATACAAACCTCATCTACGGTTCAGTTAAAGTTCTATATAGGTGGCTAATGTGTTTCCTTAAATCTGAATCTTAAGTGAACTTAGTGAGAATTTCTTCGGATAATAATTATGGATTAATGTTCTAAAACATTGTTGTATGTTAAACATTACTTGGAATATCTTATTTTTTAGAAGTGTAAACGCTTGAACAGATGAAACTTCAGTGAAAACAGACAACATTGACATGGTTTCATCAAACAACTTCAGTGACATTTGTCAGATGAGTTTCAAAACCTAACTGTTCTAAAAATTGGATCTAGGATTCAAACAAATCAAATCGAAACTCTATACTATGCACTGGTGTTTAATCTTTTGTTAGTGGGTTTGTGGGGACCGACTGATTTCAATTTTTTATTCTTAAAATGAACTGGTATCAGTTGAAGAACCTGAAGGGCTTGGCTTCAATCTTTGGTGGGGTCACGCTTGCGTCCTGCTGTGGATTCTATATTAGGATGAAATAGCTGTCTAGTTTTCAATTTATTTTACTCAGTAACCTGTTACATGAATAATCATCTATACAACGAGTATCGGGATGACCTTGGAAATTGATGTTATTGAAGGGAATTCAGTTTATTAGTATTGACAAGTCACATACCATATCATCTAAATAATTTCATTCTTTTGATGCGTAAAATAGCCAACCTCAAAATAAAGAAGTGTATATTAATCTATGTGATGAGCAGTTTTAATTAGACAATTTTAGAAATTTTGCATCTGTAGATGCTTCCGTTAAGGCTGTAGCAAAACTTGAGGTAGAACTATATTTGAAACAGATTAAAGCATAAACTGAGAAACTCATCTGAAAGGGTCGTTGTTATGTACATTTATTGGTCACTTGAGGGTAACCAACTCCATGTTGTCTAATCCTGAGTGCTGACCGAATCCTATCGACCACTCTGTGATGTGGCTACTAGGCTAGAAGACTCACCATCGCAATACATTGTGACAGATTTCGGTTAGGTGGGAGCAGTTGGCAAGAAGCTTTGCTCGATTTAGGTTACGTGCTTCTCACCACTGGTCGACAAGACGACCTTACAGCTTCATGAGGACCGACGTCCCACCTAAGACCCGAACCCACATCACCCGGCTCCGTAATTAGATGCGTTACCACTGAGTTATTTGAGTGGGGACTGATATTTCTTAGGAATTACTGCTATGAATCCATCTCCAATTCAGTGAAAAAGATATTGCTGAAAAGGTTAAGAAGAGTGCATAAAGATTATTCAAATAAGGTGCTGCGTAACATGACAAGAAATCAGATGTGCTCAGAAAGATAATAGATGAAACAGAAAGAACAAAACTGCATAAGAAATGGACAAAAATGAAAAAGAGGGCAGTTTGAAATCTAAACGAATTAACAAGACAAGAGGTTCACTTATGTTAAGACAACAAGAGAAGAAGAGGCTGAAGAAGTTTCTTTGATGTATACAAGTGAGGATTTTCCTCAATTGTTTCTCATCAAACAGTCTGTCAACTGAAACCGCCGCAAGTAGTTACGCCGGTTATAAATCAACAGATCTTATGCTTGAAATAAGTAGACTAAGAACATTGGAAGAAATTCTAAAAGAGACTGCTTGTTCTATGTTACGACAAACGATCAAGTGTTCAACAGCTTAGGTAAACTAAGATCCAGTTAGCAGGGTCCTTTTGTTAACTCAGGTGGTAGGTACTTTAATACCTCGCTAGATTCGAGTCCTATTATTGAAGTTCAGCGGTTATCTAGATCTTATTTCGTTTTCGTCATCTACATGTCAGTGATAACTACGACTGTCACCGAAAACACTTTTAAACTCTTGAAATATTAAATTTTTTACCTTATAATCGTTTCTTATTGTTGTAGCGACTGCATTAGTTTTATAAAACTCTCCGTTAAACACAGATTCGATTTCCACTAGACTGTATTCACAAATAGCAGAAGCAGTTGGCATTGATCTAAAGCATAAAGCAAGAAATCAAAACATATCAAAAGGTAAAATAAGAAGTAAGCGAACTACAACCAAACAAATCTACGCCGAGTATACAATGAAGTTAACAAAAATATATAAGGTCAGCTTTTCATGCAACAGTGTCAAGAAACGTTTAGATAAGCATGTAAGGTTTTCAAGGCTGTGTTTATCACAGACTGGTATCTCTTAGAGTACCATTGCAAACCTGGAAGCAGAGAACAGCTGTTTCGTTCTAGTATGGAGCTCCCCACCAGCTAACACCCAAGACCACGCGAACTGACAGATGTAGGAAAATGTGGGCCATTGGATTCGGCCACAATGTCAGATTATCAGCTTCCTTGTCATGAACCTTGAAAGTTCTGACCTCGGTCGGGATGAGCCGCGGGTGTGCACTTCTGAGAAATCCTATACTTGGACGAAACAGCTATCCAGTACCTTAAGGTTTGCAATGGTTCTCCAATCGATGTCAGTTTCTGATGAATACTACATTGAAATAGATAAAATCCCTGTAAGTCACTCAATCCTAGTCTTTAAGAAGGAGAAGGAATCTTCTTGTGACCACCCAAGGGGGGATTAGTTTGACCAATGTCGAAATCGGTCACAATGAGGCAGATTCATTCACTCTTTGACGTATTCTAAAGCTTGGATGTCTGAAATTATCGTTACCTTCAAATTGTTTGTTTTCTCACACAACTTTGCCTATTTGATATTACCCCTTTTCTATCCACCTTTTCTTTGTGTACTACTGTGAAGTATGGCAACTTGAGCCATCGCACCTGTATCCGAGGTCCTATCTTGATTTCGTCAACCTGTCAGTCAGCCATGTAATAAACTCTTGTTTTAATGAAATTCATAAAAGTTTTGAAAAAAATTGTTCACGTTGGAATTGGATATGATGGTCACTCGATTCAGGCAGCTGAAGTAGGTGACTTGTTTCATGCAATCCCGGTATGAACAGTGGTTGGGTAACTGGACAGTACGATGTTGATTACCAGTTTTATCAAACAAATAAGCTATGAACATAAGCATCCAGTGTTGAGAACTAAAACAGACCCACAAGACAGGCCCATTTCAAGCAACTAAAAGTTTTAAATCTTCCAACGCTTACTGATTGATCTAATAATGGAATTCCAAATTTTGGAGATCTCAGCATTCAGATAACGGTTGGTGAGTTTTTTTGCCTATTTTGGAATTCCAGATAATGTCTTTGTTTTATACTTACAGTTCAGACATAATTTGTAAAACCTAGATGCGAAAAGTATGTGTTTACTCTAATGGAGTTTATTTAACTGAAAAGTAGCTACGAAAGTATACAAATTGAATGCGCATATCTGTATCTAGAGTAAATATACATCTTCTGTTGCCGTTTGCTTAAATTATTCCAACTGTCTATTTTTAAGACATGTAGAACCAGATTATAAAATGCATAGTTTATTTGGAAAACTGGGAAGCCACATCCTCGAAACCTATTTCAGACGAGACTGCTTGTTTCATTCTATCAATATTTTATCATTCAAAGGATAGGGATGATAAAGAAAAGCCTGGATTATTTGTGACTTTTTCTCAGGGAATTGTACTGGAATCCTACCCTGTGGTGACTATACATCTAAAAATTAGCAAGGTAAAAGTATGGTAAATACAGACTTCCTAAGTAGAAGTGTTTGAATACAGCGTATGTTGAGGCATAAACTGGTGAAACTTAGCAAACATGCTGCACTATCTCAAATTCAATGGTGGTTATTTAGTTGAAGAAGTAAAAAGTGGTTCGAAAGAGTTGAATAATTGTTTAATCTCTTCACTTTTGTTATGACCACAAAATTAAGGTGTTTTACAAACAGCAATAATTAAGAAGTACTCCAAAGCCTTTTTACACTGTTCTGATATTATTACCTTAGAAATAATACATCATCTGTTAAGAGAAAACTTAGTCTGAACGAAGTAAAATTAAATAGATTGGTGGAAGAAAACACAATCATCTAGATTACTGGGTTCTCATGAGGTATGTACGATTTGATTTTTACAATGAATCATTAGAATAAACTGTATGCATACTTTAACACACTTTAGGTATGTTCGACAGTAGGAGGCCATCGGCAGAAATCCTCAGTTGACCTTAGTTTCGTGCTTGCTGGAGGTCGTCAGCAGTGATATTGAACAATATAATATGAATATCTGAAAGGTAAGCCAGTTAGCAATACTGTTTCGTTGTGTGATGAAATGAAAGATACATTGATCTTTAGATTATTTAGTTATTTTAAGGGAATAAGTGTTTCTGGGTCATATCTTTACCAGATTTTACCTTTTTTACATCTGAAAAGTAGTGGCCATTTCTGTGAAAACAAGATGATGCCAATAAATATTTATTAAATACTATCACATGTCAAGCAGCCGATTTTTATTTTGAAAATACCCACTAGTTAATACTTTCAGTTTTGAAGAGATTAAACAACTGTTCTGGTCACTGTTTTAGATCCATGATTAAAAATATACTGCCAGTTTGCTTGGCAATGGCTAACAGATTAATTCAGAGCATGTGTTTTGTATTAGTTGGGACTCATCAGATGGAAGTACCTGCATCCCAGTTATTGGCGGTGTTCTCATTGAATTTAGACCCCACACATGTCGCTTTTCAAATCTCAGCAGATGCATTCACATGATGTGTTCCAGATGGAACAAAACGTGCTAACTGAATTCCACGGCTAGCCATTACCAAGTAAATTGTATTAACATGAATCCTCAGGTAATACCAAGGTATGAACATAGCAGCCTATATCCTCACAGAGGTCAATCTATTCGATCCCGTATAACGACAGAAAATTACAGGTATTATTAAATAATAACAAACAGCTGGCTTTTTAAGCTACATTAAAATCCAGCTTTCATTGTTAAGTTGTTTCTTTTTTATGTACACAAGAACAACTCTAAAACTCACAGTGAAGTTTGAAATGTTCCGAATAACGTTTTGGTTGATTGGTCAACATACACTGCCTGAAGTTCAGTGAATATTAGACTATTAGAGTTATCTTCTGGTGTTGATGGACAAATGATTGTAGCCTTAAGAAAATTATTGAAATTTCCCATTTGATTGCCAGCGTCTAACTAAATAATAAGTATTAAAACCGTAATCAGTGAATTCCACTTTTACTGTGTTATCATCAATTAAATAATCAAGTGTAATTTGCTTGGAAGATAATGTAAAAATAGAGGGAAGGACAAAAAAGTGAAAGAAACTTTACCTTGGCACTATATCAATGTGGTATTTGACACTAAGGACCAATAAATTTAACATCTCGCTGTATAATAACATCGGCTACATACTGTTGCAGTTTACTTAATGGTGGCTAGCAGTGAAGTCTGGGGTGTACATTCCGTTTTACTTGGTGTTTCCACTGAAAAAACATGATGGAACGTGCGTCCTGAACTTCCATGCTAGTTACCCCCAACTAATTTACAACATAATGAATAATAAGACAATACTGAGGCATCCACATAGCAGCCCATCTTCCAACAGAAGTCATTCTATATAATCCAGAATATAAACGGAAAATACTTGTGTCAATAGATAACAACTGATACTGATTGTACAAAATGTGGCTGTCGTACCTCGGTGATCTGGTGCAAAGCACCAACCTATGCCACTTATGGTGCCATCGTGACATACAATTGTTTATTAAGGATCGAGTGTATTGATTTGCAGTTCGCTTTGTCCTACTATTTAACTGTGAAACATGGCCACTGAAGCTAGCGAACATCACAAGGTTTCAAGTGTTTGACTGCCACTACCTTTGTATCAGAGGTCATGCGTCGCGATGTAACACTCCGTGAGTAACGTAGAGGTCAGGTTTAGAGTCTTAGATAGGAGAAAGTCAGTTGATTAAGTTCTAAAGCTCCATCATGGAAGATGGCTGGGAAATGCTTAATGCATCACTAGTCACCGTCTGCCTCATAAAACAATGTTAACTGAAGTAAGCTTAGGCAATAAAACAGTTGGGGATAACATGACGTCATTGTATGAATTCGTCAACTATTGGTCTGAGTTGTGAATATGAATACAGAGTTCCCGGTTGGAGAATGCGTGCAGACAGAAACCAGTGGTTGGAAGCTCTAGGTGATTTGACTTAGAATTGATATCAGCAGCGTAGATGTATCCACACATTATCTTCATCTTAGTCACCGTATTGAATTCAGTATTTTCTTGTTCTTCCTTCTTCTACTTTATCACTTTCTATTGCTTCTGTCTGATTACTCTTTATCTCTTCAGCTGTAATCTTAGTACTTTCTCGCTTGATGCGACGACGTGCTGTGACAACTTGAAACGTTACACAGTAATGCCTGGTCTTGTGTTAATATTATCTGTCTGTCCAATCGTAATAATGACTACTGCCTGACGACAGTCAGGTATATGGCTGAGAACCGAATGAAAAAACCTATCTGTCACTTACTAACTGTTGTCTTTTCATATAATTACTTCTTGGCCAATTAATTGCCTTACTTTAAGATACTACATATATGTATTGAATATTTACTGGTAGTAAATGAATACAAGCTGAAATACGTAGCAAGAAGCAACTTAACTGAACTGGGATCTAACACCTCAGTAATTTGGTGCAAAATAACCCTCATAGAAATCACACACTGAATATCTATCCAGCCTTCTATTAATTGCAGAAAAGATTATGAGAAAAGAAACCCCACACTTTTTGGATCGTCATCAATAAATTCAATGTGGCTTTAAGTCAACGACTGAAAAAGTGATTTTCTAGATTCTGTGGGCATAATTTTCTATAAAACTGTGTTTGAGAAAATATTGCTGTATTTTTCGTAGTGGTCATTTATAAGTGAAGCTTACTATTACTAAGCAGAAAAGAAATTTTAACTGTGGATGACTTCTGTATAACCAGAAGAACTCATGTGTTTTTGAATTATGCCCACCGTCAAAAGAACAAAAAAATGGCACTCTATTTGTTAGGCCATTATGTTGTTGGAAAACTTCACGCATATGACGGCTTCAGTTACGGACGCTGTCGACTAGTGACTCACTGAGTGATATCACTAAGCCATGTTAAACATCCATCAAAACGACTACCTCAACACAATCTCTCCCCCCTAAACTAAATTATATATATATATATATATATTATTAGTATTATTATTAGTCCCTTGGGTTCCTAGTGGAACATAGGGCCTCAGTAGCACGCCTCCAGTGACCTCTGTTCTCTAAGATCTTTTGGACCTGGTCCCACGGCAGCCCAGAAGCTCTCATTTCCTCCTCGCACGACCTCCTCCATGTCACCCTTGGACGTCCAACTCGTCGCTTCCCATCTGGTTCCACTCGAGGGCCTGGCGCGTGATGTCCTCAGTCGGCCTTCTCAGTGCATGGCCAATCCATCTCCACTTCTTCCTGCATATTTGTTGGGTGAAAGGTTCTTGGTTGGTTCGTTCCCACAGTTCCTTGTTGCTTATTCTTTCTGGCCATCTGATCTTCAGTAGCTATATATATATATATATATATATATATATATATATATATATATATAGAGAGAGAGAGAGAGAGAGAGAGAGTATATGTAAAAGAAATTAACAGTCAAATAATGACTTACATTACACAGCCTGCCAATTCGTGAGACAATAATCTGTGAGGTAAATCAAAAACTAGGTTGAGTATGCATAGGTAGATGTATTGTGAAATTTGGTCATACTTCAAAAGCATTGAAATATAAATTGGACAGTCATTACTGAAGTTCTCACCCTCCGGATAACAGTTACATGTAGATAGTGTGATTTCCTTAAATAGAAAGATCAATTTAAAAATGATCTACAAATTGCATGGTCCATGTAAACATCTCCCACACCTGAGTGATTTTTCAATTACTCCACTTTGTTTTCAAGACGGTTCCCAATGAAGATCCGGTAGTCAAAATCACAATGTTTGGTCCCCGAAGCAAGAGTGTCACGAACTAACGAAATATACTGGGGAACAACATGAGCAATACAGCTGGTGGGATTTCTAGCTAAAGTTGAGATTAGATTTATAACAATTGAAAATAAATGAATACCAAGCTGTTATTTCATTTCTTAAATAATTTCTTGGATTTTTTCGAGAAATACAATTCAGAGTATGCGTTTTATTCTATTTGAAAATCATCAGTTGAATGTATGCACTTCTAATCAGGTGATCGTGTTCCCACTAGTGATACTCAAACTCTTTGCAAAACACTTTAAATACCGAAGTGTTATATTGGATAATTTAGGAGTAAAACTTGGGCACTGAGGTTGAATGTAATTCCATTTTAGTTGATTTATGAGGTGTATCACAAAATGAAACAGTATTATTTACTGGATCACGTTCCAGACACAATTTATTATCCATGGTCATATCAAGATAGCTCCATAACTTTGAAATATAGTTTGATACAGTTCTAATTCTCTTGCCTTCTTTGAGATATACGTATTAGAATTTTCCCTACACCCAGAAAAGGTTCTGAGTCATTCCTGTTACGTGTACTTAGTGTTTATTCGAAAGACAAAGATTAAATTACCAATCTCTCCCTTCACCCAACTTTCTCACTCTTAAGAGCCGTCAGTGTTTAATATTTTACTCTGTGATTGTGTGTAAGGGCTCATATAACTATAGCCAAGCTTTTCTCCAGATCCGCAACCATACAAGAATCTATCAATCTTGATTTAGCTAGTTTTTTGTGCTCGAGCAGCCTGAATGACTCTAAACAGCTACTTTAAGTTATGTGTTTCACATCTCATCCATTGCAAGAGACATGGTAAACCAAACAATTTTTTTCTAATTAAACCAATAGTATCTAATAGCCTACAAAGTTTTTCTTAGTGAGTTTGTAGGGTTAAGTGTGGTTCTAATGCTAGCCTTACTGAGAATTCTACGTAATATCTGCTAGGTGTCCTTCTTATTTGTCGACACCTCAGAGGTTTTGAATTCTATTTTCACCTACAAACTTATACGTCATATATATATATATATATATATATATATATATATATATATATATATAGTTAAGTCTTTGACGGAGTCATGGGTGCGTGCTGCTGAGGAGCCCCATACTAGGAAAAAACGGCTACCCAGTGCTCTCGAGTTTTGAATGGTTCTCCAACTGATGTCAGCCATGATGAATACAACCTTATATATCTATGTTAAGTGAGGTGATAAGTGGAGTGTAAACTGTAAGTGTCAACTCATTGATGATCAGGCATAATGAATGTATACAGCAGGAGGAAGGAAAATTGATGTAATGTTCAAGTTTTTATTCTGTCGGGTGAGTGATCAGTTTACATAATAACATGAATTTATCAGAATGGTAGAAATAGAGTAGACATTTTATCATAAATTGGTTAATATGTGCAGCGTTTAAGGTACTATGATAACAAGAGGATTCCTAATGTGAACGATTTTGGAATTATCATCCTAAATCATAAAATAAAATTCATATTTTTAAGAGAAATAGCTTACTGATTTATCACAGCTTTCGACGGTTTCATCAGCCAATTCGCGAAACAAAAAATAAACTGCGTTGTGAAATTCAAAACTATGTATAAACACTGTGCTGTCTGAAAAAGAATGAAAATTTCGATAAATGATTGTTGAACTTTAAAATGTCAATAGTGGGAAGAAAATGTTAAGGAAAAGAAACATTTGATTGAGGTTGGTCAATGAAGCTTTAGTATTACAGTTGTTTGGCTCTGATGTAACAGTACAGCGTAACATTTTATTAGCACGTACTTGAAAGCGTGTTAGAATTACGCTGTTGTAGGATGATGAGTTTGTAAATGATTTACAGATTGCACGGTTCACATTGACATTGCTCACATCTGAGTAGTTTTTCAACTGCCCAACGTGTCATCAGTAGATTTTCCTTTGGTTAGAAAGGGCGACATGACCAAAACAAAAGGTAATAAAGTGAATAAATATATGATGGATTGCTATGACCGGTAGTACGACCCAACAGTCGACGAACTATACGAGCCTAGCAGACTACAAACGATAAAAACCTAATACACAAAACGAGTTGACTCTAACGCAAATCAGAACGTCAGCCACCACCACAACAATACCACTGACGTGCAAAGACAAGAAGAGAAGACAGAGTGCTTTTTATCGCCTCAACAACAGTCATTATAGTTGACAGCGATGCTGAACACACAATTCTAAATGACCTTAACAACAGTAAATCCACATATAGGTTAAAATAGATAAAAATGATTACAGTTCAGCCTTGAGAGGAGAGAGAAGAAAAACCAGCAACGCTGCGAAAAGAGCTATATGGGTTATTTTGAAGTCATGGACAAAACAACAGGCAAGGTATAGAAAATTAGGGGTATATAGCACGGATAGCTATTGAGGTAGAGAAAAGATAAAAATTAACTTTAACGCTATACAATCGGTTGTCAGCCATACCTTGTTAACTTTATAGCCAAAATCACTTTAAATGAATAAATATAAAGACTTTTAGAAAAGAATTTTTATGCCTTGTTGTTTACTTGGTGACTGGTGTTGAGAATTAGTATGCATGTTGCATGCTATTTGAGACTCATTAGCTAGTTGTACCTGCACCCCGGTGAGTGATGTCGTGCCCACTGAGACTTGAATTCAGTACCCAATGCGATGTCCACTAAGTCACTGGGGCACGAAAGTCATCTCTTGTGCAACGGGGATCAGCTGTTCTTTATTGGTACTTGTAATTTCCCTTTGCTATGCTGGGTAGAATTACTAAACCTATTTTGACATATCGACTCCAATACAGACGCCTCTTTTTTGTCCGTATATTCATTATTTTGTAGTCTACTTGGTGGCTGATGGTTGAAACCAGGACACGTGTTTCGTCCTATTTAGTACTTGTCAGCTGGATGTACCTGCACCTTAGTGAGTGATGTTATTCCCTCTGACATTCTAACCCTTTTAGACGGTGGTAACTTTGTACCTACAACTCTTGTTACTAGAATAAGCCTGAATGAAATTCATTCACAAACGAATTAAAAAAATAAAACTCAGATCAAGTGAACTTTTCTCTTTTTCACTTACTGTTTTGTTTAATCATTCGATCATCAGGTGGTGTACGAATAGGATATTTGAAGAGTTTCATGGAATTCAAATTTTCCACAGATTTCACTTTGAGTATATGCACCTCAGAATTTTGTAATGGCCCTGTTTTAGTGCCCATGTATAAATTCTGTGTACTGGTAATTAATCCAGTGACCGGTTGATCAGGATCTATTGGACAATGATGTACACTTTTCCAGTGTATTTTTGATGGTGCACGCAACTGATTGGCCTGAAAGCAAAACAGTTGGTAATGTGGACTATCGATACACTTAAACTGATAAAGAATCATATTACTGTCTTAATTTAAATGAAAGCAAACTTCAGCTTATTTTGTATCAGGATTACATTGAAGGAAAGGTTTTAAGGTTAATCTTGAGTGCCTAAATGCATTTAGTAATTGGGTGAGTAGGTATGCACTTGTTCACTTTTCTCAGTTTTACTCATTGAGAATCCTGATACTGAGTGATGATTGAAGGTGAAACGAAAATCTGGGTCAAAACAGAATTCGAACCGGCGGCATGCAGAATACCGGCCTGACGCTCTACCAACAGAGACATGAGAATATAAATCATCCTTTTCTTTAGAAATCCTATGATAGATTCCATGGGCTTTAAAGTGATTCATTTCCTTGTAACCAGGACCCTAAGGTTTCGCGGTGAGTACGTTTCCATTGAGCCAAAGGGTTGGAACCTGGTAGTGTATATATGCCTACTTCTGCCAATTCACAATCTGATGCAACCTTCATCTAATACCATCTTTGAGTATTTGTCCTCTAGATCAACTTGGTTCTCCCTACTTGTCATGACTTTTCACTGTGAAGCAAGTCACTAGTGAACACTGGACAGTAATTCGGTTTGGACGTTTGGGCGGATTTATTGATTTCAACTCGGTCGTGGTTACGGACTTACTTCATTTAGAGAACCACTGAAAGCCTAAAAGCACTGAAGAGCTGTTTCGTTTAATCATGGGACTCCCCACCAGTGGGCACTGATGATCTTGACAAGGATCTGGCCTTGACCTAAAGGTTTCATAATACCAGTAAAAGGTTTAAGGTAATGCTACAAAGTAGAAAACTTCAAGCCAAGGAATATTCAAACATCAATTAAATCAAATCAACTGGCGTTGGGGAACAAATAAACAAGCTACTTTTTAGTATGGTGGCACTGAATACTTCGGATCGCAGCCTTCAAAGGGCATCTGAAATTCTATGATTTAGAAGAGCACAGTCTGAAGCCTAGGTAGTAAATTGAAAGCTTAATCCTAGACGCAACCAAAGAACTGTTTTGCCGCGACCATTGCAAACTATGTTAAGATGATACAGTAAAAGCTTACTAACTTAAACATGTTCCATCCAATTCATCACTATAACTTTAAAGAACTACATCAGACAGTAAGATGTTTTAAGTTGACTAAGTTGAAAGAACCATAGAAATCACTATTATCGACTTGGCTGTGGCTACCAGTCCTATTTGAGACTCATCGACTGGATGTATCTGTACCCCACCCACTGATTTCGTCCCAATTGAGGCTTGAATCCAGTACCCACGGCTTATAATGCAATGTTCTTACCCACTAGGCCACTGATATATGCCAGGCACCTCTTGTGCAATGGGTATTAGTCTTAAATACGACAAGATGCACACCCTGAATTCCACTGCTATCCACAACCGAGTCAATTATGACAATAAGTATTTAGGCAATATCGAAATATCCGCAAGGAGCCCTTACGTCAAGAGAGATAGGTCGATTCGATCCAGTATATTAACGAAGAATTACAAGTATCAATAAATAATCACAGAAATCACTTCTTGAATGTCCTTTTTCTATTACAAATAAAACAATGATTTAACTTAATAAATGTTCACCCAATCTAAACATTATCTCATTCCTAATAAATCATGACTTTTGAATACATTAACTGTTGTTATACTGCGTCGATTAGGTTTTAAAGTCTCAAGAATTCAAACTAACAGCTGTCGTAATTAGGAGGAACCATGGATTTTGTTTCCTCATTAACCAACTAACCAATAAGCACAATAATTGACTGAAATGAAGTTGTAATACACCTGACTGCTTTTTTGTCTTACCACGAAACAGTTAGGCCATAGGACAGATAGTTTAGAATTTGAAATTTCTTATTCAGCTCAGATTCACTCTTAACTGCAGTCATCATCCCTTAGCCTGTACTGAAATACCTCGTTATGAAAACTACAAAAACTGTACTTTATCTTTTCTTATTCATATTGTGGTTACATTTTATCAATAAGTCTATAAACAAACCTGACGAAATGAACATTCCGCTGTCATTCCATTGGACAAACATACATAAACTCCACTCTGATGTAGTATGGAATTAGTCGGACCAGGAAATATCTTTTCCACAACTTTTACCAATGTTACGGTATACTGATTACAAGAGGTCTAAAAAGAAAAGAAACCATTGAATGCAAAGAAGCTTAATTTCACTTACAATCGATTATGGATTTGAAAAGCTTTGCACAAAAACTAACATTCAGGCTTGATATCCCCTTGCGTAATAAGGTTCGGGGGTAATGGGCTGAATTTTGCTCTGTTCTGCTATATGGGAGTGAGATATTACCATTAAAGGTGGGCAAAATAAGACACCTTCACGTGTTCAATTCCCACTGCTTTCGCACCATAGGCCATGCATATCTTGGAACCACTACGTCAACACTATATAAGTCTGTTTTGAGGAAAGGGAAGTCATATGATGAGGTCAAAAAGCCTTCATCAACTCAGATGATTGGAACACGTGCTACGCATTCCTGGTCAACGTCTGCTAAGTCGTGACCACTCCGAAATATGACATCAGTGCATGAAGTCTCTGGCTGTTGGAAAATGTAAACTTCCCGACTGGGATCAGCATGACTACTGGAATCTATGGTTAGAGACTCTAGATCGCATGGCTCAGAATAAATCTCAATGTTACAGGTGAATTCACAAATGATCCTTATCTTAATCATCATACTGGATTTCACCATTTCCTCATTACTTCTTGTTTCTTTTTGACAAATTTCTATCACTTCAGATTACTTTTTTCCGCATTTCTCTATCTTTCATCTGTCTACCTGCCACCATGGTGTGCTGATATGAGGTGCGGCAATTGGGATCACAACACAATAATGCCATACTTCATGTTGATACTGACCACTTAAGTGGTACTTCATCGGCTACATCAAAACTACTTTCCATTTGGTAACTTCAAATTAAAATATTTTCTTGTTATAAATTAGTTCAATAATCTAAATCCATCTGGATCTAAACTCTATGGGATAATCACCATTTTCAAAAGTGAATACTGAGGAATAACTTAGTACTACCACTATCCACGGCGCTGACATTCAAAAAGTACAATGAATGGCCTTTCATCCACAAAATTCATCTTAGTGATTCGAGTAGAAGACCTTAGAAAAGAACAGTGTGATGACTGGCTCACTTTGTACCCCTAAAGTTAATAAAATGGATAAATTGAAAAACCGTCAGTGACTTATTGACTCTAACATATATGTGACGTATATGTTTTCTTCTGCACATAGTAAATTTCAAAATCGCTAGCATAACAGGAAAACGATAATTAACACATTTCGTAGCTGTAAAATGCAAATAAATTTGTCTTATTTTGATTAGGCCTTCATATCAAACTTATGTTTATCGAATTCGCCTGCTTTCCACATTTCTGCGATCATAAATGTAAAGACAGTGTAATCTATCTTATCCTGTGGATAATTTGTACAATAAAATCCCTCTGTTAGTGGCGTTTTAAAAGTATATATCTCTATAACTGTTCGTTTGAACCATGTAATGAGGTCTAGACTACCCAGCTGAGGTTTTCGAGACGATAGAAATCAGTGGCTTACGACTCTTGGAGATATTTCTGAAAACCGGTCACAGTGGCATAGATGTATTCATCCTTCGATATCTTCTACAGCTCAGAAGTTCTGATTAACCTTTATTTTTAAGTTCTCTCTCTTCCCATTTACCACTTCTACTTTGATATCAGTCTTTTCCATCAACTTGTTCTTTGCATAGTACTGGTAACCGTGACAACTTGAACTAATTCACTTTCATTGATTTTATCTATCTGCTTGTCTGTATATCGACAAAGAATAAGAGAGTCTATTTCGCTGATATCTACAAATCACCCGCGCACCACTTAGAATTTTCAGAAGTGCACTGCACATTTTGAGAAATGCATAACAAGCAACTTATATTATATCTGCTGTATTAAAATCATTCACAGTACTCAGCAACCACTCGTCCACAGACTTACTGTGTTTCTATTGAACGGCTGAAATTCAATTTGTATGTTTAAAACATACTGTTTATTAATTACCACCACCTAAGTTATTAAACTTGTTATTAAGTGCAGTATTATTGTTCATACCTTCAAAAACGTCCGAAATCATGAAAAACTTTCACAACCAATCAACATACTTCGCTTGTTTTAAAAAAGTCCTATGACAGTTTGTATGAGCATTAGATTTGGGAATATGACAAAATCAGCGGGAAATGCAATCCTAGTAAAGCTTGAAAACAACCGAGGTTGTTGCAAATACGGATAAAACTGTTGAAACTTCTTTCTATGGTTGATGTAGTAATAAATCTGTTGCTTTACTGATTCTTTAGTTTTCTCCTAGAATCGAATAACCATCAGCTGTGGAATCTGAAGGTAATTGTTCAAGCATTTAAAACGAATATGCTTATATTTTCTTGAACCTCATTTGCTCTAATAATCCTGAATATCTGTTATCTACTGTTTCCTGTGAGCTCCACAAACTCATATCAGTACTATCTGACATCGGTCTCTGCCTACAAACAACTAGAGCGAACCGACGAAATCAAGTGAATTCATACCATCATGTGGTATATTTATTACTTTCGCACTGATCAAATTGACAACGGGAAGAATCGTACGAAGTTTATTACGTCTCATCTTAACAAGGTTAGTTTGTTTCTGTGATCATAATAATAATAATAATAATAATTCACTTTATTGATGGGAGATGAACTCCATATAAGTTTCAAAAATATCTTACTGGCAAGGAACAACCAAGAAGCGTTATTGTGTGATAAGATTACTTCATGTGCACATAGAAGAACAGAAATTATTAACACGAATACCTGAAAAAACACAATACCTTTCTCTCCCTACCTGTATCCTGTAACCTGCCATGTAGGCTTTATGTGACGTGAATGATAATAAATGATAATAATTGCACTCAACAATTTTCTGTACACTCGTTCAGTAGGCAATGAGCCACACCTATATTGTTTGGCCTAATCATACTACCTTTCTGCCAAAATCTTTGCAGTTGGAATGGCGTTCAAACATGCAACCTACAGATTGATAGAAAACTCCACAAAGTAATAAGCCACAGCCCCAGATGTGGTAGGAATGACATTATTAGTTGTTATCCGTTTCAAATCGTATGTGGAATGAGTAATTTTGAGCGTAATTCCGCATAACCTCCTCAATAATTGTAGCATTGTTATAATTAATTGCAATATAAAGCTTAGATTGCAATAGGCTGGATACTGGGAGTGCATTCTTTTTTCGCTGTCATTGAAATTAGTTTTATTCTTGTCACTCACTTTTGAATCTGAATCTGGACGTGGACAGTTAGTTAGTTCTTGACTAGACAGAAACCAAGTGGCTTCATCCTTCTTCAAAAATGTATCCACAGATATCCGTACCAATGAGTTGCTTCAAATCGTAAGAAAATGTAAAGTTTAATAAATAGAGTATAGTTTTAGTGAAGAAACTGAAGTTATCGAAATGTTACCTGGAAAAGTTATCTCTTAATTTTGACTGTTTACTCTCAGCTCCATTTTGTTGACTTATTAAATGTATCACACTGAAACAGGGTCATTTACTGGATCCCCATCTGCACAATACTTACCATCCATCCTTTATGATTGAAGTGAAATTTACATCTTGTTGGTAGTCAGATCTCGTAGCTCACTTAGTAGAGCACCGGGCCGAAAACTCAGAGGTCTCTTGTTCGAATCCTGAAGCTTCACAGAACTTCACTCTCAATCATCACCCAGTACTAATACAAGTCCGCCAAATTATGGTTATCTCAAATAGTCAGGCTGATAACAGTAGTAAATCAACAAATAAACAAGTCAATAAAGTGCAAATTAAAACATAAACAGAGGTGCAGAGCATCTGTCTAAGACCACGGTAAAGAGAGTGTTTGCACATATTTCTTTTTAATGCACAATTGAGGTTTGAAGCTATAAGTCTCCAAAGCTTCGGTTGTACATAATTGACTAATCCTCATCCATTTTAAACGGTTTAATCGAACTTTTGATGAAAATGTTGGACGAGATTTCCAGGAGAACCAAATGTTCAGAGTCTACGAGGTGTTTAGTGATAGAGCTGAAGACAGTTTCGTGTTCATCCTTCAACAACCAACCAGGGTAGTGTTCGCAAGTGCGCATTTCAAACTTACGCACAATACAGCCGATGTACTCACCTCCACAGGAGCAAGTGAACTTGTGAATACATAGTAAAGAGGCTCAATGTGTCAACTTGTTTTTCGCTCAGTGAAGAGTCAATGTTAACATAAGAACACAATAAGCAGGTTTACAGCACACACTGTTCTGCTTAGGGAGCTTGACAAACGTTGACCAAGGGTGTGAGCGATAACATCACCTATGTATCTGAGGTCTACTAAAAGTATTTTCTTCACAGATATTTGAATTTGTTTCATAATCTCCCCTTTTGCTTTCATACTTTTCTCTATAAATTTGGATAGGTAGCCAATCCGTGAAGGTATTTCTTTAGGGTGAGACTGTAGATTTTGAAGCTTTTGTTAACCAACTCATTGTTTTTATGTTGTTGCTTGTATTATCTCGTCGTTGAGTGGATCGAATTGATCGGTCTGTATTGGCATATAGGCTCCTGCGTGGATACCTCGGCATTGTCTCTGTTTATATTATTGATGGATAGTGGGTAGCAGTGGAATCCGAGAGGTGTGTTTCGTCCTGTTTGCTACTCGTCAGCTGGATGTACCTCTTTCTTAGTGAGAGACATTGTTCCCACTAGGACTGGAACTCAGGACCGGTACACACAACAACAACAAAACTGTCCCCGTCGCTCAAGAAGTGGCTATCGTGGCATGGCGATCTATTGGGTAACGCTCTGGCGTTTGAAGCGATCAGTCTCCAGTCCGAGTCCTAATGAGAACAACACTCACTGGGAGGCAGGTACATCCAGCTGACGAGTTCCGAACAGGACAAGACCCATGTCTTGGGTTCCGCTTCTAGCTACTTTCCATCATTAACACCTTATTGTTTGCCAAAAAAGAAGAGGAACCTTAAATTTTGATGACCTTAGACAAAATTCTTCAGAATCAAGTAATACTAAAAGAAAGAATGAATAAGTCTGCTATCGAAAAGACGGAAAGAAGTAAGTGACCAGAATAATAAGACATAAATGGAAATTTACTTTGGTAGGGATTATGAGCAATGAATTGGAGTGGGAAAGTTAATCTGATACTACTGTTTTATGGTATTTTATATTTAGATGAAAAGAATAACATGGAACTGTAAATCTTAAAGTTTACGAAACGATATCCTCAACCAATAAGAATATTTCTAAATGACAGTTCAGAAGATAATAGTGTAACGAGTAATCTTTCCATACGCACGTTCCTTGAAATATTGTAAACGAAACAAGTGGTACTGGAATTAAAGATGAAAGAATTTTAAAAACACTAATGTGCTAACCATAAACTTCATACGCTCATTCTATCCAAACATTTCGCTCATCAGAAAAGTTACACTGAACTGGGTTTATAATATTAACCTAAGGAAGTACAAATACTAGCCCATGTTCGACAGATAGGAGTAATATGAACGTCCAGCAATAATATAAGAGAATGTAACTCCATTCTGTTGATTTATTATATGCATCACACAATGAAACAGTATCATTTACTGGATCACGTTCCCGACATAATCTATCGTCTATATTCCTATCAAGTAACTCCATAACTTTGAGACATATTATGTAGTTTCAATTCTCTTATCTTCTCTGTGATGACAGAAGTAGAAGTTACCACATATCTGGAACAAGTGCGGAATCATTTCTGTTGCATGTAGCTAGGTTTGATTCGAAAACCAAATATTTGGTTAACAATCATTCCAAGGGGTTTGGTAGGCTAAATTATTCTGCCTAGTTGGACCAGTAGGGTAGTCTGACCTACAGAGTTGGTTTCCATGTTTTTTTGCCAGTTTAAGTGCCCCTCTAGTCAATGCCTTATTAAGAATTCTACATAACATCTGTGAGGTGCATTCTTTACACCGTAATACTGTAGAGGTTTTTGAATTCTCTCTTCACCTGTAAATCAAATTAGAAATCTTTCTCTGTCAAAACATCCTATTGATTCAAACAGGCAAAATAATTTAGTCTACGAAATCTCTTCCAAGGATAGCGAGGTCGAATACATGTGTCAAAGTAGTCGAACGCGGTAAATTAGGCTGTCCGAGCAAAAACCTCTAGCTAGATAAAAATTGGTAGATCTTAGTAAGATAGTGAATCTGAAGAAAAGCTTGGCCATAGCTATTCATGGAATCATATATAATCAGAAAATAGAAAGGTAGAGAATGAAGGTCCTCGATTTAAAACTAACTTAGTAGGGTGGAAGGGGAGAGTGAAAACCAAATATTGATACTGGGTGATGACTGAAGGTGAAACGATATTTTAGGCCTCACCAGGATTCGAATTAGAGATCACTTGGTTTCCGGCCAGGTGCTCTACCAACCGAGTTTTGAACCCTGACATGACCTTGATTTTCATTTCAACCTTATTTATCATCAAGTACCAATACAAGCCTGCCAAACCACTGGCTATCTCAGATAGTCAAACTGATAACCGAATATCCGTTTATCGAATCAACATTCAACACATGCAACAGCAATGATTCTGCACTTGTTTTAGATAAGCGGAAAATTCTACTACCCTCATCACAAAGAAGGCAAGAGAATTGAAGCTGTATAAATCATGTCTCAAAGTTTTGAGGCTACCTGATATGATTACCAGAGACAAATTGTTTCTGAAACGCGATCAAGTAAATGATACTGTCTCACACTTTGACACATCTAATGAATCAACAACAAAAAGAAAACTCAGCATTCATTAAAATAACTTTGAGCAGCTATTTTCAAGCATTTTATAGACTCTCTCACAACTGCGACAGGTGTCACAACTGAGGCGTCAGCTTACAATTCGGGTGAACAACAAAAAAAGAACAGGAACTACTAAATTTAGAAAAAGTAGAGACTCTCTGATACTTACAAGTTATTTCATTTTGTTTCAGTCGGTGAAGTGTAATTGTACTTCACAGTTGGAAAAAACAGAAAGAATAAAGAAAATCTTAACCTGAGACTGGTAACACCTGATAAATTTATAACTTCCTGTCATATGCAGGATATGCATCATATGTTTCTTACTGACGTATAAAAAATGTTAGGAAAGTTAATACTAAATATCTACTATGGATTAAGTCATCTAAGACCATATCGAAGAAGAACCAAGTGCTATACTAAAATGAATACTACCAAATTTTTCGAAGAAGTTGCTTTTAAAATATGCAGAGAGATGTGATGTAAAATCGAGCGAAAAAACAATGGTTTGAGAGATGAATGAGTTAGCTGAGTATGTGAGGAATTTCCTCTTACTTTTTGCTTACAAGAAGACATAAATGGTCATTCTTCTTATCCGGAACTGATTTTCCATTACCAGATTGCTTGACATTAGTGATTTGGAAAGCCTTCTTAAAAACAAGAAGTATTCTAAAGGGGTCCAATGAACCAAGTGAACAATTATGTCTATGTCAGACGCAGTATAGTTATGTAAAACGATTACGGTATCTAAAGTGATTCTCTCCAAACGGATTCGCATAGTTATTGTTTAATGAACTTATATTTAACAGCCTGTCAAACCGGTAGTGAGGAAATTGGGCTGTTTACACGGTTGAACGCCAGCAAACTCAATGAAATGCTACATTCCAGATTTTAGCTTCACGATTGACAGGTCACTACTTAAAATGTTGGTACAATTACTTATTTTTCATGAGATCTGAATGAATTCTCATGAGAAACACTCAGTAAAGGTAATGAAGTGATCTTTTTATCACGAACTCTTTGTAGAAGACAAACACATAAAATAAATTGTGCACCTAAATACCTAAATACAATCATCTTTAAAGTAGTTAGTGAGTGTGAACTTACTTTACTGCAATAAAAACAGAATTTGATGATGGTTGAACAGCTATTTGAGCTATGCGACTTTTCTTTGGGAAAGTGAAACTTTTATGTGTAGACATCCATTTCGGTTGATTAATAAAATCTACAAGGCAGTATTATGTGATAATAGTTAATATGCATATCTTATTATTGTATTGAGAATTGAAACTTTGGATGGTATAGAAGAGAGAGGCTTTCAGAAATCAATTAGGACTAAATTATATCTGATTATAATAACCAACCAAGAACCTATTGCCCAACAAATATGCAGAGGAAAGGGGAGATGGATTGGGCATACACTGAGAAGGCTGACTGGGAACATCACGCGTCAAGCCCTCCACTGGAAGCCAAATGGGAAACGACGAGTTGGGCGTCCGAGGATGATATGGAGGGAAGGAACTTGTGAGGAAGAAGTGAAAGCTTGTGTGCAGTCGTGGTGCCAGGTCCAAAAGACTGAAGACAACAGAGTGGAATGGGGGCGTGCTACTGAATCCATATGTTTCACTAGAAGCCCAAGGGAAAAATAATAATAACCACGATCAAGCTGAATACTCGAAAAATATTTTAAAAATTACTGTATAACTGGATCAACAGTTTCATAATCAAATTTATCTTGTAACGATACACTTTAAGCCTTTATTACAAACAAATGTCGAATATAGTTACAGAAGAACAGCTACAGTTAAAGGATACAAGCATAGACAGTTTTAATCACAAATCAATAAGTACGGCGTTTTAAATGTAAACTATTTCAATTTGGAGGTTTGTGAGGATTTATTGATTTCAACGTGGTTCTCATCAAACACTGACTGACATCACTTGAAGAACCGTTATAAACCTGGCAACACTCGACAGCTGCCTCATCCTAGCGTGGGACTCTTTAGAAGTGCATACGCATAGCTGCACCCCACTAAGCATCTAACCCAGGTCCCCTAGGTTCCTCAGCCAGCACTCTAGCATTGAACCCCGTAGTTACAGCCCAGCAGCTCACACTTCCTTACTTCTGTCATTTAGCGATATACCACAACCTTCTTCCAATGCTACCGTTAAGCATTTGTCCGAGTATTCAACTTGGTTTACCCCATCGGTCATAAGTTTTCAAATAAAACTTTGTGAAGCTTCAAAGCAGATCACTAGACAGTGATTCAAACAGTGACACACACTACTTATTTCTATTTGTTAATATCTTTTGACTATTTTCTGTATTCAAGATTTCAGTATAATTATCTTGGACAATGAACATGCTTCAGAGATATGACTTCGAAATTTCGAATGATCCATCCTATAGCCAAGTTAATGGAAACACCAGCTAGCAAAATCTTAAAATATGTAACGTTGTCAGACGACTAAACTGAATTTGGAATACTAACAAATAATACCAACAGTTGTGTGCAGCATCGTTAACTTTTCTGTCACTTTAGTCATATTTACGTGAGTGTAAAATGAGAAACAAAACTGTACTTGTAAACAAAATTTTATTCAGACTAGTATGTACACAGTTTGACCAGTCTGTAGATGAATTTTCGTTGGTCTCGAGATTAAGGTTCTATATTCAGGGTTGTATCACGTTAATGTGATTATGAGCAATAATTTAGCCTCAAAACGCCATCAAATAAATAATACTGTATTATTGTACGCTATATATCAAATAAACAAATCTAATATGGAATTATTCTTTGTTTTTTTCTCTTACTATCACATTCTTCATATGTGTGTATATGTCATCTTAATATTGATAAATTTAAAAAGAAAAATCTATTTCCTTTCAGTCCCTAACTCTCATTCCATTTCGAAATTGTATTCACCTCTAACTTGGCTTGTTTTTACACTATACAAATGCATTTTATAACTGTACAACCTGATAAGAATTTATCGAAAAGAATATTCTTCATTCAAGATTTTTTATAAAACTAATGTCATTGGAATCCTGAAATGTTTGATATCCTACTTGTGATAAGCAATAAAATAGGATTTGAAAGAATTTATAAAAAATTATACAGACACAATTAACCATTAAAATTGTTTTGGAGAAAAGTAATTCCATTTTTTTTATGTGTTAAGAGCGTCTCAACATTAATAAAGGTGATTTGAATAGTTGTAATGTTGTGCTGTTATTGATTCCAATAATGATTAGACAGCTTTAAAATCAATATTTTATTCGCCTTTCAAAGAGAATAAACAAAACAAACACACATAGTAATCTGCCTCTATGCAAAAAATAATCACACAGTTAAAATATAAGTTTGGAATTTAAGTCTAGTTTATTGATTTGTCACATCATTGGTGTTACACAAATTACCATTATCAGTTATAAATCCAGCCGCTGTGTTTTATATAGAGTGAGGTTATGAATGGTGATAGTTGGGTGGAGGAGATCGCGAGAAAGCCCTGCTCGACCTAAGTTTTGTACTTATTGCCACTCGTCAGCAAGACTTATCTGAAACCTCTGCGCAAACGACATCTCGCCTGAAATTCGAAACCTTATTAACCAGTGATGTAGTCAGTGATGTTAACTTTGTGCTATTCGAATCGTAGCTGACCTTCTGAAGGGTTAGGGTTAGGTACATTGATTGGTTACTGGTAGGTAACCAACTTCATATAGTCTAGTACTGAGTGCTGATCCATCATTCTGCAATGTGAATGTCTTTTTTAGCGATTTTGGTGGTAAATGAAAATCACCGTCTCACTACTCACATATCTAACAGTCTTCCAGAAGTACACTCATGCATCACTCAGACACTTTAGAGAAAACTCCCACTTATAGCTATAATAATCTTTGGTTTTAAGACGTCTGCTTTTTGGCAGTACGGTAAACAATAGTGTGAAATTATTAGTTATTAGAAACCAGTTTCATTCCACTCTTTGACTCCGTATCAATATGCACATCTATGAAATGTCTTCGAATGAATTTCAAGAGTGCGAAGCCTATAGGCCATTACGCTATTGTTTAAATTACTCAATCAGGCAACTGGTCAAGTCAGATTGTTCAACAGTATCACATTTTTTTACTTTATGACATTTAAATGGTTTACAAGTTACGACTTCTCGTTTAAACTTGGGATAGATACCTTCAAAGAGACTACCGAAGTGTCTTTAAACAAGACGGAAATGCACTATATTACTTAGTCATATCAATGATAAGTTAACTGATAGAGAATAACTGATGGAAACCGCCTTCTCAAGTATCTGTAATCTTCATTCAATAATTCAAGATATCAGCAAAATATGATGGGTGGATGGTAATTCCTCCACTTTACTGGCAGAAACATTGTGAAGCCTTTATATATGAATGTATATATATTCGTTGATGGAGGAATAGCTTTTATGCCAAAGTATCCATAGTATCTAGATCCCCTTCCACATTCTACGATGGAGATAGTCAGTCACAGAGAGAAGGATTACAAAAGTCACCAATAGTCTTGTGTTTGACCTCTGGCTTCAGTTAACTGGAAGCTAAGTAGATGAATTACGGAGACTGGATGAAGTAAATAAGACTATTAAGAGTTATAATTGACATTTGGAAATTAATTTAAACCGGTTAACTATTATCTTCCTAAAATTTAAAGCTTTTTGTTAATCATTCCTCTTTAAGCATGCTTGTAGTTTACAAGTCAATAAATATCAGCTTTTGGGGTAACACAAGATTCCTTTAACCGACCCACATATAAACTATTCCATAGAATTTCTTTAACCATAGGAAAAATTTTTTCGATAGACATATCTACTTTATTATTTAAAATAGTTTTACATGCATCAAGGCACAACATAACTTAAGTACAAAATAATCCTGATGAAGTGGAATTAAGTTTTGTTAAAGCTCTTAAAAGTTTACTTTCATACGTGAAACTGATGGGATTTGTAAAGTTTCTGCTGAAACTACTGAAATACTCACCAATTTAAAAGAATCAGTTTATCGGGGTGGAGGGGGGGCTGTCCAGATGGTACTGAGGGTTTATATTTATTCTCAAGTTGTTATTCATCGTAGGTCGACATCAGTCGGAGGAACATTGGAAACCTAGAAGCACTGGACAGCCGTCTCACTCTGGTATGGAACTCTTCAGCGGTGCACACCCATGACCCCGCCAGGGATCGAACCCGCTACCTTCAGGTTCCGTGGCCAACACGTTGACATTGAGCCAGTGGGTCAGACATTTCCAACTTCTGTTAGCTCCCGACTTATTTATTCTTAAATAATAATCTCTTTGTCACTAACTGTACAACCGGTAGTTGTCGTAGAGGACTAAAGTAGGTGAGTTAGGAATCTCGGGCAAGTCTATCAGTTACATAATTTTATTTATTTTAAAAGATATTTTACTTAAAACCTATTTTATAATTATGAATGAAACATATTAGTACAATCCCAATGAAGCAAAAAAACAGATTTCTGACATTTGGCAACCTTGTGGAAGTCACTTATTCAGAGAAGAAAATCTATAGTCCTACCATTCTGCCAAAGTAATAGTGAAGACCTGCAAAGGATTTTAAGAAAACACCAAATTAAAGCTATCTACGAGACAACCAACACGCTCAGAAATACTTTAGTTCACGTGGAAGATAGAATTCCTCTTACCCCCACACACACAGAATTGTGTCTACAGACTACGCTCTGCCAACTGTGGTGTTTAATATATTGAGGAATCATCCCTCCACATCCTCATTTGTGCTAAAGTATATTCAACCTACACAAACTCACCTCTAAATAATCTTGTAGAACTGGAGAACTTACAAGTCAAATCAGTAATCACTGTTGATGCCATCTACCATACTCACAAATTTGATAATGGAAATATTAAAATTATTCGGAAAGGATTTTCACACTACTAGGAAGGACAGATAGTTGAAGGTATTTCATAGTATGTTGAAGGTGAATGCACTCAATAGAGAGGAAGGCGTAACTATCCAACTATCCAAGTAGGATAGTATATCCGAAATAACACGCTTCATACACTAGCCATGACTAAAGTACATACACACAACTAAACTGAATAATTCATCACATCCATGGTATTTTTCTCATACCACCACACTGATTCACATTCTCATCTTCACCTTGAACTTGCGGACTAATAACTGATAACGATGACAATTATTCTCATATAATTGTCATGCGTGAAGAGTGTGATTCGACTTGTATCCATTTGTTATTTAAACATGTGATAAGTTGTACAGGTTTTCTTCTCTGAAGAAACGACTTCCATGAACTTGCGTAACGTCAGAATCTTGTTTTTCTACCTCACTAGGATTTTGCAAATATATTTTATTTACAACTCGTTTACCGAATGCTCAACTTGTTCAACTCTATCGTGTCAAATGCTACCCTGAAGTGTATAAAAAACTTATTTTATAGTATCATTGTGTAGCTTGATTCCAGAGATTTTTATTGACCTCCAAATTATTTCTGTATTATTCATGGTTACGCAATAATTACATGTTATGTCTAGTCACTTATTGTGCATTATCCCAGTTTTTGTGCATAGAATCAATTATTTCATTTTTATGAATTACAATGTGGCAGCGACATGTAATTCAGTTGAATAAACAGATGACCTAGATAGCAAATTATACTAAGAAAATGGACCGTTCGTCTTTAATCTCTTTTGCATGGTGAAAGTGGAAGCAAGTTTGATTCTTATAGGATTGCGATTATCTCTTCTTGTGTTCGGCTCACTTATTGTTTCATATACGTGGGTAAGGAGTGGCAGATGCAGTCGCATTCAGATAGTGAGCTATGCAGAAAGTCAGACTCACATGACAGTGTCAAACATGTTTGGGAGTTATCAGCTGAGTCAGGTGATCTGAAGTCACTTCAGTTTATGTACTGTTACAGTAATGATGGACTTGGTAGAAGGAAGACTGAAATCTGTGTAGTATTTTTGAAGTCACCAATGTGTCACATCCAACTGATGAGTCCCGAATTGAACGAAACGCTCATTTTGGATTCCAGTACTAGCCACCAAGTAGATTACAGTATAATGAATGTTTCACCATTACCAAGGCATCTGTATAGGAGTCCATCTACCAGAAGTAACCCTGGAATTTTGCCCAGAGTAGCAACAACAAATTGCAATAAACACCAAGGTGACATATTGGTCACAGATTCATGAAAAATAATTTGAGTACCTTTCTTCTTGTCTTTATATATTGTGAAATGACCTACCTATGACTTATGTCTCCAAGATGAAAAACAATCCATTGACTATGGTAAGTATCCACTCTTACTAATCCACTTTTCCTTGATTTCATTTGCTTTTCTCAAGGATCCATTCATTTATTTCGCTAGCCACATTCGCATCATCTAAATATTGTTTATAGGATATATATGGGTATGAAAATGCATCACTTGAATAATAATTCCACGTCAGATGGTTGGGAGATAGATTTTTATCAATAGACAACTTTATTATCTGATGAATGAAGATCGAGATGAGATAGTTCAACGTTAGGTTGTATCATATAAACGACAACCAGTTCTTATTTTTTGATACTTTTAATACCTCGTTGTTATGTTGTGTTCGACTGATCAATCTCTGTTAGCATATGGGCTCCTGTTGTGTGTGGTAGTCATGGTAACTTGCCCCGGAATCCAGGAGGCTAATTTCGTCCTGTTTGAAACTTGTCAGCTGATGATGTTCCTAATAAGATTAGAACTCATCACTCGTTGCTTTAGACTCAGGCACATATGGCTGCCAAGTCCCAAATAAGACGAAACATACATCTTGGATTCCACTGCTAGCCACCACTAAAAGAATTACTAGGGAATCACTTCTCTTACGATTATATTTGGTGAGCTTTAATGTAAAAGTCAGATGGCTTAAAGTTTTTAAATAATGTGCAGTTTGACATTAGATATAGATTGTATTTGTGTAAGTCACAGAGCGTTTGAAATTAAGTAACCCCAACGCTTCACTCGACAATCTGGTCCAAGCGAAACTATATCTAATGTCAACGTACTACTCAGTGCCCAGTATTTGCTATCCTATCAAGCCAAATAATGATCATAATTCATTTAAATGACTTTGCAACTTGTGGAATATGAAAGAATTTAACTCAAGGCTCTGATTAAAGATGAAGAGAATATTATTAAGCCGTTTAATAAGTAGGATAATGCTGAAACATGGCCCTTAGTCAGTTATTGTCATGACGCGAGAGTTTAAATTTTTCTCTCTGGAAATGAAATCAAAACACCAGCAGTTAACCATCTAAGAAATAGAAACAATAAAGCAATTTATCTCATTTTCACACTTAAAAACTGCTCACTGGTGATTCAAGGGTAACATACTGGTTCCGAGACTTAAAGGTCTCTAATTTGGCTGTTCAGTTTTCCAGAGAATTACCAAGTTCTAATTTACAAAAACTCTTAAATTCCCCCAAAATACTTTCAGTATTTTATTTTGTTTAAAAGTGACTAAAAAGTAAACTACTTTTTTCACTCCAGTATCTACGTCAGGTTTTTATTGTGACAAAAGATGTTGGATGTTAAGAGTCTGTCTGCAGGAAACCTTAAACCATAGTTTTGTTCCTACTAGGACACATCAACAATACATATCTGCAAACATGAGGAAAATCGTTTTCTCTTAGTGATTCAAATCTTGGTGAGTTAGTATTCAAGCCAAAGACTTAACCATTAGTTTATTCACGCTGCTACTGACCACCGGTAGCATTGGACTAAGTACACCACAGGTCGTCAATGAGTATCCGATATTAGCTGTCTAATCCTATCGATCAAGCTTATTGTCATGAGACCACGGCATACTCAATTTCGATCAACAAACTACATTGCGGACTAGACACTGATAAAATCCTGAGTGTTAAAAGGTATTCCTTAAATTTGCCACGAACAAACTTAACTGCCTTAATTTAGTAAACAATAAATCGAAAGATTTTCAAGTTCCTTCTTGGTTTGATCATGATGCATTTATATTTTATGTCTCACTCACTTATGAATCAATGCTACTAATAGCGGTAATCCAACACAGCCGCAGTGTACAGGTTCGTATTCTGGTCGATAAACCTGACCTATGGTATGCGGTTTTGTGATAATGCCTGGATGTCTAAGTCATGTAATGGAGTAGAGTTCAAACTCGTGATCCTATAATAAGAAGTAAATAATCCAAGTCAGTGACAAATGGCTGTAATTAAACTTTTCCTTATAAGAAGTTCAAGTGCTTGGGTTTGGCACCTGATACTACTGATTGGAAAGATACATAAACCACATATGATAGACCTATATTCCTTCAAATACATGGACGCTAATCAATGTGTGTCTGAGTTTTAAAATAATTATCATCAAGCTAATCATGCAAAGAATGACTTCATATGGTGACAGACGAAAACAGTGATGAGTCACTGAACTGCAACTGGGATCATAATATTCGCTACACTAGCCTATAAGTGAATGGTAAATACAATGCATCATAGTAAAGAGTCACTTGTCTTGGTGGTTAATTCAGTTTGCAGGATTTACTTATTGACTTGAGGTTAGTATTCATCATGAACTGACATCAGTTGGAGAAACATTGGAAAAATAGGAACACTGAACAGCTGCTTCGTCCTAGTATGTTGCTCTTCAGCAGTGTGGTCCCATGACCCCACCAGGGATCGACCCTAGGAACTTCAGGTCGCGTGGCCCTCACATAACCATTAAGCCACTGGGTAAGAATCTACTGATCCATATTTCCCACTTTTGTCTGCTAACGATATAGCGCGACCTCCGCCCAGTGCCTCCGTTGGTTAACAGTCCTCATGCTCGAATCGGTTGGCCTCGGCAGTCAGGACTTCTGATCAGAACATCGGGAACCACCTCTCAAACCCACTCATTAATTTAATTTAGAGGTTTGTAGAGATTTATTTATTGATTTCAGGTTACTACTCATCGCGAATAATTAGCGAAACTGATGGAAGGAGTTTTACTGACACTGAGGAAGATGCATTACGACATCCTTTAATACTCACTGACTAACTGCTATGTCTTTTTATTACTGTTGGTTGAAATAACTCACCAGTTACTAATAATGCAGTTAGATTACAAATTTACTACTTTCCCTCTAATTTATGGTGAACAGAGGATTTTATTGTCTCACCATCAGCTTATCTTTATTCAACATTACTTTTCCGTGAGTGGATAACATTTTTACCTAAATTCTTGCAAAAATGATCCATAGAATTCTATCAGTATTCAAGACCAGACAACATATAGTTGGGTACTCTTCACTGACTAATCTTTTTATATCATTCAAGCGTACACGAAGTCAATTGCTGTCGGTTGACTGCAACACTGCATGAGGCACAGTTGAATCTCCTAAGTTGCCTCAAGGTTGCAGATATGCCTCACTGATGTGCTTCAACAAGCACGAAGCCCAAGTCAAACACGGCTTCCTGCCAGTCACCTCCAACCAACCAACATCTACTGCAGAAAATGTTTTCGTCTGATATTCTCAGCAGCACAGCCATCACACTAAATCCAATTTCACTGGTATCTTATCTATGCAAATTGAATTCTATTGGATTATGAAAGCTGATGGAAGACTTTCTGTTTCTCAATTATCGGTTGTCAGCATCAAGATGAGCCAATTCTCCTTAGCATCACTCTTCACTGTCATTCAAACTGGAAACAAAGTGGTCAAGTGAAAGAGGAATTCATGCTGGGAAGAAAATGATTCCACTTGAAAATATGAGCTGATTTGATGAAACAGTTCTTACAGTTACGGTAGTATCAGTTGTAATACTCAGTATCCTTTGGAGAGTAGGTAAATGAACAAATTAAATTCAGCAGCTGAAATAAATATATTACCCAAATTAAGTGACTTTAAACGCCACCCTCACAACTGTTGTAATAACCAACGTGGTTTCTGTATTTCGGCTAGTAAGGAAGTTCTTCATAAAATATAGGGGCCCAAATGGTTATCTTATCAGTTGATGGGGTGGCCTTTAAAGTCGCTTGCCTAACTTTATTTTATAGTTCAAATGAAGTTTAAATCAACTAAACTTAAGAGCATGATTTCAAGGCCACACATTTTAACTTACCATCAATATAAACAGTTTTATAATTTGGCACACTGAATTCAAATGAACTGATTCCCAGGCAGAAAAGTAACTCAAAAATGCTCAATATATATGTAAGGTGATTCGACAATTTATAACAGCTCATTGGTCATGTAGTATAGTTTTTTGAAGAGATATATTTTTTCTTTTATGCAGAAAAGGGACAACCTGTTAATTCATCTCATTGAAATGAATTTAATTCATGAAGTTTATATTTGAAAGTGATGTCAATCTGATGAGTGATGGAGGTATTGAAATTGAATCCCACAACTTTCAAGTTGAACAATGTATTTCATCTGCAATATAAAAATAGATTTGGTTTGGCAATCGTTTTGCTATTCTTTTCAGATCGCACCTATCAATTCTTTTTAAATAACTCCATCAACACTACTCAACCGGATTTGTGCACGTATGCATTCACACGCCTACTCTCATATACAACATACACATTCCTAAACCAATAATGTTTGAGATTTAGTCTTGCATTCCAGTAGAAATGCTGCTTAGGTCACGTGAACTCGAAAATAGAAGAGAAATGCCAGTTAAATACCTAAATTGTGCTTTTCCAGTTGAATCAACAAACATTTGACACCATAGAAAATCAGGAAGTAAGATAGAGAAGGTCTGTCTTTATGTTAAGTCTTAATAGTGACGACAATTTGTTGAGAACAGGTACTCAACGACATCATTAGACCATTGGACTCCTACCCAGTCGCTCAATAGTAATGTGCTGGCCTCGTTCCATCCCAGGAGGGGTCATGGTTACGCACTGCTGAGGAGTCGCATACCAGGACTAAACAGCTTTCCAGTGCTCCCAGTTTCCCTATATTTCTTCACCTGATGTCAGTCCATGGTGAACGTCAATCTGAACTCAAAAATCGTTTTCTCTACAGCCCTTAACTCTCAATACACTTTGAAAATGTATTCGCCTCAAAGTTTGCCTATTTTTAAGCTGTTTACTTCCATTTTATAGTTGTACAACCTGTTAAGAGTTCATCAAAAAGAATATTCTTCGTTCAGATTGTTTTACTTCCTATAAACCTACTCAAGCAAAAATTCTGAACAAGCATTGATTAGTTTCTCAGTTCCTAAGGATGATGAGACTAGACATTACCACATTTTGAGATTCCAATACCGCTTACCTTTGAAGCTACAGTCATTTTACTTACTTCACTGGTAACACTCTTAGTGTCATACATATAAAACATTTGTGGTATAAGACGTTTAGTTTCCCAAAACAATTATGGTAGAATCTCACAACTGGACTACACCTAGTTATGTCGCTCACACTAGAGACTGAGAATCCTGTGAACACGGGGTATGATTCAAGACGAGACTAGTCACCAAAAATTATTGGCCGGTTTTGGGGTGTTTGAAAGACTCACCAGTTTGGCTTGAATTACTTGGGGTGTACCACTTATGAACTTCCTAATAAACTAGAGAAACCGTCATACAGTGTTAAGACAACACCGATATGAATAGCAGGTGGTGCTACAGATTAACCATAGAGGGTTACAATTTTTCATGTACTAAGCATCTAGGGCTCAATAGTAACGTGCTCGTCACGAAACCTGGGGCCCTGGATTTCATCCCTGGCAGTATCATGAGTAAGCAATGTTGAGGACTTTAGTACTTGGACGAGACAGCTGTCCGGTGCCCCCAGGTTTCCAATGACCATTCAAGTGGTGTCCGTGATGAATCCCAACCGACTAGCTGGCTACAGTAATGTGCATGAGAAACGCAGTGTACACGATAACGTGCTAAATCGCAATATTGCTTAACCATATGTTTTTAGCTTGGCCGGTTTCTTACAACTATAAAGGTCAGCACCAATGTTGAATCTCGTCAAACCCTAGGTTTTTGATTTTGGGGGATTATTTGTGGCTAAAACACAGTTAGTGACAGTATTAAAAATTCGAGTTCAGAGTGTAAGATATGATTTCAGGGTAAGTACTTTGAAATTTTTTGAAGTGGTGTCAGAGATGGATGAGACAGTGGTTTAAGAAACTATATCACTAGTAACAAAACACTAGAGGATATTTTGGTGTTAGGTGGTGGGAGTCAAACGTCAGTAAGCCGGTTCTAAAATGGGGTCAGTCATTTCCTGAATAATTCAGTCTTTAAGCCTCAGATTTCAGCATTGAGTGACGCAGATTGAGTTACTAATGATGCATCAATTTCTTCATGATCGCAGATGCACTTTATTGATGAGCTCCAATAAGTAAGAGATGTAGACAAAGGTCTTCCTGTCAGCTGACTCTCACCACTAGATACCAAAATACAGTGCATTGCAGTGTCATGTCAACTTGCTTAATGGCCAGAGTGCAAAAGATGATCAATAGATTTTGATTAGTGCTAAGCAGTAAGGAGTGGATATCTGCACAGGTTACCAACTCGTGTTCACTTCCTACACTAAAGGATATGAATATGAATCCCAACCAAGTTGTAATGAATCTCATTTAACTGAAATCAGAATTCAATAAACTTTGTTTCACGATATAAAGAAAAACTAAATGTAGTAGTAAAGAACAAAGTAATACAGAAAAGGAGTGATGGGTGATCAGCAAATCCCTGAAGCGATCCAGGATGACCCCGGAAATCCTGTTGTAGACATGTATTAAATCTGACATATTGAATTCTTAAAGGCATTCCACAGAGTCAGTTGTCTACCATGAGACAATGTAGGCAATTAATTCCTCGGCTGGAAGTTTGTCTCCTTAGAAGCACAAGCAGTCACAACTCATTCCATTTCATCTAATTAATTGTAGATTCTAAATGAAACGAACAAGCATCCATTCGTGGTAAAATACTCAGTGATTGTGGTGTAAGATATGCCAGACTCAAAACCGCCTGGTTTACTAGTTCACTAGTTTTAATAGGCGGTCCTAAGACCGGATAAAGAGAGGAGGTTGGGCATAAGGCTAACAACACAATCCAACTGCTAAAGAAACTTCAAAGCACAATGAAAACATAAAACATAAAAATAAGTTTATGCCTCGCTGGAATCGGGAGACGAAATGACGCCAACTGGTAAAGTCTCCACGAAACCAATTGGCCGATGTGTTTTCTCTCTCTCTCAATAAAAAGAAAAAGCAAAACTGGTGAAACGGAATGTATACACGATGTATGAACCCAGCAAGGTTCCTCAAATTGCAAAAAGTGACGCGAAGGTATGGAATAGAAGTGTCAAGCTAGGAATCTGTGAAAGTAGATGGAATGGAAGTGAACTCTCCAACCTGTCAACTCCAGAGTCAATAATCTACTCCGATTTTGTCACCCAAACGACACGACAACCACAACACACTCACTTCTGGATTGGCTATCATGATGTCCCCCTCCAAAGAACATCAAAGGTTCTCATGCAGAGGGAACCAATCTCCTCAACCATTAGGATCATGACAGCAAGATTCAACTGAAAAGGAAGGAAAGTCACAACCATACAATGCTATGCTATGCACCTACAAACAACACAGATAAAGAGAAGAAGGAGGAATTCTACAGACAACTGCAATCACCACTGGACAAGACCCCACCCCAGATGGCGACATCAAAATTTTAATGCGTGGGGTGATATGAATGCCAAAGTGGGAGCAGACAACACAGGAAGACAACCAATCATGGGTCGAGAAGCACTCGGTGAAATGAGGAATGAGAATGGAGAACTGTTTACAGATTTCTGCGCATTCAACGACTTGGTGATTGGAGGCACTGGGTACATCCACAAGGATAGTCACAAATCAACATAGATCTGATTTCACCAGATGAACAGACTACACTAAGAATCAGATTGACCTCATCTCAACCTGAAGAAAGAGGAGATGGAGACTCAGTCAGCCTACTAGACACAAGATCAGATCAAAAAAGGGGGGGGGAGCAGATGTAGGTTCACACCACTCACTATCTAGTGCAACGAACCTAACTTCAAAATCAAGTTGAAAGCCTTCACAGAAGTTGGTGATTAGAGACCACAGTTAGAGTTCAAGTTCAACACGAATAACAGAGACTGAAGGACGAAACTACAAGGAACATCTTCACTTCAGTCAGCCATCAGGACAGAATGGGAGACATTAGGCAACATGCCCATCCCCGAGGAAACCTGCATGGAAGAATACTGGAACTCTTTGGAAGCTATGTGGAAAGAAACCTACATAACCGTGTTAGGAGAGAAGAAGAAACAAGGCAAGACACGACAAGACAAGACAAGGAATGGATCTCGATGGACACATGGAAGCTGATAGAGAAGGGAGAGGAAGATGGTGATGCAGAAGACAAATCAGTGCAGTGCAGTGCAGTGCAAGGATGAACAAGTAAAGGAGGAACTGAGTACAACCCATAAAACACTGGACAATGAAGGGAAGAAGAGTGCGAGGAAAGACAAACTTCTACGACACATTGGCAACTGAAGCAGAACAGACTGCATGTAGGAGAGACCTGACAACACTATATCAAATAGTCAAAATACTATCTGGAAGGGAAGAGATCAACGCAGAAGAGACCAATGAAAGATAGTGAAGGGAACCTACTTACCAAAGAGGAGAAACAAGGGAAACAATGGGCTGACCACTTCAAAAAACTCTTGAATCGACCACCACCACCACCACAACAACAACAACAACAAAAACCTGCAGCTCATCCAGAAATACCACCAGCAACCCAGCCACAGAATTACCAGTGAACAAAAACCCTCTGACAAAAGCAGAAGTGAAATCCTGAACACCATGAAGTTGCTGAAATCTATGAAAGCAGCAGGACCAGATGGAATTCCATCAGACCCACTGAATACAGACGCAGAGACAACTGCAGCGGACAGGCTTACACCACTACTACACAAGGTTCTCAAGGAAGGAGGGAAGGAAGGAAGGAAAAATACGTGACGATCGATTGGAGGAATGGCTAGCTTGTCAAACTCTCAAAAGAAGGGAGACCTAAGTCTCTGCAAGAACAAGAACTGGAGCGGAATCATGCTCCTGTCCACCCCAAGTAAAATATTAAGCCGCATCATCCTGGAGAGACTAAGTAATGTGCTGGATTCACAATTACGACCGGAACAGGCTGGCTGGCTGGCTGGCTGGCTGGCTGGCTGGCTGGCTGGCTGGCTGGCTGGCT